ATATGTTAAAGTACCTATATGTTATTGTTTCAAGTTCATTATAAAAGAAGACAGCAATTCAATACGTAATACAATTTCACATCGATTTGGTTAAACATAAAACATTTAAACGCAAACAAACACAATCTCAGGTGTTTTTTTTTCAACAAGGGGTGTTCACAATGGACCCTCATCTCGTCTCCCGTAATCATAGGGAAGCGAATTGAGCACGCGTCCAAAGAATCCAGAAAAAATGTTTCTATAGAACCCTCTTGTAGAAACGTCTGAGATGTTTACAGAATCTGTTCATAATTCACCACCTCTTTGCTATGCTTCAAATATTTGAATAGAATAATAATGAAAGCTAAATTTTGTAATAGAGAATCAGGGAATGCTTTTGGAGGATTTTCTAATAGGTTTTCTTTATTTATATGTACTTACGCACTTAAATATTAATTACTTATAAATTTTTATTTCCTCGCCCCAAAATTTTCCTTCATTTTAAACATTACAAATTGAGCCTCTACTTGTTAGTGGTCTGTAGACCTATTCCCTTAATGCTTTTGACAGATGGAAGTGTAATCACCAAGCTACATATTAAGTGATCCCTTACTGCTTTATTAAAGCGCCACTAAGATACTTGTTCTTAAAATCATTGATGGATGTGCAATTTCCTCTTTAGTTATTTACTATACCTAAATGTCGAAAAATTTAGAGAATGGGCCGGCTAGTCCTATTCCCAGCCCAGATAGGATTTTTTTTAATTTATCACTATTTATATGCTGGAATAACGTAACCTGCGAATAATTCCTTTCGAAGCACGGGGTAGCTATAAATAATAAGTTTTTTTGTCACCCATCTAATAACCGACCATTGCGAAAGTTGCTTAACTTCCACAATCGCATGTCGAACGCGTTAACTAACTGCGCCATCGAGCTCTAGCTGCTAACAGCCAAGCTTCTTGTAAAGATGATGAACCATAGTGAATTATACATTTTCTAGCTTGTCACTAAGCTTGACACTTGAACATACGTGGGGATGCTGCACAAAAATCTATAATAAAAATCTAACTTTAGTTTCCCCTAATAAAATCAATATGAGGTATCGACCTAAGTATTTGTTGTAACTTAAAGTGAAATTTAAAAGGGATAGTTTCAGCATTTGCTCGCTCAATTGTCTCAAAAAAATAAGTAATAACTTTTAATCGTTTAAGATTCCCACGCGGTAAAACATTTTTTTTTTCTTCAATAATATAATCTCTGCGAAATAACGGTTGTCACGTATCAAAGGCCAGTTAGTCCAAAGGGCTTCGTGTCCACCCTTCGCTCAAACTCGTTTGACCAGTTCGTTGTGGGAACCAGTGAACTATTGTCCACTAGGCCCTTGCGTTTGCTCACCATTGAAAGTTGTCTTACACTTGTTTATTGGAGGGTCGCTACAATGAAATACCTTACTGTTTGATGCTACCCAACTACTTACAGCCGTCGAGGATTTGCAATATTAGTAAGTAGGTATTTGGAAGATATTTATTGATAATTATTTTTAAGGGTAATTAATACGTTAACGTATCATGGGGGACTGTTCCAAAACCGGCTTCCGAGAGGTAAAATGTAAAGTATTATTTTCTAAATTAATAATTTCTGTATCTAATATTGCATGAAATTCAACTCGTCCATTAATTCATAATCACAAATATTTATTTTCGAAAAAATATTCATATCACAGATTTTATGCTCTTGGAATATTTACGAAGGACAGGTAATTAAAAATTACAAAGACCGTATTATTGGTAGGTACTACTAAGGTACATCACGAATGCTGTGAACGTCAAATCACTTGCTAGCTAAATAGGGATTATGACGGGTTAAAGTAAACGAAATAATATTTAGTCAGTCAGTACCATTATCATAGTTTAAAAGACATATTTTTTCTTTTGTCAACCACCCAAAAACTTCACGAGATAAAGGGCGTCAAAGTTTGGCAGTTTGGGCTCGTGACGTCACTTCTAAGTACACGTGACGTCATGCAACATTTCAATGAAATATATATCAGTAATATTTTGATTATGTGAAAAACTAAAATATACGTGCCGAATACTTTTTGAAACTCTACTCGATAGACGGAGTAAAACAGTAAGTCATCATCACCATTGGTAATAAAAATAAAAATAGCTAGATATTATTAAAGAGGAATCTACCTGCTTGCCAAATTATAAAGTTCCACGAACTTGCGAACTGTATGTCACGTCAAGAGAAGGTTTGCGAATGCATGCAAATAAAGGGTCATCCTTTACTGCCCTTTCCCACACAAGGAAGTGGTCAAACTGGTTTTGGACTACGGAAGAACCCTTCACAGTTTAGGACAAAAGACCAAAGGACACTACTGTCTTGCAAATCCATTGTCCAAAACTGGTAGGACTGGTTTGAGGTCATGAGAAAATTAGTAGTTATCTATCACTGAGACTTATTATTTACTACCAAAGACATTAAACTTAATTTCATTATATTCATTTTAATTACCTACTGTTTAGAAGACAGTCAGTTTAAAACCGAGATGTATTTTTTATTTAATTTTCTTACAGTTAAATAGCTAAGTAGTTAGGTAAAGAGATCGTCTGAGTGAAATAAACACACAATAGGAAGTGAGAGTACTTTACCCTTAGTACGAGTTTTACAATTACGAAAACTATGATAGTTTTCGTGAGCTCGCACTCGTACTAAGGCTACTGATTTCATTGTTTTCGTTTTAATACAAATGAACAGTGTTTAAATTCTATCATTAAATCATTAAATTTAAATCATTAATTATAAGCAAGACACAAATTTTAAGTATATTTGGGTTACTTTTCACCAAAATGGACATAGAAACATCACTACATAGTATAAAACAAAGTCGCTTTCTCTGTCCCTATGTCCCTTTGTATGCTTAAATCTTTGAAACTACGCAACGAAATTTTGATGCGTTTTTTTAATAGATAGAGTGATTCAAGAGGAAGGTTTATATGTATAATACATGAATAATATAGTAGAGAAACACTGATAATTTTAGAGGTTTTTAATGCAAGGTCGTAAATAAACACATTTTTTGCGCTTACATTGCAAACGCTGGCTGAACCCTACGAGATAGATTAAAATAATGTACTACAGTATTGTTGAAAATCTTTTAGCCATTCTTAAGCTGCAAGGCAGCGCATCTCTTCGCATTGTAGGTAACCCACAATATCAAATGAATACTTTTACAAGTATTAAGAATTTGAAAGAGGAAATAGCAATTATTTAAGCATGTAACTGCTTGATGTTTAAATCTAAAGGAAATATAACTAGAAAAATTTCAACGAGAAGAAATGGCGCTGCCTTGCAGCTTAAGAATGACTAGAAGAATTTCGGCGCTGCCGTCAGGGCCGGGGTAGCATAATTGGTCAGTGCATTCGCCCGGATAGCGAAGGGTGCGGGTTCGAGTCCCGTCTGCTGCCTGGTCCGCAAGGAATTTTTTGTAGTTATATTTACTTTAAATCTTTATTTTTTTACTAGTGGCCTGCCCTCGCTTCACTTCGGTGTAGAGCTGTAGTGTAAACTATAGTTTTTGTTTTCAGGCTTGTGCTATAAACAATGACTTTATTTATATAATTACGTGTTATTGTGAGTCAACCATAAAAGATAGACATATGCTGTTGCGGGATATTTTTTAGACAATTTTATGTAAGTAGAATATTTCCGTCATACATGATTTCTATGTAACTTTAACCATTAAGGCTGCACCCGCGACGGAAGCTTAAAAAATGGAGTAACTTCTCCCGTTTTCCCAACATTTCCCTTCACTGCTCTGCTCCTATTGATTGTAGCGTGATGAAAAGTATACTATAACCTGCCCAGGAGTATGAAGAATAATTGTACCAAGTTTCGTTAAAATCCGTCGAGTAGTTTTTGTTTCTATAAGGAACATACACACAGACAGACAGACAGACAAAAATTTTACTGATTGCATTTTTGGCATCAGTATCGATCACTAATCATCCCCTGATAGTTATTTTGAAAATATATTTCATGTGGTAGGTAAAGGGTAGGTATCGAGATATTTTATAGGGGCGGCGGCTCAACACACTTGCTTCTTGTCCCGTGTCCAGTAATTAGACCTTATTGTCCCGGAATCCGAAACCGTATTAATTTTGGAACACAATAAACTAGTAACGAATGACACGGCTGGCTTGCCTGTGAGTAAGGGTTGTCAGATGATGGCTTATCAATTCCGGCACAATTGCACATCAAAATCTAGGATAGGTCCGTAACGAATGCCTATTTTTGGCTTCCGCATTGAAGCCAGCATCAACCAACAACCAGCATCACCAGGGGGCTAATCGCCTAACGGAAATGCTTTGGAAAACGCTAACGCTTACGATTTTATTTTGTTATTTCTAGCCGCCTGAGGTATTAAAATGCCTCGCGCTCTTTCTTTTTCTTTTGCATTGGTAATAACAATATTAAAAAAAATGAGCGTGAGGTATTCGAAAACCTCAGGCGGCTAGAAATAACAATATAAAATCGATTGGCCCCCAGGAATAGCGAAGTTAACCCCAGGTACACAAAATTGATGGACTTTTCAGTCGATAGGTATAATAATTATCATTGTGCATCGAACTTTACCTTCTATTTTTATTCTCTGCTGGTGGAAAGGGATCACCGGCTATGTAGACATGGTAGACACACAGAGAAATGGAATACGGTTGAAATTGCCGCTGAGGAAAGGGACCGAGAGAAACAACCGCTTCCAGGGCAGCATAAGTTTTCCTAAAGCTTTATTTTCCTTGAAGAAATGTAACACTCGGTATGCAATTTGTACCAAAATAATATTCAATTTTAAAACCTATCTGAATCCTCAGATTACAGAACTAAAGTCTGAATTCTATTATTTGTTTGTTTTGGTTTGGTGGCCGTAGTTAGGTAGGTAGGTATTATAAAGTCAAAATCAAAAGAATTCTGTTTTATAATTTTCACATTTTATTATATTAAATACCTTTAAAGACACTCGTAGATGTAGCACATTTTCAGGTTTCAGTAAGGTAGGCTTGGACATTTCTATAGACGTTGATGATCACGTACTTAGTTGAATGAGATGCTATTTTTTTAATTAGCTAGATATGTTGCCTACTGTTTTGTCTGGGGAACTTTTATCGTCTTTTTTTTTATTTCACATCTCGCACAGTTTTTCGGTGCAAACGGATTTAAGATTCCCATGAAAATAGTGTAGTGCGTACATAGTTACCTATTTGTAATCGATATTATTTCGATAATGGCAATCGGGCAATTTGGTTACTTGCAAAACTGTAAAACGATATTTTTATTTGACTTCAAAAATCAGTACGACTAAGCGCTACTATGTTTTGAATAACAATCAGATGTTAATAAAATTGTTAATAAGTCAAACTGTAAATCATTTAGTCTATTAAGATTCTGCAACTTAAGATAAGTAATTATTTTAAAATGCACACTCGAATTTAAAATATAAAGAAAAACCAATATTTATGGTAGTTCTTATTATTGTTACATTGAGCGCATATTAGCATAGCAGAAGAGTCATATAGATAGGGGTTGAATTATAAAAGAAATCAGGCGGAGCTACGATTAAACCCTTGCATTATCATTCAGGACAATAGAATTATGCAAAGTAAGTGACTTCTCTGCAACTTGCTTAAGACGATGTCAGTAATACAGTGATAGTTCTAGAGGTTTGACAAACTGGTGGTATACAGTGAAGAAAAAAATAATAACAAATCTGGTGAAATAAAATTTAATAAAATACTTTGGAAATAAGGAACATAAAGGTAAGGAAAGATAATAACATAGTTGTAATAATTAAATTTTTGGTTTCGTGAGTAAATAGGTACACATTATTTTTTTTATTTAAATTTAAATGAATAATTAATGATTAAATAAATATTCAGTATTTAATGACATTCATCTCACTACATGATTAAAAGTGTGTATAATTCAGTTTAGCTTTCATAATAATTGTAATTTACTACTTTAATTTTTAATTAAGAGAAAAAAACATGACTACCAAGAAAGAATATGTAAACTTATTTAAAAACAGGTGGGTAAATACTAAATTTTGATGAACAAATGTAATGTTTTAGTGAAGATAGTGAAATGAAAAAATATATTCGATGTAGATTACAAAACGTTGCATAATGAAGAATTACTTGCTTGATTGCGATATTTTTTTGGTTTTTTTAAAAAGCATTTTTCAATTTTTTTGTTAGTTTTCTGTTTATAATTTATTCGGGTTCATTCATCCTAAGACGAGCAAAATCTTCAAACACAATGTTGTCTTCTTCTTCGTTAGTATAAAGGGAATTCTCGTAGCGATGTCTTTCGATCGACTGCATTTTCTTCATAGCGTTGAAACGCTGGCGTTCAACAGTGCCTGAATTAAAAAATGCATATACATATTATAAATAAAACACAAATCATAATAATATTTATAACTGTGTGTAAAGCGGGGTTTACCTTCAGCGGGATGAAGCAATTTAAATGGCACGTCAGTAACCAATTCACCTCCAAGAGTGCCACAGTTCAACTTCACGCGAACTGAATAGGATACCACGATACCAATAGCATCAGCTGGGCACTTTCCTTCAGCTACAAGAGTAGAACTGGCGAGATTGACATCGTCCTCCTTCAGGTGGCCATCTAAAGCTACACCTGTGAATTTACCAATATTTTTGTAACTGTAAATTATTACAATTATTTTAAATTCTCCTATTATGTGTATGATACTCATAATAGTTACCTCGTATATCCTTGTTGCTACGAGCCAAAGGTACCAGATAGAAAGTTTTTGAAAGGCTAGCCCCAGGTGTTACGGGACATCCCTCGCGACTTTCCAGTGAAGCAACATGGCGGCTGAATTGAGAGTTGATCATTGTAATCTCGACATGTTGCACGACCATGCATCGAATATTACGTACAGACTTTCGCGAATTATTAGAAACAATGATGTTAGCTGCAAGTTTCTCTCCATGATAGTAAATTTCGCGATCCAAAGTAACTTCCAAATTAATTTTGCCATTGCTGAAGGTAAATCCTTTGCTCACCAAGGAACTTGGAAGACGACGACCGCGAGAAGTTGGAGCGTGTTGCAACTGCAAAGACACATTGAATTAATAAATACCTCTTTACCATAGGTGGTTGCTTTTCAGCTGATTTTACCTTCTTGATAGCAAGAGTGACAGAGCTTCTCTTATGACTTTTCTGGTCTTCGTTTTCAGCTACGTAAGTTCTTACGCAGTAATCAACACCCATGGGTTTTCCCTGGTCTTCTTCAGAGGGTTGGAGAGTTACCTAAGATTTAGTTAACGATTAGAAAAATAAAAGAAAAAGTAAATACCTCCTTAAAAGTTGATTATGGAAATTAATTTACCGAACTAGGTGCCATTTCTGGGAAATTGAATGTAAAAGGGTAGGCGTTAGGGCCAAGTTTTTTCAATAGCTTTTCCTGCACCGGTGTTAGTTCCATTTTTGCATTAATCAAAGGCACGACTTGTTCTTGACCGATCACCATTTCCTTGGAGAACTTCACACCCATAACTTCATCTTCCTCCCTACCAAAGCGATAGGTAGTCACGAGCTGATAACAGAAAATCATGTATCAATCCTTCTGGCACTTATACACTACACATTGTAACACTTCACACTTCACTATTTATACCTGACTGTAAACTTTTCTTCCTTTCAGATACTCGGTATCAACCACCACAACTCCATCGACAGGATCGCAGTAATCTATATGATCAATGAAGTCGCGTTTACCAAGGTAAACAGTTATTTTTCCATTTGGGGTGGTTTTCTTAAATACTTTCACTGCCACCACAAAAGCAAGAGACAAGTAATCCAACATCTTGCTGGACATTGAGGATGAAACGATGAATAAAATATACTAAATGGAGTACTAATGGGGCTTTAATATATTGAGTACTGAAAAGACTCAGTGTGTTTGTTGTAAAGCTATCACCAGAAATGAATAGTTTGAGGAAATCGTCCTTTTATAACAGTAACATGTAAGGTTTCGTGGGAATTAGAATAGCGATCTAATTGGATTATGTTCGTAGGTAGACTAATAGGATTTGCAAGTTTATGACGCATTGGCAGTATCTGAATCGATGTGATGTCACATCACTATGCCTTGCGTTTCGTTTTACCATACAATGACGTTTGGTTCTGTTTGTTTATTTTGTCATTGACCCATTTGTCAGTAGAATGAAAATAAATTGGTTAGGTTTATAGAGATTTGCACAAGAAATTTTGTTCTAATGTTGACAAATAATATTTTTAAGAAGTATTTATTAATTTAAGACAAATGTAGATAAACATAACATTAAATAAGATTTTTAATAATCTTGAAATGTTAGTTGATTTTCAGTGAAATACGTTTATTTACGTACAAGTTGTTTGTTTTACTTAATATTTCAATTTATTTTCACTAAAGTTCTATTACATCAAGTTATTTTTGTTGTGCTTTGTGTGCAATGTCTTGGGCTTGGCAATCAAAATATTAAGCAGGCTATTGCAGGTTAATAAAATCATATTTTTTTATTTACTTGTAACATTTCTATTCATTGATTAAATACCTAGAATTTTTATAAATTCTAGGTATTTAATCAATCAATCAACTTGAGCTACTTTATAGTAGCTCAAGTTGAAAATACTTTTAAGTAAGTATTTTTCAATAAGATGAAAGACAATTGGCTAATAAGAAGTTGATTTTATCAAATGAATGCTGTTATAGATATAAAGAACAGAAATCCAAAGAAGTTCTTCTCTTAGTTGATAAGCTGTATAATGTGTAGAGCTTATGCTATGCTTAGAATTTTCTAGTTCTCAAGCATTCCATACTTACCTTATATCTTATATTATTTTTTAGAATCTTAATATTAAAAACTTAAAAATCAAACTTATTTTATTCATGTCTTTTATTAGCTTTACAGTGCATCTTACATTAATTTCTAAAATTTTGATGCAATATAAAAGTTGTTGAAAAGCTGTATTGATAAAAATTATAAGTATGTCAAATTGAAACAACTGTTATTTTTAAATTACAGTTACACTATCAGTATGCCTACATTCTTGACACCAGGCCGACATGGCTACAGTGTTCAATTTTCCCGGACACGTCCAGACATGCTGGCTGTTGCAACCAGTCAGTACTATGGCTTGGCCGGAGGCGGAACCTTGTTCTTCTTAGAAATGTCACCGGACGGTAGCACCATAGTAGAAGTTCAGAAATTAGAATGGACAGATGGGCTATTTGATGTGGTAAGTTTGAGGCTTAAGCCCCTTCTTAATATAATATCTTTCTACATTTATCTTAATCCTAAGCTGTATGGCTTCTCAAGGAAACCCGTGGCGGCAGCCTGAAGCTTAAATATTATTTGAAAATCTTAAGTCATAATCAAGTGATTCTTCTTATTCTGTAAAATCTAGTTTTTCAGTGAAGTTTCATTTGTTATATTCAATTTTTGTTGTTAATTTATTTGTTGATGTTTTTAAAACACTTCCTTACTTTATTCCCAGTTTTAAGCTGTATACTGTATATTAACTGTATTATGAAAGTGCGAGTCTTATTATCATAGTTATTAATTGATATATACAATTTTACCTTAACAAAATCTAATTCGACAGAGAAAAATCTATGTGTAGGAACTTCCTCTTTGACCTTCCTACATAATATGTTTTGTTGAACATATGAGCGTACTAAATAGCCCTATTTTGCTAGCATATTTTTATTAACTTTATTTGCCTTGTATTTCTTATAGAATGGAGGCTATACTATCTCTAGGCACTTAGAATAGCTTTAACATATTTGAATACCTTCCAATCTTTTGTTCGTAACATATGAGGAAGCCCTACACTAACAGTTACGTTGTGAACTTGCTTACTTCAGTACTTTAATAGGATGGCCACCTGTGTGTATTTATAGACAATTGACTTAAGTTAATTGTCATATCATGTTTGTCATGTTTGGATGCAAATGACTCTTAATTGCTAGCTATATTTATCTTAATTTGCGGAGAATACATATTTATATTGAGATTTTGTAGTTGAATTTGGTAAAATGGTCTCTTTTATTGAAAAAAGTAACATTAATGTTTGAAATTAGAATAATTTTATTTCCTTATGTAAGCTTATCTGTATTTCACAAAAATTGTATGATATAAATTTTAAAAGAACCTAGCTGACTCCAAAGCATGGCCCTTTATGATGTAATAGGAAAGCAACAGCAGCAGACATAAAAAAGGCTAAATTAATGAGAAAAAAATTAACTACTGTCATTTAGTTATTTTGTATTACCATAAACAGCAAAGGGTGCATTATAAGCATTCCCAACCAGTCAACCTGAAAGAGCATTGGATACTAATGATATTATTATACAACAATTATTATGGTGTACAATGCCCATACCAAAACTAATTTTATTTAGTCTTGCAGATACCGGAATCTTAATTACTATGTAAATAATTATCAGTATCTGCAAGACATTCCTGTGTCTAAAGTAAAAGATTAACCCTAAAAACTAACCCTAGGATAATATCATGTTTTAACTGCCAAACTAGTCAATCAATAACTCAATGTACGCGTAATCTGTGATTGTGGAAGCTGGTTAAGCAATTTCGGAATGGCCGGTCATTGGATGGTTTAGATAAAATTTATCATCTCTACCATCTCCATGCTTCAGATGGCATGTTAATTGTTAAATCCAAGAGGTCATGTCCTAAGACTCAAAGCGTTATACCCCAAGCTCGAACTTTTACAGATCCGTATTTGTAACGCCACCGTCAAAGTTTCTATTGAAACTAAGATGCGCCTCTACCGGACCTTGACCGAATTTTGAAGACATATGTTTTATGCGCAAGCCGCTACAGGAAGCGAAACGTTCATACCATTTATTTAGTGCAGTCCATTCTCTATGGTTATCCCATACTTATGCTAGCGCGGCTGCGCTCTTTTAACCATGTCAGTCCCTGTAGCATGAGCACCACAATGTTCAATATATCAAGTTTTTTTATCGCGTCGAACTGTCAAACTCCATAGTAATTTGACAATTGAACGTGATAAGAGCGCGTTATTTAACATATCGCGGTGTTCATGCTAGGGGGGCAGGGGTATATAATAATATGCCGTTAAACTTGCGCTGTTTTGACTCTGTTAGGGAGATATGATATACATGATATTATGTACGTATGTCTAGTAGGCGTGGTCGGGGTGTAGTGTGGAGGCTGCGGCGTGCGGCGCGGGCGACGGCACCGTGGTGGTGTGGCGGGTAGGATGTGCCGCCCCGCTGCGGGTGTTACGAGCGCACTACGCATAGGTTAAACTTGATATATGGTGAAACTTGTGCTCTTTTGACCCTGTTGTGAAAATGTGTCATAAAACTATGTTCGAATGTCGGGTAGGCGTGGTCGGGGTATAGCGCGGAGACAGCGGCGTTCGACGCTGGCGACGGCGCGCGGTGGTGGTCGGGTGTAGATAACATTCACTCAGTGGAGCTGAGCGTGATCAATGTGATGCATGTATCGTTCAGTTCATTTTGTTTATGTGCAGAGAGTCCACCTGATTGCATGCCTCATATTAGCATGGTTGCGTTATTTTAACCGTGTCTCTAGTAGGGGTTGTCAGGGATAAAGGCATTTATGTTCTGTTGTGAAACTATGTTCATATGTCGGATAGGCGTGGTCGGGTTGTAGCGCGGAGGTAGCGACTTGCGGCACGGGCGACGGCGCGGTGGTGGTGTGGCGGGTAGGATGTGCCGCCCCGCTGCGGGTGTTACGAGCGCACTACGCATAGGCTAAACTTGATATATCGTGAAACTTGTGCTTTTTTGACCCTGTTAGGAAGATGTGTCATGACACTATGTTCGTTTGTCGGGTAGGCGTGGTCGGGGTGTAGTGCGGAGGCAGCGGCGTGCGGCGCGGGCGACGGCGCGGTGGTGGTGTGGCGGGTAGGGTGTGCCGCCCCGCTGCGGGTGTTAAGAGCGCACTACGCATAGGCTAAACTTTATATATCGTGAAACTTGTGCTCTTTTGACCCTGTTAGGAAGATGTGTCATGACACTATGTTCATTTGTCGGGTAGGCGTGGTCGGGGTGTAGTGCGGAGGCTGCGGCGTGCGGCGCGGTGGTGGTGTGGCGGGTAGGATGTGCCGCCCCGCTGCGGGTGTTAAGAGCGTACTACGCATAGGCTAAACTTGATATATCGTGAAACTTGTGCTGTTTTGACCCTGTTAGGAAGATGTGTCATGACACTATGTTCATTTGTCGGGTAGGCGTGGTCGGGGTGTAGTGCGGAGGCTGCGGCGTGCGGCGCGGGCGACGGCGCTGTGGTGGTGTGGCGGGTAGGATGTGCCGCCCCGCTGCGCGTGTTACGAGCGCACAACGCAGAGGTGTGCTCTGTGGACTGGCCGCGCGGACATCTGCTCAGCGCAAGTTGGGATACTTCCGTCAAACTGGTGAGTGGAATTAAATGATGGAGCATAGATGGATTTTGCTAAGTTAAAGAATACTTTATCTTTTTTCAGTGGCGTTCTAGTACTTTTGACATTTGACGCTTTGCTGATGTAATTGTTACTATAAAACAAAACAAAAATAAAATCAATTCGACCACCCCCGGCATTAGGACTGCGATCGTGGAACGTGCAACTTTTGCAGTTGTAAATCGTCGGATTGGTGACCTATTATATTATCTCGAGCTCCTTCTTGATTCGGAGAGTACGTTGAGTCGTTCCCAGGTGCATCCGCAATGACTGCGCCATTAACCCACCCAGCGGTCATGGCTCAGTCTTCCCTATTCCATCCATAAGATAGGTCTGTGCCCCAGCAGTGGGGACATTAGTTGCCTCATATTTATCTAGTACGCGAACGTGCGTGAGTCGATTCCTGGGTCACTCGCAACTGGTGCCATCAAACACAGCATCAACGTGTGCGCGGCAGAAATAACGCTTTGTCCTGAGACTGTATGAGCGCAGTGCTTACGTACTTCTTGATTTATAATTGGGGTGATGACGGGATAAAGTAAAGGAAATTCTATTTCCGTCATTTGGTTATCAAAAAATAATGGACACATATTTTCTGTTCTGTCAATCAACCGAAAAAATTACAGAGTTTGGGAGTGGTGGCTTGTGTCGTGACTATGACGTCATGCGACATTGCAGAGCAATATATATAATATTTTCTTAGTTTCCATCATACAATGTTATAAACACTTGACAATAGTAACACGTAAAATAGATTTAGAGTAAAATTGTGGAAAAAGGCATCCGTGCTAGGTAAGACCTGTATTACGGACTATATAATCTCTGCAATGTTTTGATTAAGTATGTGAAAAAATAAAAAAATACGTGTCCAATACTTTTTAATAATCTACCTAATACCTGAAAAAAAAAGTAAGCAATCATCCATATTATCTGTGTGTTCTTGCCTCCGAGTCACAGGAGCTCGATGACGCAATTGGTTAGCGCGTTCTGTCTCCGATCGTGGCAGTTAAGAGCCCTTTCACATTTTTTTCAAAAAAAGCGCCTCGTTTACCCACTTCGAAAAGATTTTGACTATTTCCAATAGAAGTAAACAGTAGATTTATTCTTCCTATTGTAAGTTCATTGTAAATATTCTACACTAACTTTTTTTGTACTGATCGTTCTACTACTGCAGCTAGTTTACGGATAAAACGATAATATGCACAACTTCAAACGCCTCAATCTCCGAATAATGTTCAATAAATTAGATATATTAATTACTACGACATCAGAAATATGTTTTTGTTGAAACATAATGTATTAGAATTTTGAATTTCCGTCTCATTAATTATAAAAAAAACATCTAATCACCGTGAGTTTTTCCAAATAATAATGCAGGTTTACCTCATATTTTGATATTGTATTAAATAGAACTACTATTTTCATAAAACTAATCTACCATCATTGAACTACTAAAATATGTATATATTTTTATTATTAGTTCATTAATAGATATTTTATTAGACTCGATACATCACCCGTAAAATGCAATATATACTAGTGCAAATGTACCTATGTGCCGATCAGTATGGCAGCGGCGCAATTTTGTAAAAGGGCTCTTCGGCGTTGAGCAGACGACGGGGCGGGGCGGGCATTTTGTTCGCGAAGCAATGAAGACCGCGTCTGCCCGTCGATGTCTGCGGCTGCCCGCGCCGCGTACACAAAGCACACGACGGGCAGAGGCGGTCAGTTTAGGACGTTCGTTCTAGTGAATAGTCCATCACTAATAAGCGCGTGGCGCGGACTGAGCTGACCGCCCCGCGCCGCCGTCTGCGTTACTGCATATAAACTGGTTTGTATGATCCACGGCGGGCAGCCGCGGACATGCCGCGCCGCCACTGCCCGCCGCGGACATGCCGCGCCGCCACTGCCCGCCGGGCACCTGCGGCGCGGTCTTTTTGCCCTCTGTGTGCGTTTGAAGTATAGGATTCACTTTGTACTATTATTCGCGGCGAAATTGACCGGCCCGTCCCGCCCCGTCGTCTGCAAAGTGCCTTAAGCAACTTTCGCAATGGTCTGTCATCGGATTGTTTGGGAATCCGGTGATAATCATGTTGCTTCATGTTTCTCTAGTGGGATCCCGAAGCGGAGACGTGCGTGAGTCGGTTCCTGGGCCACTCGCAGTTAGTTTACCGCGCAGCGTTCTCCCCGCATTCCGCGGCTAGCTTCGCTTCAGTCTCCGGAGATGGACACCTCAAGCTGTGGACTTGTGCCGACCCGGCACGTCCCGCCGCTGTCGTTAAAGCGCATGATGCTGAGGTAATAGTGCTTCATGAACTTTTAAGGAAAATTATAACGGTTCAGATAAATAATTTAGTTTAAGAGTAATAGTCGTGCAACTAATGTATTAAGCAATTTTTTAACTTAAAAAAACCTAAGAAGATAACATTAAAAGTTACTTAGACGAAGTAATGTCTTAAAATTAAGATTGATTCTTAATTAAAATGAACACTGCGCGTGGCACGACAGGCACTTGGCCGTTTTTTAACCGACTTCAAAAAAGGAGGAGGTGCTATGTTCGACTGTATATATATATATATATTTATTTTTTAATGTATGTTCACCGATTTCTCCGTCAATTGTGGACCGATTTACAAAATTCTTTTTTTATTCGAAAGAGTGCACTTCCTAGGTGGTCCCATTGAAACCAAGTCAGGATCTGATAGTGGAATCCGGAGAAATCGAGGGAAACCATCAAATTTCAAAGGCACGCACGATGTTTTTTATGCATGTTCACCGATTTCTTCGTCAATTGTGGTATTGTTTACTTGGACGATGTAATTTTCACAAAAATGGGTGAATTTCTTTTTAAAATATATAACCGACTTCAAAATCGAAAATGGAATTAAAAAAAGTTAAAAATAATATCTGGTACATGATTTGGAAGTCGGGCGGGGTTAAGATTGAAACATTAAATAGATTTTCGTTTCTGATCGGTAATAATAGGGTTTTCAATCTTGACCCTTTTTTTAAAAAAAAAACATACATTTTTTAAATTTCAAGACCGATATGAGTTTATTATGTAATTGTAATTACTTGCAACATAATTTGCTAAATCTCGATTTAACTAGAACTAGAATTAGTCCATACAATAATGTCAAATTGACATTGTCGTATTGTAGTTTTAGTTGAATTGAGATTTTGAAAATTTGCTGCAAGTGGGTCTCATTTATTTGGCCGCAAACCACGATAGATATGGATTTACATACAACTTTTGCCGGCCTCTGCTCGCATGTACTGGCCAACTATATGCGAGCAGATTTCAGCAATTTCGATTTTCCAAGCATGTTTGAGAAAAAAATATGCATTATATGAAAATAGGTATGTTATTATCTTTATTCTCTAGCAGTGTAGTATTAATTAGCACTGGCTTGGCAGGTACTATCATACGACTGGAGTAGAAGCGACTCGCACGCGCTAGCGACCGCCGGCTCCGATGGCTTGGTACGGGGGTGGGACTTAAGAAGGCTCACATCGCCTATGTTCACTCTGAAAGGTAAGTTGTTAGAACAATTCATAATGATTTTGAATAGGTTGCGAGTTTGAAGAATAAGGGCAATTTTGTCCCACCAGTTGGCGCTACTGTTGAGAGGTCCTGGAGGCCTACTCAGTTACAACGAAAAACGAAATTTCGATTGAAATTTCGCACGTTCCTTACTCTGTTTCTATTTCAATTTGAAAATACGTTCGTCCGAAAATAGTTTGACATTTAAATTCTCCAAGCCTACTCTAATTCACAAAACTTTCTTACTAAAGTTGGATTTGACAGATAATTGTTCGAAATTTTAACCTCAAATTGACGAAATGAAAAGTGTCACCTTTTCATTTTCGTTTTGGGATTTTCGTTTAAATTAAACCTAAAATTACAACTACAGTATTTTTAATTAAAGCTGCTTAGCGTGAGGAACATTATTTAGTAAGGAAATAAATCAAATTTTTGTTTATCATTGTATTGCCAATACTTCAAAGTGGTACACGACAAATTTAGGTTGACATACATTCGATTGCATAAACTCTCCAAATTAGTCGGCTAACACTGTCAAAAGAGGTTATTTTATGTTTATATTTTTTTGTGCGTGTTCGAAGATGAAATAGAGTAGAGTCACTGCCGAAATTTCGTTTAAAATTTGTTCGTTACCGAAATTTCGTTTCGGACAAAGAGAGCAGAGCTCCTGGAGTGTGGGTTTCAAAGTTTGTTAATACGTGCCTAAAAACAAAATTTACATTAAAATCATATCCATACTCCAAATATTAGTTTGCCTAAAGTTAAAAAAGGTTTATTACTTTTAACTTATTTTTAAAAAAAATATTTCCGAAAATAACGGAACTGCGTAACATTGTGGCATGGCCGATTATGTTTACGCTAAGGTTTTATTTTATTAGAAGGCCTTTCGTATGGATTGGGAGAATGACCCACCACGCGTCTACTAACGCGGCCCCGCTAATGGTACTTGCAGTAATCGTCTTTTTTGTGATTTTCACTTTTTTTGCAAAACATAATCTTTACGTAAAAAAAATAATAAGTTTTTTGCATTTTGCTCATTAATGTTTGTGTAACTTTGTTTTGTATAAAGTAATAGTTATTTATGCAACTGTTGTGTAATGAGCGGTATTAAAACACCAATGTGATGGTAATAGCATCACATGAGTGTTTTAATACTAAATAAAACAGTTGCATTCAAGACTTTATCTACACCCATTATATAAATCCTCTATAAACGATTCTGAAAGCATGGGGCGTTCTAAGAACATAAAATTCATGAAAAGTTTCTTTTTTAAAATTCATAATACCACGCATCGAGCAGTGAAAATTGTGGCTGTCTGATGAGTAAGCCTTTGGCCCGGAAGGGGCTTAAAAAGCGAGGATTTGACATAATCTTTACGTAAAAAAAAAAAAAAGTTTTTTTCTTATTAAAAACATGTTTTTACCCGACTGCGCAATGCAAGAGCGCGAAGCGCAGACAGGGTCTATACCCTGGGTCTAAACACTATTGTTTAACAGTCTATATATATGTTTGTTCCTTTGTGGCACACTAGAGACTAAACGCTCCAGGCGTTAGATATACATGAATACATAATATTTTTCAATAATGGGTCCCGACTGTTAAAGTAGCTTTGTTCCTTATGAACAGAATTATAGACTTCTGCACTTGTTTTTTTCTTTTCTGTTTTTATTTGAAGTTTAATAAAGCAGTCGGGTTTTTTGATTTTTTAAATTTACCTTTTTTTTTATTTGACATGAAACGCAGTACTTACCTTAATGTTATTTATTTAAATATTTTTTGACGCTGTCCCTTTCTTTGTGCTTACAAAAGCAAGAGACAACATCGATCTCTCGATGAAGTATTACACAAATTTGACGTTTCTGAGTGTGGCTGTATGTAATCAAAGTTATTCTGCTTTGCTTTAAGGTTGCGAGTGTGCAGTAAGGAGAGTACAGTTTTCACCGCACTCGCCTTCCGTTATAGCCGCTGTGTCATACGATTTTACCACGAGGTAAGTATCGCTAAAGCTGTTTAATATTATAAATGATTACATTTAATAGCTCGATGGCGCAAGTGCTTAGCGCGTTCGGTTGCGATCGTTGAAGTTAAGCAACTTTCGCAATGGTCGGTCATTGGATGGGTGACCAAATATTTACTATCTCGTGCTCCTCCGTGCTTCGGAAGGCACTTTAAGCCTTTGGTCCACCCACCAATCCGCACTGGGCCCGCGTGGTGGGTCTCCGCTCGGATAGCGGTGGGTGCGGGTTCGAGTCCCGTCTGCGGCCTGGACCACGTGTTTTTTTTTCTAGTACAATTTTGCTTTAGATTTAAACATCTAAAAGTCAAATGTAAAAAAAGAATAAGTATTGTTTTTTAATTAATTTTACCGCATAATTTTATAGGTTATGGGACTTAAAGCGCGGCTGCGATCCTCTAGAGACCATAAGACATCATTCCGAGTTTACATACGGACTGGATTGGAACACTCTACGGCCGCACCAATTAGCCGACTGTGGTTGGGATTCGCTAGTTCACGTGTTTACTCCACGATCGCTGCTCACTAGTACCACTGATCATGTAAGTCAACATAATTAACCAGAGACACAAATATCAAAAAAATATTTAATCTAGGTCTGTAGTTAGAGGTGACATCTACACGCCCCACATAACTAATGGAGGATGTAAGGAAGAGGCGCTAATGTCGTCGAACTCAATAGTATGGAAAGCCTACATCGCGCTAGAGAAATTCAGATCCTAACACATATATACAATACCCGATCAATATTAGAAAGGTCTATGATTCCATCGACCTAGGCACGTTTATAAGTACCCCGACGACTGGCTAGGGATGGCGATTCTTTCCGAAAAAGATCGATTTTTAAATCGATTCGAATCGTGACCCAATGAATCGATCCACAAAAAAATTGAGACCAAAAAGATCAAATCTATTGTATTAAAAACAAGATACTTTTTATAATTTAACGATCTCTTATCAGTAAAATCAGGTAATTCGATGATAAAAAACATTTTTATTACCATATGAAAACATCAGATCAGGTATAAAACAAGACATTTATTTTTTAAATTTATTGGTTTACAAAGTTAAGAAAATAGATAATGTAGTTTATAGTTCCCAATGCTTAATATCTAAACTTTTTAAAAACAACAGTCTGTCAAGTCTACAGTGATCCAAGCGGTTTCGCTCATCGCTTGCGATGTTTCCGGCAATTTAGAAAAGGCGCTCACAAGGAACAGATGATTAAACTTTTTTATTAAAGAGGGGCGAAGGGATCCAAACATGCAGCCATCTCGTGAGTTTTTGAATAATTAACCCTTTAACCGGCAGCACTCTTATAATACGGGTACATTCAAATAAAATAAAATCGAAACTCGATTTTCAAGGGTGAAAAATCGATTCACTGAATCGATTCAGTACTACATATCGATTTAAAAATCGATCTTTTTGGCTCTAAAAATCGATTCTTCGATTAATCGATCTCAGATCGCCACCCCAATGAATGGCCTTTTCTACAGACGTTTACAGACTCAAAAGCCGAGACAGACAATCTACTGATATTAATTAAAAAGTATTTTGCGATACAGCTAGAAGTATTGCAATGAGTTTTATTTTTTCATTTGTGCGTTTATAAAGTGCGTACCTATTTATAAAATTATCTTTAAATTCATAATTCGAATATTCCGACATGAGTAGATAAAAACATTACAAGGACAATAGTTGAGAACACGAGACAGACAATCTGCTGTGACGATCCAATTATGGCAGCTCACTAGCGCAACTGACCATGCGAGTAGACAGATACAACTACAGATAGATCGAAAAGGCAATTTATCAGTTTGTGATAAGTTCATGTGTGTCTGAGCAGAAAGAATAAAATATTTTAAAGTAATTGCATTTCTATGCTTAAGGTTTTACTGCTTGTACACAGGCTTTCTCTATGTAGAAGACAATTAAATAAGTAAACAGGCCCGCTGGCCTGCAAGCTTAAACAGTGAGGATTGATATAACTTGTGTCATTAAAGAAAGGAATCGCAAATAACGACATAAGACATTCTTTCCCTCTCGCACACGCTATCCTAATTAACGTGCGAGAAAGACAGAATGTTTTGCTTCGGGATTTACAATTCTTGTCTTTACTGACACGAGTTATAGTTGTTAATTCGGTGGAGAGTTTTTTCACTCAGAAAAACCGCCCCTTTACTCTTTAATAATCAAATATTATCGCGATATTGAAGTAAACTTTTTGTGTAAACTGAAGTTTGATTTTAACCTAAGCTCTTTCCCATTTTCAGGTATGAAACTCCTAGAAGAAAGCTGTCAGAAAATGTTTGTGATACTGTGCCAAATGCGAAAGTCTTAAAGGGTATGTGGTGGTTGAATTTTGTTAAGGAAGATAAAATTATGTAGTTTGTACTTAAAACAGTATAAAAGTAAGCAAAATAACCTTTCGGCAACCGTAATTTAATGAAGATAAACTTTATTGCTTAAACTGCAAATCACATGTTTGAATAATGTAAGTTAGAAAAGTCTTTTTTAAAAGATCAGGAGACCTACTTTATTTCAACGAAAAACGAAATTTCGCACGTTTTTACTCTGTTTCTTTTCCATTTCGAAAATTCGTTCGTCCGAAAATAGTTTATGACAATTCAATTCTCCAAGCCTACTCTAATTCACAAAACTTTCAAACGATAATTGTTCGAAATTTTAACCTTTAATTGACGAAATGAAAAGTGTTACCTTATCATTTTCGTTTTGGGATTTTTATTTAAATTAAGCCTAATATGAGTGCTACAGTATTGTTAACCAAGGCTACTTAGCGTGAGGATCATTTTTTAGCAAGTCAAATTTACAAATACACTATTTTTTTATTAATTAATTGTATTTCCAATACATTTAAGTATTAAACGACAAATTTAGGTTGACATACAAGAGACATAGAAGAAGACATAGATTGCAACAACTCTACAAATATGGTCGGTTAACACACTGTCAAAGAAGGTTCTTTTAATCAGAAATTTTGTCGTAAAATAATATTGTTGCCAAGTAAAAAACTAGCTGAAAAGTATAGGTACATAAAAAGAACTCACAAACATGACTTATTCCATGCGTTCACGAAAATTGATTGTGATTTAGAACTTTATGTGCGTATTCGAAAATGAAATAGAGTAGAATAATCACTGGCAAAATTTCCTTTAAAATTCGTTCTTTACCGAAATATTGTTTCGGAGAAAGAGTAGAGCTCTAGATCAATAGAGCATTATTTTTATTAATAACATTTTCGACATGCATCCCTTTCTCTCTTTTGATTCCAAATCTAGTTTTAGGTTTGAAATTACAAAAACCAAACTAAACTGCCGATTTAAATAATAAGCGGTTTAAACGAAGCCGTACACGTTTTTATAGACCATTATTTTATCAAAATATTGGCGTAATATCAGTATATCAATTGGGTATGTTTCTTCCATTTTAAGAATTAATGGTAAATCTAATAGGAACTGGGAACAACAAATGAGTACGTATGTTCAAAATGTTGATTTCGTTATAAACCAGTGATTTACTGATAATTGTTAATATTAATTAGGTTGGGGAAAAACTTTCTCTGCGTTTTAAATATATGAAAATTCAAGACAGTTTTTAATAAAGTTTATTTACATTTAACTAATGTGTGTAGGTGCCATTTTGATCGATAACTTTTTGCCATCTTGTAGGTAGAGACATGATCCCATTGCTATAGAAATTTTGGGGCTTCTGATCAAAAAACTGCGATAAATGCTTTTAGCAGTCCGCTCGTGATCTAAAGAATTCTGAAAAGACCGAAACAGGTGGAAATCTGAAGGTGCAAGGTCAGGACTATACGGCGGATGCATTAACACCTCCCAGTCAAACTCTCTTAATTTTAGATAAGTGGTTAAAGATGTGGGAGGCCTGGCGTTATCATGATGAAAAACCACACACACCCCTTTTGTTGATTTTCTTGCCGGTTCTTCTCAGTACAAGGTCTCCCGCCGTAGTTTTGCGAACCGATGGCGTAGTTTTCGACTTTCACATGTGCTTGTAAAAGCCTAAACTGAATAAATGACTTGAATTGAATTGATTAATTCCGGCCGCTTTCTCACAACTTCTTGCTTTAATCTCATCAGTTGTTCGCAGTAGAGTTCAGAATCGATAGTCCTGCCTGGCATTAACAGCTTATGATGAATAATGCCCGTCAAATCCTGTTTCGCCAGAGTCTGTGAAACCTGACTGGCCTTTGACCACGACGTTTTTCGCACGTTCTTGTCGTACGTGATCCACATTTCATCACCAGTTATCAGCCTCTTCAAAAATAGTTCGGTTTCATTACGTCGTAAAAAAGAATTACAAATGAATACACGGTTCATTAGGTTTCTTTCAGTGAGCTCGCGAGGCACCCAAATATAGAGGTGTTTAGTGGACCCAGCTTTTTTTAAACACGCCAAAACTGTTTTGTGGTCAATTCCCAGTTCTTCAGCTACGTCGTCACTACTGACATGCCGATCTTGCTCCACTTTTCCAAAAATGGCATCCATTTTATCCGTAACAGGGCGACCAGAGCCACGTCCATCTTTGACATCAAAATTTCTGTATTAAAACCGCTTAAACCAAATTAATTTCTGCTACTCTCACAGACACTGCACTAGGTCCATAAACATCACAATTGTCTTTCGCGGCTTGCGTTGCATTTTAACCTTTTAATAGTAAAATTAAAATGTATCGAATTATTAATTAGATTCACTCATCTTGACAGTAAGAATAACAAATGGAAATATCACATTTTTCTAATATGAATTTGGAATTATCTTCTTTAAAATTTAAAATTTTTATTGATACCAAAACCAGCCGGATACAATGGTATAGCCAAAGAGACTATTACAAACTCATACACACTATAATGCGAAAAGACTTTTCCCCCAACCTATTAGAAGAGTTTTAAGTCAACACTAAAGTCTAAAAACGCGTTTTAAAACTTTTTTGATTTTACTTCTTTATTCAAATAGCTTTCTTATATTGATCGGATGTTTAGCAATCTCGTGTTTTTGTTATTAAACTCGAACCTTGAAGTTTATAAATACGAGTTCATATTTCTTGTTAATAAAACATATATTCAAATAATCCTGTTAAAATTTGTAAATTATGTACTATAACTGGCTTACTTGCTTGCACTTTAGGATAAAATTTAATTAAATTTGAAAAAGACGGAGAATTTATTTATGAATGCGGAAATGTAAGATACAGGGTGGTTTAAAAAGGATGGAGTAAATAATTAAGTACTGATATAATTGTGAATAGGTGGTATAGTTAAGTGTTTATTAATAATTAGAGATAATATATGTATAATGAATTTTATCAACCTGTTAATGTATTTACTAAGCTATGTTGACTGATTTTATATTTTATTTTACATTATGTTCTTTAAAATAGTTGTACCCTATTATTTGATATAGGTTGTCACTTTCGATTTTAAGAATCTTATTTTATTTCTTACCGTTGTATATGTTTTTTATTCATTATTATCCAAGAATATTATTGTTTTATAATTTAAAAAGGCTATGCATAAACATTTTTTGTCGCAATGAATCCCATGTAATATGCATTTTGCTCATTGATGTTTGTGTAACTTTGTTTTGTATAAAGTAATAGTTATTTATGCAACTGTTGTGTAATGAGCGGTATTAAAACACCAATGTGGTGATAATAGTATCACATGAGTGTTTTAATACTAAATAAAACAGTTGCATTCAAGACTTTATCTACACCCATTATTTAAATCCTCTATAAACGATTCTGGAAGCATGGGGCGTTCTAAGAACATAAAATTCATGAAAAGTTTCGGCGCTGTGGTAGTTAAATGCGCGTGAAAGATAATGTTCTTTTTTAAAATTCATAATACCACGCATCGAGCAGTGAAAATTGTGGCTGTCTGTAAGTAAGCCTTTGGCCCGGAAGGGACTTAAAAAGCGAAGGATTTGTATTATGAAATTTAGTACAATATTATAACCCTCGAACGGGTGTTAAAATGATTTTCTTTTATTATGACATTGGATGTTTGATGATTAATGTTGTTAATTGTTTCAGAATATGTAATAGAGGTTTTAAAGCATGTGTGTAGACAAATTCTTTAATGGTCGTTTTAAGCGTAAGATGCCGTTTAGACATTAAAAGTATGATGAAATATACCATAATATACTTTATTCCCAACCTAGTAAGGTTGTAAATCAGTTATGTATAATCTGTTGTTGGTGTTGAGAGCACTCTGTAAATAATTTGCTATACAGGGCTGTAGAATAGCTAGCTAACCAATATTGAAATTTCAAAATAATTAAATGTAGGCTATTAGTATATATCGTTATGCGTTCAGATGACTGCTCTTTCTTTCGAGGGCAACTTGGTGGGGATATATTACGACTTTAAAAGCACCTAAACACTGTAACACTCATAAAATGGAATAAAAAGATTCGTTTCAGAAAATTTATTCATTAATACAGTAGAGGAATATAAGTGCATTCGCCTTATAGCGAATCGCGGTGGTTCGAAGACGGCTTGTCTTACTAGATGATACTCTGGGCAAAGTTGATTATATCTAGTTAAATATTCTTTATACATATAAATGAAATGCGTTGTTCTTTTATAGTGGACTTATTATATATTTAGCCGATTTAAAATTTTCCATCTAAGAAGATCTATTGAAGGTTAATAAATCGTGTCATCAATTAAAATGAAGAAAATGACTTAAGTACTTACTTTTATATAAAAGTGATTTAGATGGATATTTGCGACACTTTGTAATTGTTAATGTTATTTATAGGTATTTCATTCCTTGCACTTTTTGTGATAACTTGTTTAATGAGCCCTAACGATTGCATTCACAGACGTCTATTTAATTTAATGCTTGTCAAATTGACTAAATGTCTTGTTGAAATTTGATATAAAGAGACAGTATCCCTTTTAAACAAACCTAAAATCTATTCCTCTGGGTGCAGCCATAAGTGTAGTATTCTTTAAGCTAGTTTTGTTTTAGGGAACATGACGTCATTGAGCATTAAGTTTTAATTAAAGGCAAAAAATGTGACCGTCAGGTTGGCAGGTCAGTAATTTTATTTAGCGTTGTAATCACTTGAAATGTTGGCCAAGAATGGCTTCCCATTTGCTTCCTGTCAGGAGGGGTTTACTTCCTTAAAACCCTATAAATCTTTATTCTGTAGCTATATAGGAAATAAAGGTACAGGCACTTAGTGTAACGTCGGATTGGTAAAAATCCTGTTTTTATGAATTTGATGGTCGGACCTGCCACCCCAAACGTCGGAACTGCAGGTCACTGAAAATGTTTTGATTATTCTTTAAATATTGAGGAGGCAAATCCATCATTAATAAGCACTCTCCCATTTGCTTTTTAAGTAATTTCAACTTTTTCTAAATAAAAGTTGTGACCTGCCTGATCCTGATCCTGACGGTCACGCATAAATATGAAAAAAATCACCTGAATTATATAAGTTATTCTAGTATGTCCTATATCGAAATGGCTCATGCTTTATAAAATCAACTGTATACTTTACGTTACCTACGCAGCAGAAAGAACCTATTTGTAATCTTAAAAAATAAAACAATCAATTTGTAAAATGTTTTTCATTGTTCACTTTACATTATTTTAAACACATTTTATAATTTACTCACGTTACTAATCAAAAACTAACACTGCATATTTTTTACAAAGTTTCCCAAACGGACCGAAATATAAATAAACACGGCAGCAGAACGATGAGCTCAAGGATCATATCATTATTAATTAGATAGTTACCTAAAAGGGAGATATACAGGACCGCAGCAACTGGATATCAATGTATGTTATATTCACGCCCTGCGAAATAGGCAAGACATTTGGGTAAAAAAATGTAATATTACTATAGGAATTTCCTGAATGTCCTGTCCTACATCTGTACCCTTAGCACGAACCAATATCGAATTCGTAACGTTTGCAAGACCAAAATGTCATTGTCAAATGTGTACTGATTTTTAGTTCTCGTTACGTACTTTGTGGCGCTGCTGTTCAAGTTTCCATACAAAGTTTGACATTGAAATTTCGGTTTGCAAACTGAATAGTTTCATTATCGAATTCGAATGAATTCGATAATGAAACTATTCTGGGGGTACTGTACCCCTAGCACAAACCTAAATCGAATTCGAATAGTTTGCGAGTCCGAAATGTCATTGTCAAATTTTGTGTGTGTATATCATTACGGACGTCACGAGAACTGAAAATCAGTACACATTTGACAGTGACATGTCGCACTCGCAAACTATTCGAATTCGATATAGGTTCGTGCTAAGTCGTAAAGTTGACTTGCGATAAATCATCGCCCATCCTACTTCTAACTTATAAAGTTGTTAGACACGACATCACAAAGTTCACGGTACGTTTAATTCTATGTTTCTGCAAGTGCCTCTAAAGAATTCATCTACAGATCTCAAAACTGCCGTATTAGCGTTGTTCAACTGGGTATATTTCTTTTCAAGCGACGTATTCTGCCTTCTATCGCCGAGAGCATATAATAGACAGACTTCAGATGGTGTTTCTCGTTGTCCTTGCAGATGGAAATCAGGCTAGGTGAGAGGTCACAACAGGATAATGTCCTGATCGGTTCTTGTTTGACGCAGTTCAGTATTTTGTGGTCTTTGTACGTTTGGCAGCCGAGGTCTTCGCGTCCGCTCGGTTTCATTGTGAATGCTTCCGTGCAAGATATAGGCTTTTGTATTGTGGAAAGATAAAGACATTGCTCGGTGGTTGGTGTTCGGCGTTTTGCATCTAAAATCACAAAGATAAGTGTCGATTCTGCCATGATTAACTAATCTTAAAATTTAATTTGTCAGTGAACAGAATGAAAAGGACAAGGAACACCAGTCCCGGTGTTAAATTTAGTAGAGTTTAGAGAATTATACCAGAATGGACACCAATGTTAATGGATGGATTTGCTTATTTTTAAGAGGCTCGCGTAAGACGTCTGCCTCTACTTGTTAAAACTGTAGATAGGCAATGGAGATAATTCCATTCTACTTGTAAATATTAAAGATGCTAAAAAAATAATTACATTTATATTTTTTTTTTTTTTTATTTTTTTATTATTTTTAAAGCATGTAACTGCTTGATGTTTAAATCTAAAGAAAATATAACTAGAAAAAATTCCACGCGGACCAGGCAGCAGACGGGACTCGAACCCGCACCCTTCGCAATCCGGGCGAATGCACTGACCAATTATGCTACCGCGGCCCTCACGGACCGCGTCGAAATTCCTTCTAGCTATTCTTAAGCTGCAAGGCAGCGCCATCTCTTCGCATTATAGGTAAACCCACAATGTCAAATGAATACTTTTACAAGTATTAAACATTTGAAAGAAGAAATAGCAATTATAGTTATAATTTTTTTTATTATTTTTCAAGCATGTAACTGCTTGATGTTTAAATCTAAAGAAAATATAACTAGAAAAAATTCCACGCGGACCAGGCAGCAGACGGGACTCGAACCCGCACCCTTCGCAATCCGGGCGAATGCACTGACCAATTATGCTACCGCGGCCCTCACGGACCGCGTCGAAATTCCTTCTAGCTATTCTTAAGCTGCAAGGCAGCGCCATCTCTTCGCATTATAGGTGTTCGCGCCCCTATAAACCCCACATATACATACATATAAAAGAAAAGGAATATTACAAATCATAGCGAAAACTTGCATTTATATAACGGATGGCGCCATCTATTGAATGGGACACCGGAGCGCTCTTAGCCCAAGCGTCATTGGTTGTCGCCGGCAGATAGCAGATGTCGTGTTATAGTGATTTATTATAACATAAAGCGAAATTACTAAAAACACCGAGTTTTTATTGAAGAAGACTCCACTTCTATGCCCAAACATAAAAAATTTTTGGCGACCGTGACAGGACTCGAATTATAATCTTCAAATAAGAAAATATTTTTTCCGTTGCCCGTGACCGGCGTCCATGAAGAAGGAAACCTAAAACCTTAAGGATTACACTACGAAAAAGGACAAAGGAAGCAAAGCAAAACAGGAAACTTAATAAGTCGTCGTGTGGCTTGCGAGGTCCAACGAATCATCGAAAGAATCGTGCTGAGCAAACTACAAATACTTCGAGTTCAAAGTTAAGTGCCATCCTTTGTTCCTAAAATCCACAAAATCCATTCCTATCAATTCATTACCATAAATATTAATAAATTTATAAATTGTTTCTACTGATATTACATAATTTTAGTGCATTTTTCGGCAAATAATCAACTACAAAACCGTAAGTACCTACCTACCTACATAATTTTTATAAAAAAATCTGCTTAAATCAAGGTTTAATTGTATAATTCATTGTATTTCCCTCTACTCAATAATAATAACTTTCCTAAATTCAATTAATTTCATACTAATAACTTCCAAATTGATTTGAAAAGGATTTTTTTTGTGACACTATTTATTACCCACAATTAGCTCAATCCATTTTCACCAAAGAGAGGTAGGGCATAGCGGATTCGCCGCTCGAATTGGAGCGCCCGTCTGGGGAAGTAACCTCCACCTTACAGAATACCGCAGTGAAATAACATTACCTTTTGGTGGTGTTGTGTTTCTGTCGGTGAGTAAGGTTCCAGGGCTCCACGGGGTAGGATTTCTAGGGGTGTAATTTTATGTGTGTTGGGATTTAATATAAAATAAAAGAATTCTTCAAAACAGTGTAGGTTTATTAATTGGTTTTATTATATAACAAAAAAGGAAAAAGTTTAAATTATTTAAAAATCAATATCAGTTGTTAGTTAACAAATAGAGCATTTTAGTGTCACAAAAGTGTTATTTGGCTGTTTTCTCATCCGATTTAACGGGCATTTTCCAGGCAAATCATTTGTGGTGCGGAAAGGTGACAGAGCGTTTGGAGTTCGATCGCTTGCGTTACCGGAGGACACCCACCGAGACATTCCGGCAAATTGGGAGCGTCAGATAAGCCTGTTCAATTATTCCTATTTTTTTTTTTTGCAAACAAGTTCAATATTTCCTCTTTTGCCGTCGAATTTTGTTGATTGAATAAGCATTTTCGTAATTTTCCAATTAATTTGGTGTCAAAATGGCTACTGCATTATCACCTAATCCAGCTGTTTCTAATTTAATTGCTACAACAACAAATTTAAAATCTCTTTATACAAAACGCAGTTCTATAAAGGGACAAATAACTAAGTTTAAAAATTATATAGAAAAGATAAGTGAGAACATAGAGGAAAAAACTGATTTAGAAATTGCAGAATTAAATTTAAAATTAAATAAATTTGAAAGCTTGTCAGCCAGATTCGACGATTTGCAGACTGAGATAGAAGATATAAATTCAGATAATTTATCATGTGAGGTTGATGAAAGGGAGCTCATTGAGGATTTGTTTATTCAATGCATTGCAAAGGCTAAAGCTATAATAAAACAAAATGATGGCTCGATAAACAAGTCTATCCATGAGTGCCCTGACATAGAATTGGGTATAAGGTTGCCACAAATTCAAATTTCAAAATTTGACGGATCCTGCTTCCGCTGGCTTGAGTTCCGTGACACTTTTACGAATTTAATTCACAAAAAAACCAACATAACAGATATACATAAATTTCATTACTTAATATCGTATCTTGAAGGGGATGCAGCGCGTATCATTACCAATTTGGAAGTATCTTCTACTAATTACAAGGAAGCCTGGCAGCTTCTTTGTGATCGTTACGACAATAAGAGGCTTCTCATTAATCATCATTTAGATTCATTATTTAAAATTCATCCCATAAATCGAGAATCGGAAAGATCATTGCGTTTCCTTGTTGATCATGTCACTAAAAATCTTCGGGCACTTACTAGCCTTGGTCTTCCAACCCAACATTGGGACGTTCTTGTAATTTTCATTCTTTCGTCAAAATTGGATAGTGAAACGAATGTCAAATGGGAGGAATTTCGAAATACTTTGGATGACATTCCTTCTTTAGAACAATTTAAGAAGTTTTTGGTTGACCGTGCCGATGTACTCGAATCCTTGAATCGCAATAAACATCTAAACAAGCCGACTGTCGGCAACAACTTCAAGGTCACGTCAAATTCAAATATGAAATTTCATTCTCGTTCGTTTCCTAATTACAATTCGAGCAATAGTAAAGTTAATAGTAACAATGATGGCAAAAATACGAATACCTTTATATCCGTAAAATCAAACCAAAACAATTCTACATTCTTGTGCGTAATCTGTAATAATAATCACAGAATTTATGATTGCCCAGTTTTCAAATCAAAGAGTTTAAAGGAAAAATATTCACTAGTTGCTAAATATAAGTTATGTCAAAACTGTTTACGTCAAGGGCATCCTCTTAATGAATGTCGTATGGGGCCTTGTCGACAATGCAATCAACGGCATAATACTTTGTTGCACGATCCTGGCGTTGTTGTCGGCTGTTCTACCTCTGAACATGTTGATGGAGGTAGTGAACCTAATTCGGTTGTAACCTTATATAATGGTGATTCGAATTGTGCGCTTCTTTCCACGGCTTTGTTGGACGTCATCAATCCGGATAGTGGTGCGATAGAAAGAGTGCGTGCTCTGCTTGATTGTGGTAGTCAGTCTTCGTTTATAACAAAGTCGCTTACACAAAGGTTATCACTGAACACTGCACCTCTAAAGGCGGTTAATGTGATTGGAATAGGAAATAATTGCAACAATAAAATAAAGGAAAGTTGTTTGGCTAAGATTAAGTCTATAAATAGTACTTACCAAACTACCTTATCCTGCTATGTACTCGAAGAGTTAACAGGTTTGTTGCCAAAGACACCTGTTAATGTACAAAATATGAACATACCCAAAACCATAAGGCTTGCAGATCCTCAGTTTGCCCATCCTGCTCCGGTTGATGTTTTGATTGGTGCGGATCTCTTTTGGGACATTCTTGGCTGTAAGCAAAAATACTTGGGACCAAATAACAAAATACAATTACGAAGTTCTAAATTCGGTTGGATTGTTGCTGGTTCAACTAACTTATTGGGACATAATAAGTTTTTTTGCAATCATGCATCTCTCAATCAAAATAAAACACTTAAGGTTGATGAATTAATAACAAAATTTTGGGAGCTCGAAGATCTGCCACAAAAGACAGTTCTCGGCTACAATGATATTGAATGTGAAAAACATTTTGTGAAGAATACATCTCGTTCTCCAGAGGGCAGATTTTGCGTGAAGTTGCCTCTAAAGGATACTCCCGACTGCCTTGGAGATTCTTACTTTCGAGCCAAACAAAGGCTTCTAAACCTTGAAAAGCGATTTAAAAGAAATCCAGAGCTAAAATTACAATATACAAACTTTATGCGGGAATATCAAGATTTAGGTCATATGTCTGAATCACCCACGAAAGAACAATATCCATCATATTTTTTATGTCATCATGCTGTCTTTAAAGAGGAGAGTGAGTCAACCAAAATTCGAGTCGTGTTCGATGGCTCCTCTCCCACAACTTCAGGATATTCTTTAAACGATATATTGATGGTGGGCCCTAACGTCCAACAGTCGCTTTTTTCCATATTGGTCAGAGCCCGTCAACACAAATTTCTCTTGACCGGTGACATAGCTAAAATGTACCGTCAAATAAATGTCAATGAAGAAGACAGGGACTTGCAACTGATCTTGTGGAGGGAAAATGAGAATGAGCCCATTAAAACATGGCGTCTCAATACTACAACATATGGTACTGCAAGCGCTAGTTACTTGAGTACTAGATGTTTAAACCAAGTTGGAGAGGAATGTGGTGAACAATTCATCAAAGATATCATACAAAAGGATTTCTATGTTGATGATTTGATCACCGGCTGTGATAATGAACTAGAGTTACGTCACATACTAAATTCAGTAACAAACGCCCTAAATTCAGCATGTTTCCCCTTGAGGAAATTTAAAACAAATTCAAAGGTTTTGTTTGAAGATTCAGATTTGAGTTCTGCAGATGTCTTAACGTTAAGTGAGTCTTCGCACACCCTGGGTCTTGGTTGGGACCCTGTGAATGATACTTTCAACTTTCCAATCAAGGTTAATACTGACATTGATATAAGCACCATCACAAAAAGAATTATACTGTCGCTTTCATTTCAAATCTATGACCCGCTTGGTCTTTTGAGCCCCTGCATTATTCAAGCAAAAATATTAGTCCAAAGGCTATGGCTAGAAGGAATAGGATGGGATGAACCCATTTCTGTGGATCTTAGGGAGAAGTGGTCTGAAATCTACAATAACCTGTCTTTTCTTGCAAGTCTTCAGATTCCCCGCAGGGTGCTGTGCGAGTCTCCGACATCTTTTGAGCTGCATACCTTTAGTGACGCTTCGCAATGCGCTTATGGTGCTTGTGTATACTTGAGATCCACGAGCTGTGACAACGAGATCACGGTGAGGCTACTATGCTCAAAGTCAAAGGTGGCACCTCTTAAACCGTGCACCATACCTCGTCTCGAACTCTGTGCCGCATTGTTAGCTGCTAGACTGTCTAGGAGTGTACTTGATTCATTAAGAGGGCTCCCTACTCGTACGTTTCACTGGTGCGACTCGAGTGTGGTGTTGGGATGGATTAACAGTAATCCAATGAAGCTTAAGCAATTTGTTGCTAACAGAATAGGCGAAATACTGGAATTAACTAATCCCAAATCGTGGTACTATGTTCCAACTGACTCCAATCCTGCTGATTTAATATCTCGTGGAGTCAATAGCAACCAGCTTTCTAGCATGGAATTGTGGTGGTCAGGTCCTAGTTATTTAAAAAAAAATGAATTAGAATGGCCCAAATTAAACGGAAAAACAGTAGTTGAGAACTTACCTGAAGTCAAGGTACTCACTATTGCGATCGTAGATGAGGGAATACCCTTAATCGACTTTAATAAATTTTCGAATTTTGATAAAGTACGTAGAATTCTGGCTTTCGTGTTGCGTTTTTGCCATAATATAAATTCTAAAACTAAATCCATGAAGTATACAGGGTATTTTAGGCCCGAGGAGTTGCAAAACTCATTTATTTTAATTTGCAAAATTAATCAATCATTGTGTTTTAAGGCAGAGTACGAGAAACTTTTGAAGGGCGTTGCGTTGAGCAGTAAATCGAAAATTTCGTCTCTATCACCATTTTTGGATGAGCAGTTTGTAATACGTGTTGGTGGTCGACTTGGTTCCTCCAACTACCCATTTGAAAAGAAGCATCCCATATTAATTGACTCCTCGCATCGTTCGACAAGGTTACTGTTTGAACGTGAACACATCAAAAATCTGCATGCTGGTCCACAGCTTCTACTGGCTACCTTGAGAGAAACCGTTTGGCCTATTAACGGCAGGAGGCTCGCTAGAAGTGTCGTAAGGGATTGTCTTGTTTGCAGCCGTGTGCGCGGCCAAACACTTTTAACCAGAATGGGCGATTTACCTGCATATCGCGTATCAGTTGATTTTCCATTTAGGACTGTTGGCGTAGATTATGCTGGTCCTTTTCTTATCCTAAATAGAAAGGGTCGAGGCGCTAAAGCAACAAAGTGTTATTTATGTATTTTTATATGTTTGCGATTCAAATGTATACATTTGGAGGCAGTGTCAGATTTATCAATGGAATCTTACATAATGACCTTCCGTAGATTTGTAGCGCGTCGTGGTAAGCCAGCGGAGGTATATTCAGACAACGGTCGAAATTTTGTGGCAGCAGCCAAAGAATTGTCTAGTTTTTTTAAAACAAAATAATAAACGTCTATCCGAGTTTGCATCTCAGGAGGAAGTAAAGTTTAATTTTATTCCGGCTTACGCTCCCCACTTTGGCGGAATGTGGGAGGCTGGTGTGAAATCCGCAAAGTATCATATTAAAAGAGTAATGGGAAATACGCATCTTACGTTCGAGGAATTTGGTACATTATTAGCACAAGTAGAAGCAATTTTAAACAGCCGTCCCCTTTGTCCCATGTCTTCCTCTCCAAATGACTTACTTTCCTTATCCCCCGGGCACTTTTTGATTGGAAGACCTTTGAATGCTTTACCATCAGCCGCACTGGAGGACCTGAAGGAGACATCTTTAAGCCGCTTCGCCCGTTTGGAGCAGATACGTCAGCATTTTTGGAGAAGATGGCAGAAGGAGTACATAACCGAATTGCAACAACGAACAAAGTGGAAGACAACAAGGGCGACGCTTAATGTTGGAGATTTAGTACTGATTCACGAAGATAATAATCCCCCGCTAAATTGGAGGATGGGTAGAGTTACACGATTATATCCTGGATCAGATGGGATTTCTAGAGTCGCTGATATTCATACCACTAAAGGATGTATACGTCGGCCGTTGGTTCGACTCTGCCGACTTCCCGCTGCTGTTGAATTTAAAGGTTGAAGAACTTGGCTCTTCAACGGGGGGGAGTATGTTCGCGCCCCTATAAACCCCACATATACATACATATAAAAGAAAAGGAATATTACAAATCATAGCGAAAACTTGCATTTATATAACGGATGGCGCCATCTATTGAATGGGACACCGGAGCGCTCTTAGCCCAAGCGTCATTGGTTGTCGCCGGCAGATAGCAGATGTCGCCCGCGTTCGTGTGTTCGGCTGGTTTTACCGACCATAATGTCATGACTTGTTAAAATTGTTAAATTCATTCTGTCAAAAAAACTGTTACTGCTAAATTGATTTATTATAACATAAAGCGAAATTACTAAAAACACCGAGTTTTTATTGAAGAAGACTCCACTTCTATGCCCAAACAATAGGTAAACCCACAATGTCAAATGAATACTTTTACAAGTATTAAACATTTGAAAGAAGAAATAGCAATTATAGTTATAATTTTTTTTATTATTTTTAAAGCATGTAACTGCTTGATGTTTAAATCTAAAGAAAATATAACTAGAAAAAATTCCACGCGGACCAGGCAGCAGACGGGACTCGAACCCGCACCCTTCGCAATCCGGGCGAATGCACTGACCAATTATGCTACCGCGGCCCTCACGGACCGCGTCGAAATTCCTTCTAGCTATTCTTAAGCTGCAAGGCAGCGCCATCTCTTCGCATTATAGGTAAACCCACAATGTCAAATGAATACTTTTACAAGTATTAAACATTTGAAAGAAGAAATAGCAATTATAGTTATAATTTTTTTTATTATTTTTAAAGCATGTAACTGCTTGATGTTTAAATCTAAAGAAAATATAACTAGAAAAAATTCCACGCGGACCAGGCAGCAGACGGGACTCGAACCCGCACCCTTCGCAATCCGGGCGAATGCACTGACCAATTATGCTACCGCGGCCCTCACGGACCGCGTCGAAATTCCTTCTAGCTATTCTTAAGCTGCAAGGCAGCTTTAAAAATAATAAAAAAAATTATAACTATAATTGCTATTTCTTCTTTCAAATGTTTAATACTTGTAAAAGTTTTCATTTGACATTGTGGGTTTACCTATAATGCGAAGAGATGGCGCTGCCTTGCAGCTTAAGAATAGCTAGAAGGAATTTCGACGCGGTCCGTGAGGGCCGCGGTAGCATAATTGGTCAGTGCATTCGCCCGGATTGCGAAGGGTGCGGGTTCGAGTCCCGTCTGCTGCCTGGTCCGCGTGGAATTTTTTCTAGTTATATTTTCTTTAGATTTAAACATCAAGCAGTTACATGCTTTAAAAATAATAAAAAAAAAATTATAACTATAATTGCTATTTCTTCTTTCAAATGTTTAATACTTGTAAAAGTATTCATTTGACATTGTGGGTTTACTTATAATGCGAAGAGATGGCGCTGCCTTGCAGCTTAAGAATAGCTAGAAGGAATTTCGACGCGGTCCGTGAGGGCCGCGGTAGCATAATTGGTCAGTGCATTCGCCCGGATTGCGAAGGGTGCGGGTTCGAGTCCCGTCTGCTGCCTGGTCCGCGTGGAATTTTTTCTAGTTATATTTTCTTTAGATTTAAACATCAAGCAGTTACATGCTTTAAAAATAATAAAAAAAATTATAACTATAATTGCTATTTCTTCTTTCAAATGTTTAATACTTGTAAAAGTATTCATTTGACATTGTGGGTTTACCTATAATGCGAAGAGATGGCGCTGCCTTGCAGCTTAAGAATAGCTAGAAGGAATTTCGACGCGGTCCGTGAGGGCCGCGGTAGCATAATTGGTCAGTGCTCGAGGGTTCGAGTCCCGTCTGCTGCCTGGTCCGCGTGGAATTTTTTCTAGTTATATTTTCTTTAGAAATAATTACATTGTTTTTTATAGGTAGAACGCTTACAAGAATGTGCCTGCTGCCCGCACCTTTCACAGTCCCCGGTTTCGTCCTTCCCCAAACCCATTACCCCGCAGGCGAGGACTTAAGCGGTCTACCCATAGATAAAATCTTTGTGGAAGATCATAGACTGTCCTCATACCGCGAGAATACAACTGGAGAGAGATAAATAAATAGGGGTCTTATATATGGGAAAATAATTTATACATAAATATCACAGTGATTTCATAAGTTTTAACTCAAAACCGATTCGTCTAGATTAGAATACCTTAAACCAGTTCCTTTTCTATTGTGGTTACAAACCTTTTTCTTTTATGATTCCAAAGTGTTTCGTGAGTAGATTGCTGTAGTACCGACAAGACCCAACCAGCTGTGTTTTTACATGCTCATCTGAAGAACAAAAAAACGATTCTAGGAAAGTAAATCTGCTTCTTAAAATGAGGAGCTCGATGGCGCTAGTTGATAGCGCGTTCGGCTGCGATCGTTGCAGATAAGCATCTTTCGCAGTGGTCGGTCATTGGATGGGTGACCAAAAATTTACTATCTCGACCTCCTCCGTGCTTCGGAAGGCACGTTAAGCCGTTGTTCCAGGCTGCATCTGCGGACGTTAGCACCCACCAATCTGGACTAAGTCCGCGCGGTGGGTCATGGCTCAATCTGTATTCCATCCATAGGGAAGGCCTGCGCTCAGTAGTGGACACATTAATAGGGCGATGATGATGATAAAATCTGCTTCACTATCGGAAAGCCTTTGCTCCACTAGGTCAATAACATAGATAATAATGAAGTTAAATATCGCATGGAAAATGACCTTTACCTGTATCACAATAAGGCGGTATATCCAGCACTCTGGCGTGACAACTCACATTATCAGTCGCGTCTACTACTGACGATTGCGGGGTATCGTAAGCGAACACGTATTCAGCTGAAAATAATGGTTTCAAACAATAACAAAATAAATATTTTTTATTTTATTTTAGATACGAGTATTATACACATTGGCAAACTTCTTGATCATCGCCCATAAACAAGGAAGCCTGCACAGTAGTAATTTTGCATACAAAAATGTCTACTGCGCAAGTTTGTGGTTTTGCTCAAGAAGTTCACTTCTGCCTTTAGGCACTGCCGGATTTAGGGGAGGGCAACCGGGGCGAAAGCCCCGGGGCCTTCACAAACGGGAGGCCCCCACAATAGAGACTTCGGAAGTAAAAATCTATCAAATTCCGACTAGTAAACACTAGTAAACATCTTTTCGGTTCCGTTCGTTAACTCTAAGATTTAATTCCAGATAATTCTTGTTTCCGTTTATATTTATATGTGTTTGTTCAATACTAAGGGAATCTACTTGGTTCACAATAAATTATTTATTGAAAAACTCGAATGAAAAAAAAATGTTTACGTTATTTGGCAAATAATTTGGGGTGAGGGAGCCTCCGCTCCTCTGTTGCCCCGAGGCCTCTGGACCTCTAAATCCGGCCCTGCCTATAGGTACTTAACTACAAGACAAAGGGTTGGAACATACCCAAAAGAATATATAAGATAGATAGGCACTCAGTGCCGTCTTTGACCAAATGGAGGTCCTGGGCATATTAGGATAATGGGGCCCCTATGATTTCCGTTTAATGATTTAACAGGAACTAGGGACTTTGTGTTTGATCTGAGGGGGCCCCCTATCAATCGCGGGGCCCTGGGCACTTGCCCAAAGTGCCCATTGGGAAAGACAGGGTCTGTAGGCACTTACGTATTTTAGTTCGATGACGTGGTGGTCCACTGCACTAGGTATAGCCACCTAGTTGCTTGGGTGTAGCCGGCACACCTACATAAAGAGCATCGATGTGCTCCCAAAGCGGTAATTTCTGCTAGACGAAAAAAAAAGTATACCTTTTCCTGGTTCCTTTTTAATTTCCTGATGACAGTGGCACTTGGATGGCCTTAGGCCGCACTGTGACGTCACCATGGCTGCTGAGCGTATCGCCAAAGTCTTTGCTGAGGCAGCATCATGCTCTATGGGCATAGAAAAATAAATAAATATGAACGAAAGTTGGTATTTCCTATCATTAACAGATTTATGGGTGGATATCATCATCATCATGCGCCTATTAATGTCCTCACTGCTGGGGCATAGGCCTTCCCTATGGATGGAATAGGGATATTGGGCAATGACCCACCACGCGGGCCAAGTGCGAATTGGTAGGTTCTAACGACTGCAGACGCAGCCGGGACCAATGGCTTTACGTGTCTTTCGAAGCACTGAGGAACACGAGATAGAAGATTTTTGGTCACCCATCCAATGACCGACCCCTGCGAAAGTTGCTTAAACTTCAACGATTGCAGCCGAACGCGCTAACCACCTGCGCCATAGGGCTCCTCGTAAGTGGATGTATGATTCACTTTTTCTTCACTTAGATCTTTCCATAATCAGATAAAATGTTGGAAGAGAACCGCTAACCCACCACACGGACCAAAATGGATGAAATGCTTAAGCTTATGACATACAAATAGTAAACGTAAGGTACGTTAGTAAACGTACCTTCCAAAGAAGAGGAACTAGAGATTTTTTGTCACCTATTTCATGCGACGCTTAATATCAGCCGATGTTAAGGAAGCACGCTTGCTTAAAATAATATTGTTTCATAAAAAATCACGAGTAATACAAAAATGTGATAAAACAGTGCTGATAAATTATCCATTAGGGTATACTAATAAGGTATATTTGTGGTATATACTATTATATATGTTATGTGCCTCCAAACCTTACATAGATCAGACCTCTCTGCAAAGAACAATGTTTCCGTATTTCGTTTGAGTTGCCTAATTGTTTGTTTGAGAAAGGGGAAATCTCTAACAATTCTACTTGCAAATTAAACCAAAACCTACATTTTACTCTTAGGCCCGTATTACAAAATGACAACTAAGTGTTGATCTTTACTTGAGTACAGTTAGAAAGGGATATCGCTATGTGCTGTTATATAGCGACATCCCTTTCTTACTATGCTCAAGACTAGATAAATCGCTGAGAATCTTTAACACGGGCCTTAGTGACCCTGAGGCGACCCTTGTTTTATGCAAAAGATTATATCGGTTTGATAACCTCAATCTGAAAGTACAGGCTTTACCTCAGGTTCCCAAGCAATTCTGTCGGTCTATATGATATCTTTTGATCTTAGCAACCGTTAATGGTATATATGTAGTTAAACCTAATTTAAAAGTAGTAGTCAAACTTTATAAGATTACGTATAAACCCTTATAGAATCATTGCCACCGCTATTCGAGGAACAGATGCTGACTCAATCAATTTTATAATTTGCCAACCTTTAGTAGGAACAAGTTCTCGCCCAGTGTCTCTTACAGGAAAAACGTGCCGATCTTTCACAGCCAGCTTGGTAGTTTCGTATAATGCTTCATAAACTGAAATGAGGGAGTATAAAGTTCATGACACCTTCACAATAATGTTTGTCATAACGAGTTGACATGAAAAGTCAACACGAGAGCTAACTACTTTAATACGATAAGTATGTAAGTGTCACAAGGCAACGCTAAAAGAGAAATGCCTAAAGTTTTCGTTTACAGGCGGAAACGTAATTGTGCCTTCCCAAAGTTTCGTCAAAGTTTCTGGGAAACTTGCAAGTTTATGTTCAATTCCTTGACACAAAGAATACGATTTGTATCGTTTTAAGGGGATTAACTAAACATTAAAAATGATGTGAATCTCGAAAGAATTTCACAAAAATATTCCCCGAGTGGTGAAAACAATACTTACTAAGAACTCACGAGCCTGTTTCAAACTACATCCAGAATGTATTCAAACGTGTATAGAAAAAAGCATGTATGGTTTAAAACTATACTTAATAGAAAAGATTAGGAAATAGCTAAGGATTTATCGTCTTTATTTATAAAGCTGTCATTTATTTTTACTTTTATAAAAATGAACCGCTGAAATGTATGTTCAACAAAGCTTTCAAACGATTGCACAAAACTATACTAGATATTTTTTCAAACAAAATTTTCTACTTTCGAATCATTTGTCATTGTTATCGGGTTTACCTTTGGGGGATAAAACTTCTCCAACGCGGGAATACAAATTCACGGTCTGATTGACGCCTGTCTCATGACACACACGAAGTTCAGGTACTTTTGGACAGATATCTGTATCAATGAAATGCCTATGTAAGTTTACAGATAGAAATATGTCAGATAAAATACGCCGTGTATTTTGAGTTACCTAAGAAAATTTACAAGTGAATTTAGACAACGGCTTATGCTGTGTTTCCGCGAAAAATAAATTTTAAAAAAGGCGATATTGCTGTCAAATTGACTTAAAAGGATAGAAAGGTTAAAAAGGAAGAAAAGGAGAAAGGTCACACAAAGAAGCCCACCTTGAATACGTTCGACATTAGCAGACTGGACAGACGCATCAATATGTGTTTTGTGCACGACACAATGGGGCCTGTCGTATACAAATATACATTCTGAAAATAAAAACCAAAATTTAATCAAATATAATTTAAATGTGGATTTTGCAGCTATAAACCATTTGCACCACGTAAGTTCTAAATTAAACTAAACAAAAAACTAAATTAATTACTTCTACTTAGTTTGAAGCTCAGGGTGGAATGTTAAAAGCTTAAGTGAAAAATACTAACACAGATAGCTTACCATTATAAGTGTTCTCATTTTGAGCACATATTATTGGTTTCGGTAAAATACATTTGGATGTAAACACACTTGCAGACTTCTGTTCTTTTATTATGGATTCAATGGTATCGGTTTCTAAAAAAATACAATGCTTAGTTGGATAAACAATTTTGTACTAAATATAACAAGTTTTAACGGGATAGATGCGCTGATTTATTTATTTATTGACGTTTCACATCCTTTGCAGGAATGCGTCGTCGGAAAGTCGTCATTCCGTTGTTGTGTTAGGCTTGTGTTATGGGATACTAGGGTAACGGATAGAATACATATACTGTACCTACATATATGTGTATTTATATAGCAATACATATTAAACATATGGACTGGAGTACAAATGCTCGTATTCAATACACAAACATTTGCCCCCACCGGGATTCGAACCCGGGACCTCTCGAGTCGGCGACACCATCAAACCTGGAGTACAAACCATTCGGCCACCGAGGCCGAAAAAAAGGTAGCAGGCTAGTTAAACACGAAAATACGTCTCACTTTCAGCAATTGAGATAAAAATTACATATTTGTTTCTTAGGTTTTCACACTCATTAAATAAAACTAGTTTTAATGGGTTAATGCACGAAACTTTATTTATTTATTGACGTTTTGCAGCCATTTCAGGTCTGCATCGTCAGAATAATGTTTTTTTATTTAATTTTGTCGAGCTACCTTCGAAAGACTTTTATTGAGCGTTTGCTTATTTCATTGGAAGATTTTTTAAATTTTATTGTCTATGTATGAATTTATCAGTTGATTTAGTTAATAAAGTACTTTATTTAAAATTCTTTTTTGTAATGATTTGACCCTAACTACCGTTAATCACGAACGAAACTTCAATAAATAAATAAAGTTTTGTGCGTTAACCCGTTAAAACTAGTTTTATTTAATAAAAATTACACTTAATATTTTCTAATCCAACTAAAATGTGTTTCAGTGTCATGCTTAAACTAAAGAAAAATAATTAAACAAGTGCCGGTAGTTTTGCAAAATTGTCTTGTCCGTTGATTAGTATTAGTAGACCTTGAGACCCACTGCCGGATTTAGGGGAGGGCAACCGGGGCGAAAGCCCCATGGCCTCCACAAACGGGGGCCCCCCATAATAGAGACTTCGGAAAAATAAACTATCAAATTCCAACTAGTAAACATCTTTTCCTTTGATATTTTTTTTTGCTCTTTTTGCAGCCTACAGTACTTTGAACATCTAATATACATGATTATTCAGGGCCAAATTTAAGGCAAGGCAGGTGGGGCTGTGGCCCAGGGGCCTCCACAACAGCTTAAGAAATAAAAACATTTAGATGGGTCAACAATCATGCAAATCCTAAGTGGCCCGGGGCCTCCACAACAGAATAAAAGATAACAAAATTTCGATGGGTTAACTAGCATACAAATCCTAAGTGGCCCAGGGCCTCCACAACAGGATAAAAGATAACAAAATTTCGATGAGTTAACAAGCATACAAATCCTAAGTGGCCCGGGACCTCCACAACAGGATAAAAGATAACAAAATTTCGATGGGTTAACTAGCATACAAATCCTAAGTGGCCCGGGGCCTACACAATCCTAAATCCGGCCCTGTTGAGACCAGTCAAATGTGAAAACAAATCGAGATAAATTACAAGCCTACGTTAACGAAAGCTTATTTAGTGGTTGATGAAAAAGTTCTAAGGTCCTACCTATTTAGTTTTTCTTGACCTCTGAAGGCTAATGGTTATCGCACAATTAGCGTTACAAGTACTATCCAACTTTAACATTATATTGAATTTTGAACTGGACTTGTTATGTTGCTGACGTTCTAAGGAAGAAATTAATGAAAATGACACATTACGCATTGTAAAGAAATATATACCACCGTTCAACCTTTTTGATTACTTCGCTAAAAGCTTTATTTGTTCTCCTTTGTTTTTTTTTAATTTAAGTTTCACATAAATTACAAATTAAGTGTCAAATGTGACACGAAATAAAAAATTGTGTGCTTGGACCACACATCTGAAGTGAAACTTCTTTTCTTAAATAACCTAACATTATTATAGGCGGGGCATAAGGCATAGGCGAATGGAGCAGCGTACGCATCATTAATATATATGTTTATTTAATAACAATATATTATATTGTTGCCTGTGACGCTCGTGACGCTCGTAGCGTGTCAGCCTTTGCCCAGTTACCTTCCAACATTCATGCTCGTCGGGAAGAGCTGCGCACGCATCCCACACACACACATACACATATATATTTAAGAGATGTCGTGCTGTCATTTCTGCCAAAGGACATGCGACCAAATATTGATACGTACCGGAAAGTTATACAAATGTGTTAGGAATATTGCGTTATAAAGATAATTTCAATAATAACATTATTTTTTCCTATTTCTTCGAAGCAAATCGAGCGTCTTTAATTAGCTGGCTTTAATTACGTTCCCATAGTGAGCAGTGACTAAACTACATACTAACGAACACAACTATTTTATGTCCCACATTGTAAGAATACAACGTCGTATATAGTTTAATAACAATTACACTTGATTAAATACTAATGTTAGCTAATTTTAGTAAATAAGTATGTTTTTTGTGGTCAATTAGGGAGTGTCTTTAATTATGTGACCACCACTGTATACGTATATATATATATATATATATATACACATATTTATTGTCGTGTAACGTCCGTGACGCATTTCCGTTTTCATCTTTTCCATAGGATTTTTCCATTTACACCCCGTCCGAAAAGAAGGTTCACTTCAAAATTAATTATATGCAAGCGTGCCTTGTTGGGGTAATCAAAAGTGTTCAACTATTCCAGAATTTTATATTACCTATACCAGCTTCTTTAATATCCGGACTAGTTTGTAGAATAGATTCTTTTAGTTGTTTTGATAAAAGTTCACCTGAAAATATTATGGCTTATGTTATTTCTAAAGAAAATCGATTTTACTAAGCTTCTCTAAAAACATTACTACTTCACTAAATTTGAGCAAATAGACAATTTGTTTTATTATAATATACCTTACTTGACATGAATGTATAAAAAGCTAAAATACCTGATGTGACCCTATCTACCATCATTTTATTTCTTTCCATAAGTATGCTTTTAGTTTCGTTATTAATAGCACAGTCAACCGCTTGCACTTTAGCGGAACTGCTAAAGTTGGATGGTAACTCAACTGGAGTTAGTGGTAACTCTGCTGGAAAAATAATACCACTATCAGGTTATTTAAATAAAATCTTGGTAGTCTAAAATATTGAGGTTGTACAAATGAGAGCACATTGGAATCCAATAGTTACAAAATTCCATTTAATTTGTATTTTCATACCCGATTCTCCTGCATGTAGTAAAGTCTCTTTAAGGGTTTCTGGTAGAGCTTCATCTGTAATAATAAGAATTAAACAGTTCAATTTATGACTTGCTCTAATTTATAGCTATTAACGGGATTGTTACCATGTACCTTGTTTTTTAGAGACTGAGACTCATAAAAGACAAGGTACATGGTAAAAATCCCGTTAATAGCTATAATGTTAGTGACCATGAAAGTTTAAAACAATATGCTCTAATTAAATTTCATACTATATGAACTATGAACACAAATTTTATAAGATCTCACCCGATGTAAACTCGTCTACCATTATCTTGCTATCTTCCAATGATACAATTTCTGTTGGTTGTTTTATAACAGAATCGTTTACTGGTAAAACATCAGCTAGACTGTCATTGGATGGTATATCACCAGGAGTAGGGGGTATCACTGAAATGATGTTATTTACGCTACATAAATCAGTATAATTAGGAAATCTATTATTGACTTCGTTAATTAGTACAATGGTTATATTGACTTAAAATGCTTTGACTCAATCTTGCACAAATGTTTTTTTGTTATCCAATTAGTTAATTTTACGAAACAAATCTTGTCATTCTTATGAATATGGTTAGTAGTTAGGTACTTTCCATTTTTTTTCTCCTGATGTAGATATAGCTTACCTTATATTACAACCCCAGAAATAAGTTACTACAATAGGTGAAGCTCAGTGCAATTTCAATCCAAGAACACTGACCCATCCCGATGAAAATATGCCTTAAGTAGTGATAATATACAGATTTTTGTACAAAAGTGTTTATCTAAATTGTAGTTTTTATTAACTTACCTTTACTTAAATTACATATAACGCTTGCTTTGCTGATTGCATTGCTTTTAGAAGAATTCTGACTTTTAGAATATTTGGATGCACGTGCTATAGACATCGAAGCCCGTTTCAAGGCTTTCAGAGCAGACTCTTCAACGTCTATAATTGATTGGTATTCTAAAGCAATAGAATTAGAATAGAATAGAAATAGAAGAAAAGAATACTTAGATCAAACATAACTATATCATCAATACATAGTTGCAAAACTATTTGTATCATTTTTCATTGTTTGATAATATTAAATTATACAATTTGGGCTTAGACTTGCACTACTAAGTATTTTGTTTGACTCTGTCGCTCAGATAGAGCAACCGCCACGAATAACTAAAATTCTAAAACCAAATTCAGAAAAACGTTAATAAACCTTTTTCGTCTCTGGTGCATCGTTTGATCCACTTGTCGGCATCCAGGTTGCTGGAGAGTATGGAACTGTTGATGGCCCTGCTGAGCCCGTCCTGCAGGCTCGAGTCCGCCTGACCGATCCGACGGGATAGCGACTGTATTTGTTCAACGGTTGTTCGAGCTAAATACGTAGCGAAAAACATTATTTTTGTAAGTAATTATGGGTAATTTAATTTATTTATATTTACACAGAAATTAGAGATGGGCCGATTATAATATTTTCCGACTAACCGACTTTCGAATTACCGACTAGTCGGCCGACTATTCTGCAATGCCGATCATTCTAATACCTATCTTAGGAAGGTGTTCGGAATATTTCGTCACTACTCTGATTGCTCACACACGACACGAGTCTCCCGAATCGAGCCGATATATTCATGTTCCAACATCACAAGGAAAAAAAATACCTATGGACTTCTTTAAGACGATTACGTGAAGACACGTAAAATTTCACTCAATTAATACATACTTACTTCCCACTGCTATTTTGTTTTATGCGATATTCATTGTGTTCATTTATCTGAATTACTGACAGATTCTGAAGTTCCTAATTCTTATTGTTATAACTTTAAATACATACTCTTGGTAATGTTTAAATATTCTAAACAAGCATAAGTATTGGGTTTTATTTCATTGTTATGTGCCGATTATAATCGGCATGTTTTGCTGAATAGTTGCCGACTAATCGCCGACTATAAACGATGTCTTTCCCGACTAGTCGGCCCATCTCTAATAGACATATTTAAAATTACAAAAGCTTAAAACTACTTAATGTCTAAATTGTCTAATTGAGTTCTCAAAATTCAAAAAAAAAAATTTAAGAAAGTCTTTTGTTATTACTACTCTATAAATGCTCTATGTTAATTTGCATTTTTATGCTTAACACAATAGTGTCACTGCGTGAGTTTTTACTCCACAACAAGCGATTCGAACGCTTGTAGGTTCAGCAAAATTTTTATTTCTGCCGTTATAGTGATAATGGTCCAGACTCTGGTACAACTTTTAAAATCTAAAACTAAACTCGGCAGCTTTGATGACCTAGGCACCATTTGATGGTATTATTTATTTACAATTATTAGTTACATTATATTATTAGTAATGTTTCTATCAGTGAGTAAAGTTCCACTAAGATGGGCCTAGCTATGCTTTGGGTGTCACTTACCGTCAGGTGGGTCATCTTTTTGTTTGTTATCTTAGTTATAAAAAAAATGATGAGACAATTTTCAATGTAACTTACTAGTTTTGCTAGCTGAATTGCCTTTTTCATAAAAACTGGTGCTCGTTGCTTTTTCTAATGTATTCACGCCCAGATTATTAATACTTCTTGTTGAGGATTCCATGTCTGAGGATATTTATGCAAACATTGTCAACTCTTTTTCATAAAGATGATTTAAAATAAAACACCTCTAAATATTAATGTACCTCAAGAGAGCTTTGCAATTAGTATGGAAATCTGAGTTGGTTTGAAAGAAACTGCGGCATTGCTAATCAGTCTTTTTAATTGTCTACTGTTATTTTAGAATTCAATAAATAGATAATCGAGGAGTTCGATGGCGCAAGTGGTTAGCGCGTTCGGCTGTGATCGTTGAACTTAAGCAACTTTCGCAGGGGTCGGTCATTGGATGGGTGACCAAAAATTACTTTACGAGCTCCTCCGTGCTTCGGAAGGCACGTTAAGCTGTTGGTCCCGGCTGCATCTGCAGTCGTTAGCACCCACCAATCCGCACTGGGCCCGCGTGGTGGGTCATGGCCCAATCTCCCTATTCCATCCATAGGGAAGGCCTGTGCCCCAGCAGTGGGGACATTAATAGGCTGATGATGAAATAGATAATAATGGATTTTAATTACTAAAGCAACGTTGACCTGTGTTGGTTCGTATACATTAAGGGCCTTAATGTTTACTTAAGAATTTATTAACAACAATCTTAAATGGTACTTTCTTTCATATATTTTTAATTCATAAAACTCTTTGAAGAATTCAAATATTATGGTCCGACTTGACAGAATAAATTTATGCAATAAAATACCCGGAGAAAGGCTCGTTTAATTACCATCTCAATATTGAATATGATAAGAGAATAAAAGTGCCTATTGAATATAAATGAATAATATCTTACTATGGGTAATTTTGTGATTCGAGTGAGTATTCGTTTCGGTATCGACGTAGGCGCAACCGCACATCAAGCTATGGTAACCTATAAAAAGAAACAAAAGAAAATCTTTAAACAGAAAATAGAAAAACTGGTAGCCGGCTTCGTCCGTATGAATTTCACAATTTTATACAAAGTATGCCATGCCCGCTTCATCAATTTCAGATTATTGTAGAGTATCCAAACTTACAAACAAATTTTAAAAATACAAAAGTGTGTCTGTTTTTCTGTCTGTTACCGCGACACGCAAGAACCGCTGAACTGATTTAGATGAAATTTGGTATAGATGGTTTGTGTCCGGGAAATGCCATCTAATAGAAAAAAAATCTTCCTCTAAGGGGATGAAAATATGGGTGAAAATTTCTATGCGAAACCAATTTTCCACAAAGTCGCGTTTGGCGGTATTATATTAATTGAGCAGCCCTTGCCGAGTTTCTTGCCGGTTCTTCTCAGTACAAGGTCTCCCGCCGTAGTTTTGCGAACCGATGGCGTACCTTTCGACTTTCATATGTGCTTGTATAAATGATTTTTGAATCAATTGAATTGAATTGAATTAATGCAGTTTCAGTCCTAAGGGCCGCCATGTTAATAAGCAAATACTATTACTTACGTTCTTTACTGCGAGCTCTGATGGGAGTGTCGCCGATCGGATACGATGTCATTATCGAGATAGATTTCTGTTGCGATGTTTTGCGGGGTGCCATTATATCAGTTTCTGTAATAAAATTTTGTACATACTTGTAAGCAAGTTAATTGTCCATGACGGGAATAGTATCATATTTGTTTCTTAGGTTTTCACGCGCATCACTCATTAAATAAATCTAGTTTTAACGCGTTAATGCACGAACTTTATTTATTTATTGACGTTTTGCAGCCTTTTCGGGTCTGCATCGTCAGAATAATTATTCCGACGATGCAGGTCTGAAAAAAATTCTGACGATGCACACATGAAAAGGCTGCAAAACATGAATAAAGGTCGTGCATTAACCCGTAAAAACTAGTTTTATTTAATAGAATCATGTTTTTTATATTAAAATGATTCCTTCACTTGTGCTACACGGCATTGCATCTTTCCAAGTTTCATGATTTTAGACCTCCGGACATGGGTGCTTCGGTCACTACCTGCACCGAGTTGCCCGTCGGGAGGAGACGCCGCGGTGTCATCACTGCGCCTCTCCCGACGACACGGCTGAACACACGTTGATCGTGTGCCCGGCCTGGCGAAATGAGCGCCGCGATCTGATCGCGGCGCTCGGCGGAGGAGGCCTCACGCTGCCAAGTATGGTAAGAGCCATGCTTGGTAGTGAGAGAGCCTGGAGGGTTGCCGCCTCCTTCTGCGAATCGGTGATGACGCAGAAGGAGGCAGCGGAGAGGGAGCGGGAGGAGGACGCTCTAGCCGCTCCTCTCCGGCGTAGACGGGTGGGCCGAAGAAGGCAGGCAGCGGTGACTGCCGGTCTTCGACGGCCCTAAGGTGGTCTGGGCGCGGCCTGACCAGCCGCGCGTCCTAGGTGCCGCTCCGGCATAGGCCACCACGTCTGGGGACTGCCTAGTACCCTAGCGCAGTCCCCCTGAGGCGCGTCGCCCGGTTCACTAGTTGGGCCGGGCCTGCCCGGGGGCGTGCTCGGAGATGTGGCGCACGCAGGTGCGTCGGCCCCGAGACCGCCCCCATATGGGCGTAGGAGGGTACCGGGGGGTTTTAGTGGAGTAGGATCAGTGTGGCCTTCCGCACTGGTCCTGCTTGAGTAGGGTCGGCACTGTTTCCCGTGCCGGCGAGTCCCACACACGCCGTGCGCCTAGTCAGCGTCACGGTATGGTGCGTAACTGCAATTCCCCTCGTCACAAAAAAAAGGGGGAAAAAAGTCATAAGGGTTTTAATTCCCTTATCATTGTCATAATATCACACTAATATTATAAAGGCGAAAGGTTGTGAGTGTGTATGTTTGTTACTTCTTCATGTCTAAACGGCAGGAGCGATTATCACGAGCGACCATAAAATTTGGTATGGAGTTAGCTGAAACTCTGGATTAACACATAGCCTACGTTTTACTTACGTTGTTAGAGAAAATATCCCTAATAAGCCGCGGGTAACACCGCGCGGCACAGCTAGTACGGAATAAAATTGCATAAATGACCGTGGATTTCAGATGCATCGATATGGAGTTTGATTTTTCACTGCTTCAAAGGAATGTAGACCCGATAATTTGAGATTATTTTAGTTTGGTATCATAAATAAATATGTCCAACACTGACACCAATTAGTCCAGTCCTAAAGTAGGCACCGTAGGCTGGTATTATGGGATACTAGGGTAACTGATAGAATACATATACTAATACATACATATTAAACATCCATGACTGGAGTACAAACGCTCGTATTCATCACAAAAACATCTGCCCCCACCGGGATTCGAACCCGGAGCCTCTCTAGTAGGCAACATCTTGAAACCCGGCATACCACCCGTACATACCACTCGGCCACGGAGGTCGTCAAAGAAAGAAAGTATGGTATAACCCCTAGGCCCTAGGCATTCACGAGAAAAAAGATTTTACAGGCGGATACATGCACGGACCGATAACAAGTTGATCCTATAAGAGTTCCGTCTTTTAGGTTATTAATGAATCTTAAACACCAACAATAGTCAAAAATAGCATTTTTTTTATGTTATAGGAGGCAAACGAGCAGATGGCTCACCTGATGGTAAGTGATCACAGTCACCCATGGACACTTGCAACACCAGGAGTATCACAAATGTGATGCCGGCCTTTAAGGAAGGAGTACGCCCCCTTTTAGAAGGTTTTTGGGTCGTATAGGTCCGGGAACACTGCTGGCGACAATATATTCCACAGTTTTGTCGTACGTAGTAAAAAATTTCGACAAAAACGCACGGTTGTGGATAGCCACGCATCAAGATGATGGATGAAATTTTTGTCGCGATATAAGATGGCGAAATGCAGCAGCTGGAATTAATCCGAACAATTCCTTAGAACACTCTCCGTGATAAATGCGATAGATGATGCAGAGCGAAGCTACATCCCTACGCAAAGCCAAAGGATCAAGCTGATCGGAAAGGTCCTGGTCGTCGACGATTCGAGCCGCTCGGCGCTGGATGCGATCCAAAGGGAGAAGCTGGTACTGGGGTGCCCTCGCCCAAAGATGAGAGCAGTACTCCATGTGAGGCCGAACCTGTGTCTTATAAAGCTGCAGTCGGTGGGCCGGTGTGAAGTACATTCTCGATCTATTGAGCACACCAAGCTTCTTAGAGGCCAATTTGGCCTTGCCCTCTAAATGATCCCGAAACTGGACGTCGCTCGATATGTCAACGCCAAGAATTCCAATACTAGCTGAGACAGTTAGAGGAGTGTTCTCAAAAAGGGGAGATACGACAAATGGTATTTTTTTTTGCGGTGAACGCGCATACTCGTGTCTTCGTAGGGTTAAATTGGACTAGATTAAGTCGGCCCCAATTCGTTACTTGGTTTAAGAAAGTTTCGACTAAAGTTAGCATAAAGTTACAGATGCGTAAAAAGCAAATTCTTCAACTGTACAAATGTTGACGTCTGTCTATATTCATATGTAAGTAAGTACCACTACCACGTATGAATTTGCAAGCGTTCGAAAGTATTCACAATGCCGCAGAGTGGAATGTTATGATCGTTGCATCTGGACACAGTACTACACAACTCGAACTGAACCAGTAACTGAAGTTGTTGATAATACCGAACTGGAAAGAACCTTATTTTGGTGATATGGTACTGGATGAGACGACCTATATGTATGTAGTTTAAATCATACACACAAAGGTACCAATACCAACAACGTAAATACAGGTTTTAATCTAACAACTTGGTATTGGTATTAGATGTAGTCAATCACAGGTTAGAAGCCCATCATTGTCAAATATTACCGAAATAACTCTCATATTCATAACGCGAAATACATTGGATTTCAGCTAGAAATAAATATTTCATGATCACGTTCGAATATTTGCTTTTGTTGACAATTTTTATCTACCTACTCGTACCACTGCGGTTGCCAAATATCATGGGACAAAAAACTTCATGAGTTTAGGTTTAAGATATCAAAGTGCAGAAATCTAATACATATAATACAAGCCTTCGAATATTTCAAAGGTGTTACAGTTAACAAATAATAAATAACTATATTTTTGAAGGCGTTCTGTTACTGTATTTTAAAACTACTGTGCCACACATTACTAGGAAGACGCGATTCCTAGAGACGAGAGAACTGAGAAATGAGTCATGCTACATTCACTCGTTTCCTGCCTGAAGTTCCGTCGTGCTCGGTGACATAATGGAATGGAAACATAATATGATACCAGTAAAATTTTATATTTCTGTTTTCCTGTCCACTAAATATTTTCAAAGGAAGTCGTGTTTCAACTGCTAGCTGTATTTCTGTCACTCTTGTTATTTTATAACAAGGTGTTTTTAAATTTGATACAGTTCATTTTTACTTTAGTACTTACTTAGGTATTTCTGTTAAATAAATGTTAAAAAATAGAATTGCGAATTTTCCTATTTTATGATAAAAAAATGTTCATTATTTATTTTACACACACTAACAGACAATTCGTGATAATTATCAGTTTAGGTAAACAACTACAATTATATTAACCTAAAAATAAGTAAACTAGAGTTTACCAAGCTTTAGTAAATTTTTCTCATACCCACCAAAAATAGACTGTGACGTAAACACGATACTAAATTAAGAAAACAAAGAAACGATGCGGTTTGTTTGGGTGAGATCAACAATTCAACCAAGAGAAGATTTTAGTAAAATCGCTCGAGCACTGCATTTTTAGTAGAATGAGTTAAGAGGCTAGCTAGTAAGTGCATAAAATACAAACTCGAATAAGGTATACCGAAGATGTAAAACGGGTATTGAAACAATAGCCGGGCGTAATAGCGGTGCCGGCACAGGTTTTCTCCCTGCGGACGCATAAACCGCATTAAATGCAGAGTTAGGATATCTAGCTAGAGCGCTGTAGGTGCGGTCTCAGTGACAAGCAACAGCGAGTAAATAAGTCGATTAATAAAATAAATATAAATAAATGAATGAATGCTATAAGGTCGTTTTATCCTAACACTTAGTAATTGTTTTCTTACCATAAATTTTGATTATCATGTTTATTCTATTCATATAACTGTAAAGATTGTACGTGACTTTAAGTTAATTATGTAAGTGTATGAATGTTTGAGTCTGTAGAAACTTAACTGGTTTATGGAAAAGTAATAATTATTACTTAATTGAATTGTGTAAAACTGCATGTTTCCCAAATGAAAATAACACACACTAATTAGCCTAGCCCCAAAGTAAACACTGTAAGGCTTGTGTTAAGGGATGCTAGGGTAACAGATAGAATACATATATTGTATATATATAAGTATATTTATATAGAAATACATATTAAACATATATGACTGGAGTACAAATTCTCGTATTCATCACACAAATATCTGCCCGCACCGGGATCTGAACCCGGGATCTCTCTAGTCGGCGACACCATGAAACCCGGCGTACAAACAACTTGGTCACGGAGGTCATCGAATGATAGAATTACTTCTAAAAAAAAAATGGTTGCCTGTAAAGTCGGTTTTACGGGCGAAGATTTTACGTGACAACGTCTTTTTCTCGGTAGAATATTTATTGATATGAATATAATTAAATTGCACAATAGGAACAAGGAATTGAATGAAAATAAGAATTGCACAAATTTTAACTATAGAAATATATTTTGTTTACTAAAACATTGTACATGTAAACTTAAACTTAACACGAGAGACTCATCGTAACGTTACCGAGCGTTACACTTTTTCATAAGTGACTCCCAGCCGCAACCTAATTTAAGACGTTGTCACGTCAAAAAGTGGTTCTGTAGGTAGGGTGACGAGGTGAGAGCACCATAAGACATGTCCTATAACTTACCACCAAAAACTTTGATAAAACCAGACCCAAGAAAAACTACGCAGTAGTTGTTATTTTATGTAAGACTGAAGCCAAACGGGTGTTATATTTTGAGTTGTCAGTCGCGTAATTTAAGCTGCATTAGGTTTAATAGAAAAATCCTGTTTTATCCATACCGCGGCGCAAAATGAGTCGGCAAATAGCAGGACTTTTGCTTTATGAATGAGTGTGAAAGAGACCACTTTACTGCGCTCTATTGGCGGCTGTTATCAAGGGAAGTTGGGGCGGGGATTACTTATGCCATTTTAAAATGCAATATTTTTGGTGTATAACCTGTCTATATATTATACGTCATTGTTCACCCCATTTATGTAAATTAATAAAATGCAACGACTCCGCTCGTCGCTGATCGCGTGGACATGAATCGATGCCTTGAGAGGCTCATGTGCGAGCTAATTGCGTGATGTAACGCAATTTAATGTTACACTAGCGTTTGATTACAGCATAACGTTTGTGCTTGATACAAAATGATTGGTGATTAATATTCAATATTACTTCTACGTAGTTATAGGTTAGATATGTTTCTGCTCCTGTGTTGTACGAAAAGGTAGAGCAGCCTGTTAAGCAATAAAGTTTGCGTAACTTTTAAAGCTCGAGGAGCTCGATGGCGCGGCTGGTTAGCGCGTTCGGCTGTGATCGTGGAAGTTAAGCAACTTACGCAGTGGTCGGTCATTGGATGGGTGGACCAAAAATCTTCTATTTCGAGTTCCTCCGTGCTTCGGAAGGCACGTTAAGCCGTTGGTAACGGCTGCATTTGCAGTCGTTACCACCCGCCAATCTGAACTGGGCAATCTCCCTATTTCTTCCATAGGGAAGGTTTGTGCCCCAGTAGTGGGGACATTATTAGGCTGATAATGATGATGATAATGATGATAATCTACTATATAAAAATAAGTCGGGTTTTCCTTCCTGACGCTATAACTCCAGAACGCACGAACCGATTTCCACGGTTTTGCATTCGTTGGAAAGGTCTCGGGCTCCGTGAGGTTTATAGCAAAGTAAAATTCAGGAAAAATTAAAAAAAAAACTTCTTTTAATCACTAAACGAAATGTTACATAAAACGAAGCCATCTGGTGGCGAAACGGAGTTCGCGGGGTTTGCTAGTCTACTATATAAAAATAAGTCGGGTTTTCCTTCCTGACGCTATAACTCCAGAACGCACGGACCGATTTCCACGGTTTTGCATTCGTTGGAAAGGTCTCGGGCTCCGTGAGGTTTATAGCAAAGAAAATTCAGGAAAAATAAAAAAAAAAACTTCTTTTAATCACCAAACGAAATGTTACATAAAACGAAGCCATCTGGTGGTGAAACGGAGTTCGCCGGGTTTGCTAGTAATATATAATAATATGTAAAGTTATCCCTGATAGAAGTATGCCACTTACCCGTATCATAGTAGCTTGGTCGTACTTGAGTGCAGTTGTCGCACATAGATTCGTTAAGCACTTGTGCCGACATCAGTTTACTATGGCCAATGCGAGTCCGAAGATATTGCTTCTCCGATAGTTGGCCTTAAACACAAGAAAAGATAAGTAGTTTACCTGCAGGTAAGTAAAACAGATAATCGCCAAATGAAGTACATCTTACAAAAGACAGATGAAATTGCATGTTTTGAAGGTTTCTAAAGAGGTAAAAATATCTTTAATATAAAAATGAATCGCTGAATATGTTGCTAAGCGCAAATCTCGAGAACAGCTGAACTGATTTCGATAATTCTTTTTTTAGAATATTCCTTGAAGTACGAGGTTGGTTCTTACGTAGAGACAAATTTAAAAAAATGCCCGAAAAGTCCAAAAACAACAATTTTCTATACTCCCATACAGACGATTCGTAATAATACCTAAATTCAATTTGAACTTTAATACCATACCATAAATTTCAAATGTTAGTGGCGAGGTTCCGGGAAGGCAAAACAATTGAGTGACGTGATGTCAATAGAAGTTTGGAAAACGCAAATATACCATTTTCAGTTTCTTTTTTATAATTATATGAAGAGGCATTTTAGTCTACACTACAGCTCTACACCGAAGCGAAGTGAGGGCAGGCCACTAGTTAGATATAATTAAATGACTATATTTATTGATCTCAAACTTTATAGACCGAAAATATACAAGAATGGTACAAAAGGCGGACTTACTGCTAATAGCATTCTCTCCCAGTCAACCTTAGGGAAAAAAGAAAAAGGACGAACGGCGGTATAAAGCTAAATATATGACATAATCAATAATATACACATATAAATACATACTACGAAAGGAATATACATACATACATACCACAATTATATTTAATTACATATAATTTATCTTAAAGTTTCTAAAAGTCAATCAAATCTCCTTTTCCAAACCAACTTTGAGCTTTATTATGCTCGATAAAAATTGAATTAAAGATTTCGCATTGCGGTATTTGATCATCAATCAATCTCGTAACTATTGTAATGTTCATGGATTTTCTTAATAAAATTTGAAAAAACCATGCCTTGCCGTCTGCCGTCAAGCTTTGGACATTACCTTTTTCTACGCGGGTAATAATAACTTACCGCTGATGCTGTCATCCGTAATCTGGCTATACTGAGCCCACGTGTCTATTATTGACGGGGAATTCTGTCTCCCATTGAACACTTCAGGAGTGGATTGTCCAATTGATTTCGTCTGAACGTGCAGACTGGTGTAGGTACTGGTGAATGCGGCGGTGTTTTTCTCATCTAAAATATTGTTAATATATTAAGAACAAATTTCTTATAACTTTCTGTAAACTTTTATTTTGGTAGAGAACAATTTTGGAAATAAGTTACTTACCGGTTGATTTTACACAGAGTGAGAAACAGTGAGGCCATATTTTGAAACTCGTAAAATAGAGTCATCACGGTAATATATTAAAAAAAACTTATACTAGTTTATTAAACTATTGTCCTTTAAAATTAATAAATAGAATGTAGGAAAACATGGAAGGTTAGCTGTCGTAGAACATAAAAGGGCGAACTGAGCAAAAACCTTTTTTTTCAGAGTTTAAAAAGCATATTTGGAAGACTTTCAACATAATGGTGACATACCGTGTTTGTAAATAAATGGTAAAACGTATTTTGATTGAATTAAGGTACCCAAACACATAATCGGACCGGCTTAGTCGGTTTGGCCTTATTTGTCGAACAACAAGGCCGAATCGTAGTAATTATTGCTGAACATGCATCTACACCTATTTAATTTTACCCGATTAATGTGTTTATGTGTGTGTGGGACTAGCTACCGTAAGACGCATTTTTCACTAATGTAATAAAATTATTCTACCTTTCTTGTTATTCTTAACAGAATAATCAGATTGAGTTTCCTTAGATTCTGATTGTGACATGACTGTTTGGGTCGATTTCTTTTCTACCATTGCACAGGCGTCAGTGGACTTCTGTTCTAAAACCTTCTGTTTTGTACCTGAATAAATTAAAAATACTTTAATTTCAAGGGTCAATCTTGTTTGTGTAACATTTTAAAAATCCTTTCAGAACACACGATTTCTATACGTAGGGCATAGAGTTCTACAGCAACAATTTATCAAGGTGTTCTAACTCATCGCCGATTTTTAACGCTGAAACAGGAAATAGATCATATAGTCCAGGCAACGAATGCTCAAAAACAGGTATAGAGGGAAATGCTTGGAACACAATTTTTGGAGACATGAGACTTAAACAAAAGTGAAAGCTGATTAAATTTGCTACAAGTCTTATTCAGTTAAGTTTTTTGATATCTTGTATAGTTTTCGAGATATCCGCTCTTGAAAGTCTGTAATTATCCTGGGAATGCTGTTTTACTGCTCCCTCGGTGGGAGGAAGACAAGAGATATCGGGCTTGATGGTGGCCACTGATTTCAAGAATGACTTGTACCTGTAGGCATTGAGGGAAATCTCTTTCGCTGGAACTCCATACCACCGTAAGATGCAGGTTTCACCTGCCTTTTTTGTACTTGAGCGGTGGTGGAGAAAGGGTGTGAAAAGACCGCTGCTGCTTTCTGGATTTCTGGTGACTTGATAATGTCTCTGGTCTCTGGGAAGGGAGGAAATTTCTCAAACCAATCGGTGAGCTTGGCAATGTCAGCTCCATCCTTGTTTTGGCGGGCTTGTCCGAAATCTGCATGCTGCTCACTGGTGGAACCAACAACCCTACGGCCGGCATTGCTGAAGAGTTATCCGGTCAAATAGAGCAAAAATGTGAAGCAAATTTCTTTTTCCATAATTACGGACTTTATGAGCGGATATCTCGAAAACTATACAAGATATCAAAAAACTTGACTGAATAAAACTTGTAGCAAATTTAATCAGCTTTCACTTTTGTCGAAGTCTCATGTCGCTAGGATGCATAGTTTTCGGGATATATGCGAAAAACCTAAAAATGGGACCTTCAATCCCCCCCCCCCCCCCCTTCCCCCCGGCTTAAGGGCTACAGGCGGGGACTTTTCATATGTTTACCTCCTAACTAGTCCTAACAAAGTTACGAAGTCAAAAATTGTGTTCTAAGCATTTCCCTCTATACCTTTTCGTTGCCTGGACTAATACGCTAGTGAAATAGTCGTATCGACAAGTCTAGCCTTTAATCTTCCTTTTTAAATTAATTACCTTCTTTTTTCGAATCCGATTTTTGACACCATTCATCGATGAGACTTGGCATTTTTAATTCACTTTGTATGATCTCTGTCAAACAGAAGTAAACGTAAATTATTGCAAATATTGTGAGTATGTTGTTGTTGTATTCAGAGTTTTAATAATAAATTTCCGTGTGACATTGCAGTGCTTTTAATTTGTAATGACTATTTTCATGGTGCAATGTTATAGAAAACTCCTGCGGACAAAACTACAATTCACAGAAGAAATCGAAGGGAGACTAACAATTTTTTTTAAGAACTTTCCAATTTCTTTTTAACGTATGTTCTAATAGATAGTTCTAGACCTTTAGCACGACGATGTACTGAAAAGTTTCTCAAAGTCAACTATCTTAATCTAGGTGCTCTGTAAACAGTTAGGTCGTTTATCGAATGGCACTTTGCTACGAAAACAAAGCTGTACCTAAGATTAGTTCCTAACTTCCATCAGGTGTTATCAATGCTTAAAGTTAGCTACTTCAATATTCCTACGCTCTTCGCCGCACAGTCTTCCTATCTAAATTTAGATACTTATAATTGAAAAAGTTTCCGCTTACATTCAGGAGTTATGGGAAACCTACTGGCTTCTTCTTTAGACTTGACTGCATATATTGCAGGAGCTACAGGGGACTTTTTAACGGGATAAAATGAACTTTGTTACACTTTAATAAGACTGCTCATTAAAATAAAGAACGAGCGTTATATTTTACATTAAAATTAAGTACGTGCCTTGGAATTAATGAAATGGCAAGTCAAATATAAGTGAGCGACTCTTAAACCGTACAAAAATGTGTCTAACTAGTTTGTGCATTGATCTATTTCATAAGTACAGCTTTCAGTTATAAAAGAATAGCTTTTTAGCTAGAAATTGGGTATAAATATGGGAAGATGATTTAAAAAAGGTGGCTGGTTCAGAATGGATCAGAGTTGCAAAAGATAGAGGAAAATGGAAATCTTTAGAGGCGGCCTATGTCGAAAGACAATCTGTGTCCGAAAATAATGACCCGAACGCTGATAATTTAGAATAAAAACAAATATATCAGTTAATTAGATTAAGAAAACGTTTCAAAGTTTAACAGCAATAAAGGCTTATTTTATTTTTTATTTATAAAGGAATAGCATCATCATCATTAGACTATTAATGGCCTACTGCTGGAGCACAGGGCTTCCCTATGGATAGAATAGGGAGATTGGGCCATGATCCACCACGCAGACTCAGAGCGGATTGGTGGGTGCTAATGAGTAGAAATGCCGGGACCAACGGCTTAACGTGCCTTCTGAAGCACGCAGGAGCTCGAGATAGTAAATTTTTGGTAAACCCGAACCGAACGCTCTAACCACTTACGCCATCGAGCTAATAATTAAGGAATATTATTATTATATGTGTATTATTCATGACTTACTATGGACAGGCTCAGAAGATGTTGTTGTTGTTCCTTGTGTGTTTTCGTTTATAATTTCATTGGAGCCTGCAAACAAGGTTTGTTTGTTTGTTTTGTATTTGAGTATTGTACAAATTAGGACAGCAATATTTTGATTAATATTGCTATGAGGGTATTTGAGGAAAATATTATTCTAAACGAAAATATTACTAGAAAAAAAACACACGGATCAGGCAGGCAGCAGATGGGATTCGAACCCACACCCTCCGCTACTGCGGAGGGTGTGGGTTCGAGTCAATTTCTTCGTCTGCAAGGCAGCGGCTATCTCATCACATTATTCAGCGCATCCGCCCGGGTGTGCGGATTCGAGTGGGTTTTTTCTAGTAAAAATTTCTTTAGACTTATATGTTAAATGATTTTCAAGGAAAGACCGTAAGACCAGTTTTTTTTCATTTCGCTCCCCGCTGTGTAGCATGCAGTTTATAAAGTAAAGTACTTGTTTCTTAGGTTTTCACGCACATCACTCATTAAATAAAACTAATTTTAGCGGGTTAATGCACGAAACTTTATTTATTGATGTTTCGCAGGTTTTTGAGGCTGCTTCGTCAGAATGATTTTTTATTTAATTTTTAGCATAAACGTCAATAAATAAATAAAGTTTCGTGCATTAACCCGCTAAAATTAGTTTTATTTAATGAGTGATGTGCGTGAAAACCTAAGAAACAAGTACTTTACTTTATAAACTGCATGCTACACAGCGGGGAGCGAAATGAAAAAAAACTGGTCTTACGGTCTTTCCTTGAAAATCATTTAACATATAAGTCTAAAGAAATTTTTACTAGAAAAAACCCACTCGAATCCGCACACCCGGGCGGATGCGCTGAATAATGTGATGAGATAGCCGCTGCCTTGCAGACGAAGAAATTGACTCGAACCCACACCCTCCGCAGTAGCGGAGGGTGTGGGTTCGAATCCCATCTGCTGCCTGCCTGATCCGTGTGTTTTTTTTCTAGTAATATTTTCGTTTAGAATAATATTTTCCTCAAATACCCTCATAGCAATATTAATCAAAATATTGCTGTCCTAATTTGTACAATACTCAAATACAAAACAAACAAACAAACCTTGTTTGCAGGCTCCAATGAAATTATAAACGAAAACACACAAGGAACAACAACAACATCTTCTGAGCCTGTCCATAGTAAGTCATGAATAATACACATATAATAATAATATTCCTTAATTATTAGCTCGATGGCGTAAGTGGTTAGAGCGTTCGGTTCGGGTTTACCAAAAATTTACTATCTCGAGCTCCTGCGTGCTTCAGAAGGCACGTTAAGCCGTTGGTCCCGGCATTTCTACTCATTAGCACCCACCAATCCGCTCTGAGTCTGCGTGGTGGATCATGGCCCAATCTCCCTATTCTATCCATAGGGAAGCCCTGTGCTCCAGCAGTAGGCCATTAATAGTCTAATGATGATGATGCTATTCCTTTATAAATAAAAAATAAAATAAGCCTTTATTGCTGTTAAACTTTGAAACGTTTTCTTAATCTAATTAACTGATATATTTGTTTTTATTCTAAATTATCAGCGTTCGGGTCATTATTTTCGGACACAGATTGTCTTTCGACATAGGCCGCCTCTAAAGATTTCCATTTTCCTCTATCTTTTGCAACTCTGATCCATTCTGAACCAGCCACCTTTTTTAAATCATCTTCCCATATTTATACCCAATTTCTAGCTAAAAAGCTATTCTTTTATAACTGAAAGCTGTACTTATGAAATAGATCAATGCACAAACTAGTTAGACACATTTTTGTACGGTTTAAGAGTCGCTCACTTATATTTGACTTGCCATTTCATTAATTCCAAGGCACGTACTTAATTTTAATGTAAAATATAACGCTCGTTCTTTATTTTAATGAGCAGTCTTATTAAAGTGTAACAAAGTTCATTTTATCCCGTTAAAAAGTCCCCTGTAGCTCCTGCAATATATGCAGTCAAGTCTAAAGAAGAAGCCAGTAGGTTTCCCATAACTCCTGAATGTAAGCGGAAACTTTTTCAATTATAAGTATCTAAATTTAGATAGGAAGACTGTGCGGCGAAGAGCGTAGGAATATTGAAGTAGCTAACTTTAAGCATTGATAACACCTGATGGAAGTTAGGAACTAATCTTAGGTACAGCTTTGTTTTCGTAGCAAAGTGCCATTCGATAAACGACCTAACTGTTTACAGAGCACCTAGATTAAGATAGTTGACTTTGAGAAACTTTTCAGTACATCGTCGTGCTAAAGGTCTAGAACTATCTATTAGAACATACGTTAAAAAGAAATTGGAAAGTTCTTAAAAAAAATTGTTAGTCTCCCTTCGATTTCTTCTGTGAATTGTAGTTTTGTCCGCAGGAGTTTTCTATAACATTGCACCATGAAAATAGTCATTACAAATTAAAAGCACTGCAATGTCACACGGAAATTTATTATTAAAACTCTGAATACAACAACAACATACTCACAATATTTGCAATAATTTACGTTTACTTCTGTTTGACAGAGATCATACAAAGTGAATTAAAAATGCCAAGTCTCATCGATGAATGGTGTCAAAAATCGGATTCGAAAAAAGAAGGTAATTAATTTAAAAAGGAAGATTAAAGGCTAGACTTGTCGATACGACTATTTCACTAGCGTATTAGTCCAGGCAACGAAAAGGTATAGAGGGAAATGCTACTGCGGAGGGTGTGGGTTCGAGTCAATTTCTTCGTCTGCAAGGCAGCGGCTATCTCATCACATTATTCAGCGCATCCGCCCGGGTGTGCGGATTCGAGTGGGTTTTTTCTAGTAAAAATTTCTTTAGACTTATATGTTAAATGATTTTCAAGGAAAGACCGTAAGACCAGTTTTTTTTCATTTCGCTCCCCGCTGTGTAGCATGCAGTTTATAAAGTAAAGTACTTGTTTCTTAGGTTTTCACGCACATCACTCATTAAATAAAACTAATTTTAGCGGGTTAATGCACGAAACTTTATTTATTGATGTTTCGCAGGTTTTTGAGGCTGCTTCGTCAGAATGATTTTTTATTTAATTTTTAGCATAAACGTCAATAAATAAATAAAGTTTCGTGCATTAACCCGTTAAAACTAGTTTTATTTAAGTAAAGTACTCTTTCATTCTGATTCTCGCGCTATGTTCCTCCGGCACCAATGTGTAATTAAACTAGGGGGACAGGGAGTTTTCACATTTATTACCTCTATGGAGCCAGAGTTTTAAATAGTTAACGTATTGGCGACCTCCGTGGCCGAGTGGTTTGTACGCCGGGTTTCAAGGTGTCGCCTACTCGGGTGCTTCCGGGTTCGATTCCCAGTGGAAGCAGATGTTTGTGTAATGAATACGAGCATTTGTACTCCAGTCATTGATGTCTAATATGTATTTCTATATAAATATACTTATATGTATATGTACAGTTTAAGTATTCTATCCGTTACCCTAGTATCCTATAACACAAGTCTACAGTGCTTTCTTTGGAGTTAGGCTAATTAGTGTATGTTGCAAATATTTATTATTTTATCTCCATACTAGCTGACCCAGCGAACTTCGTACCGCCCTAAAAAAATAGGGGTTGTCCAGCGGACAAAATTGTGAATCTAAACCATTCTCAGATCCCCTTGAACACACACAAAAAATTTCATCAAAATCGGTCCAGTCGTTTAAGAGAAGTTCAGTGACATACACACTCACAGAAGAATTATATATATAAAGATTGGTTGGAATCAAGTCAGCGTCTGACATAGAAAAAGGTTTCACCACGTAGGTATATCGAATAGACTATTTTAGAACGCATTCTTATTATCCTTTAAACTCTCATCCTAGCTTAAGAGAGGTAGGGCATAACGGGCTTTCCGCTCGAATTGGAGAGTCCGTCTGGGGAAGTAACCTTATAGAAGACTACAGTAAAATAACAATGTTTTTTGGTGGTGTTGTGTCAGTCAGTGAGTAATGCTGGGACTCTACCAAAGCGGAGACGAGACGAGCGGAGAGGAGATGTTTTTCAAACAACCAATAGAATTGTGTTATTAACACATCTCCTCTCCGCTCAGCTTCAGTGGAGATCGCTGTGCGGAGATGTGTAATATTTGTATGGTGCGATGGAAGCGGAGATGCGTACTGAGCACTCAAAGCCTCGCACCCGAGCTCAAAAACATCTCTTCTCGCATAGCATACAGCATACCGCACACATCTCCGCTTTGGTGAAGTCCCTCGAGCTGAAAAACATCTCTTCTCGCACAGCACATAGCACACTGCACACATCTCTACTTTGGTGGAGCTCCGGCCTAGAGTTCCAAGGGGTAACGGATTGGATCAGGGTAGGCAACGGTGCGAGTGATATTTTTGAAGTGAAAATCTTTTATCACGCTTGACTTGGGGGGTAAACTGGCGAATGCGTTACGATTTCGCATTATGATTAGTATTTTCGGCGACTCATCGGTAAACAATGAACAATACCCGTCACAAAATACATGAATCTAGTGCTTGGTGGGTGATAACGGACCCAGCGCGGATTGGTGGGTGATAACGGACCCAGCGTGGATTGTTGGGTGACAATAGACCCAGTTCGGATTGGTGGGTAATAACGGACCCAGCGCGGATTGGTATTTTTTTTCTATCAACAAGTCTTCTGGTTAAGTTTATGATTTTCAGATCATTGGAGTTAAAGAAGTTTCACTTCAGTCGTGTGGTCTTAAGCACACTGGCTTTTCTTTGTATTGCAAGCGTCTCTAATCTATGGTGGCCACTTACCATCAGGCGGGCCATATGCTTGTTTGACACCTTTTAAACACAAATAAATAAATAGATTTTTTGCTCCAAGCGATGTAGTCTTTGGAAGTAAACTCTACGTTACAGAAGGCTACTACTAACAAGATACTCGAGTGTTGAGTTTCTGCAATGAGTTACATTTGTAGATCTCCGTTTGGATAAGGATACCAGCTCAGGTATGTATGTAATATATTTTCCATGAACTCACCAATATTCTGGTCTAGAGTTTCAGTTCCTGTGATCGTTGCTGCGGCCTCTGTTGATTTGTTCACTAGAAATGATGGAAAAAGAGATTTGAATTGGGTAAATTAAATCTGCTTACACCAATCTTTCCAAATCTAAATTTGTCAGCATTCTCTGTTGTTTTCCTACATACTACGGTAGGGATATAGATTCTGCTGTAAAATTTAGATAAGGCAAATACAAAGAGCTATTTGTTTGTTATATATACATATATTTATATAATGATTATGTTAATAGGTAGGTGCTTAATAAATGCCTTTACAATTTACTAGTATATGAGTAATGTTATGCATAAATCGAAACAATATATGTATGTATGTAATTAAAAATACTTCTATCTTTTTCAACTATGTACCTATAGTAAAAAAAAACAGAGTCTGCATAAATCTTCTACATCTTTTCACATATTCAGGGATTACTATCTAATATTAAACATTAAGAAACATTCCGGATTTGTCTGTATTACTTAAATAATATATATATAAATATATTAATTTACCTGCAGGTGTAGAGCAATGTTTATAACAATGAAAAGCAAATGACCCGATTGCGTTACTCTGATCATGCATCATCGCAGGTTTTTGTATTTCTGAAAGATAATATCACTTAAGTAATTTGTTTTATAAAGAATTGTTAATTAATAAGAGTGAGACATGAAAAATAAGGAAATTCTGTAGAAAAACGACAAACCTGAGGATATTATACCTGAGTCAGAAGTGACTGCTGATGCTTCTATCAATTGAGCTGAAGATATTGACAAGATTTTGGCATCTGCAACAGGAAAATATTATATAATTGTGAAAACTGTTTAATTTTACAATTAAAAACTAACAAACTATTTTTTTATACATAATTAGGCGTATGACTTTATGATGATAAGTGGTAGAGTCAAGGTACGACGAAAGCTGGTGCAGCAGTTTTGAGCCTCAACACCAGCCGTCTTCATTTGGACGGGCCTACATAAATTCTTCTTCAAGCTTTTATTTAAAAACACTGCGTTATCCGAAGGAGCGTTCATGTGCACGGACAAAGAATTTTACTTGCGAATACTACAACAAAAGTTCACCAAATCTCTTGCGTTCGCGTAGGAATCATACTCACATTATGACGGTGGCAACATCGGTCACCCAGTTTTTTTAAAGCGAAAGAGATATATATATATATAGAGAAATAACGAAAGAATCCTCGAGGTTGTAAGCCACCTCCACATCTCCAACAATGCGGGTCGCGAAACTGAAATCTATCCAAAGCATCGAGTAAGCACTTGGCAGAGCCATCCCTTGCTCTGTGGTCGGCAGCGAGCAATATCCTATGCACATTCAGGACATACGCTAATACAAAAAAGACATTTGATTGGAAACATAAATAAAGGACTCAAGAATGATAAAATTGAAAAGGTAAATGGACTTATAGTTAAGCAAACTTTAGTTAAAGTCGCCATTTTTATTTATTTCGTACCTGTTAAAACTAAGCACGGCGGTGAAGTTTCCACACACAGATCCTCTTTTTTAATATCTGCAACATAAATTTTAACGTCATGCTCTTCATTGATCATGTAACATGAATACTGAGGTTAATATTTATATATCGGTAGAGATGAGGTTACTAATAAATCATCAACTTTGCTTAAGTACGAGTATATTACTAATGAGTAAGCTGATAGGTATTAAGAATTCATCGATACTGTACCAGTAGTTTCCTTTCTTGGTGAAAGCTGTATTGGTGAGTTGTGTGCAGCCGCTGGTGCTGGTGCAGCAGTCTCTGTTATTTTTAAATGCAGTTAGTTTCTAGATCCTTTCTTTTGTTTATTTAATCATGATTTAACGGGAGTTAGGGCCCTGAAGAGCTCGATGGCGCGGGTGATTAGCGCATTCGATCTACGATGGTGGTATTTAAGCAACTTTTGCAATGGCCGGTTATTGGATGAGTTACCAAAAACTAAATATCTTCGCTGCATCTGCAGCTGCTAGTACCCACCAATGCGCATTGAGCCCGTGTCATAGCCTAATGATCATTAAGGAGTGGATTATCCGCGAGTAGAGCCCCGTCTGGGGGAAGGACCACCTTAAAGAAGATATGATCTTCTGTAAGGTAGAGGAGAGGTCACTTCCCTATTGTTACTTATAGTACCAGTATGAAGTGAATAAGTCAAACTTTTTTATTTGTGTAAAAAGATAGTTTCACTTATAAAACATTACACAGCGGGCTTCTTACTCTTTCTTTTACAACGCATAGACCATCTCTTTGGCCAGCTACTCTTGAGTTTATTCAGTTGTTTTACTCGATGTGTCTTGCCTGAAAACAATAAAATAATAAATCTATCAAGGTAATGCTGAAAATAGTAGAAGAAAAGTTTCGTTTAGGTTTTAGAGTAATCGCACATGAGAAATTAGTGACAGCCACTATTGCGGCCACTAGTGGTCCAGTCAAGACACTAGACTTAGCCACCAATCGTCGCCGCTACTGGCTAAGTGGCGTGTACTCAAACGCTTATTTGAGCTGAAACTATACAAAATGTATGAAAAAGCTCGACGCGTTTAATGGCCGCCAGTAGCAGGACAATTTGCACTTGCTCTTACATAGCAGTAGTGCTTTAGTGAGTTGTCCTGTCCTGTTTGATGTTACTAAACATCTATTCTGTTGTATAGGAGAATGTTATCACATACCTGTAGAAGATTCGGACGTAATTTCATCTATAGTCGAAGTCATGATCTGCACAGAGCGATCAACAGAATTTTTCATGCTGGATTCCAATTTCATGGAATCTGTAAAGAAAATTATAAAACAATTTTATGCTAAAATGGTTTAAAAAAATCTTTCGAAGTTGTGATTTATTCAATGAAAGCTGACGATTAAAAAAAAACAAGTCAAATACCCTAACGATACCAAAGTTATAGACATATATTGACGTTGACATCCTTCGTAATTGAAACTTAATACTTAAAACTCCGTATGTAATTTTACTCACAAGGAAGACCTCTGATTTGATGAATTACCTGCGTGTGTGTGTTCATGTTGAAATTATGTCAGAAGTGTAACTGGGTTCCATATACAATAGATACCTGTATTTATTCCAATAGGTTTGTAAAACGACAAATGATCGATGGAGTGACCCATATCATTATATTTGAAAAATGGTGTAAATGATATATCAGTTTCTGTAAGAGCAAATAATCAATTAGCCACATTATTGTTTAAAATTAAATTAGCATAAAGTACCTCATCATCATCATCATCAGCCTATTAATGTAACCACTGCTGGGGCACAGGCCTTCCCTATGGATGGAATAGGAGATAATAATAAAGTACCTATAATAATCTATTTCTAAGGAGATTTAGATTATTATTATACGTATAACTTAAAAAAGTATCAAGTCCTTTATTAAGTTTAAGATATGAAATGCCAATAAAAGCAGAAATTTACTTACCAATGTTATTGAATGTAACGACCATTTGAGTGGCAATCTCTTCTCTTTTAATTTCTGGAAGATTTCGTATTGTTTCTGAACTTATGATATTGCTTATACATTTATCATTTACGTGATATAGTATACCATCAGTGCCTGAAAGTATAGGAATTAATTATATGATTTGTAATTAATCAACGAATATAAAAGCTAGATTTCTTTAACACAAATATTTTTGTCAATGATCCATTGACGTATATTGTTTTGGCGAATTAATCAGAATCAATAAGAAGGGACTCTAGGTTTAAAAACCAATTTACTTAAAAAGTTTTCATCTCAAATAAAAGTTTGATCACAAGTTTTTATTCTCTGAATATAACATCTCTTTCCAAGAAATTCATTTAGTGATTAATTTAAATTCCATTTCTTTTATTTAAGTGTGTTCGTAAAAATGCGGAAATGGCAAAAGTTGTCGTGTTTTATTTCATCCATTATCCATTATTATAATGTTTATAATTCATACACCCTAATCACACTAATTTTATATTTTTGTTTGTTCCCTATTCGATTTGGATGAAATTTAGCGAACAGACAAAATTATAATAAAAGAAAATGAATAGAATGAAAGGAATGTGGTTGTATTAGTCAGTGGGTTAGATTTTCTGAAAATTTTATCCCATATTAAATTTTTATACATAAAGAAAATCTTATCAATATGAAATCTTTCAGGATTAATAAATTCCTAAAGTCAAAGTCTAGCCCGCAACAATTTTACTAATACGAAAGCATTAATTAAAATAGTTCATCTCTAACGTTTCTACTCCAAAATAGATCGACTAATTTTGACAAACTTTGATATTGCCTACATCAAGCAGGGCGAGGAGCCTCGGAGAAAGACATCAACTAAATTGGCTCAAAATTAAAATTTTAAAGGGTAAAATAACGATTTAGTCTATATGGCCTACGTAGATGTAAAAAAAATCTAACACTCTTCGCAATTAGCCTAGCCACAAAGTAAGCACTGTAAGTCTTGTGTTATGGGATACTAGATTAACGGATGAAATACATACACTGATACTTTTATAAATATATTTATCTAGAAATACATAAACATCCATGACTTAGGTACAAATGCTCGTATGCATCACACAAACATTTGTACAACACCACTCGCCACCATGGAGGTCGTCATTTAGTCACGGGCATCCGTTTGAAATTTGTTTGAATAAAATACCTGTATCGATCTCAACCGTCTTCATTCTATGTAGATCTATGGGACTTGTAACTGTATCTGTGGTTACTATCGGCGGAGTCACTGTGCACGACCACAAAGAAAGTAGAATAAAAACATAGAATTAACTATAATACGGCTCATTTTTTGCAAATTCGTAGAAAATTTTAGGTATTGGTGAAATTTCGGGAAGCAATAATAAATATATCTTGTGAAGGATAAAATAAGAGTCTAAATTAGCAATAATAAAACTCAATATTTTTCCCTTGTTACTCGTACATTACCGAGTCGCAATACCAGTAATGGAACAAGGAAAAAATATTCATCGCACAAAATTGGATAATGTTATTAGAAAATATTTTCCTTTGCACATTACCGATTACATTTCCAGTTTTGAACGAGGATATTTGGTTTTGGTCAAAGAAATCGTTATTCCGTGTACAAAAACTCTCTAGAGACTATTACTTACTACTGAAAAATAACTTATACGAAATAAACAAAATTTTTGTAAAGAATTCGGTGAACTAAATATTAAGGACTCTGTGATCTAATTTTTACAGAGAACATCAAATTTAAAATAAGCAAGCTCTAATTTTTTTTTTAAAGAAATGTACCTTATTTTTTAATAGAAATAATTTACCGTTATCATGTGGATGGACAGCAGCTCGTTTGGCATAGTTCACATCGTAGAATACCTGATGTTTTTTTTGATAACTGGGGCTAATACTCTGCTTTTCAACTATATTCAAGCTTTCATTCAAAGAATGTAGGGGGAGCGAAGTTTGTGCTGAAAGAGACCAGTTTAAGTAAACATTATCTAAAGATTCTTAATAAAAAAAGATGTATAAACTAGTAATAAATTAAATATAATTTTCTCTATTGCCTAACCTTTTTTGCCTGTAGAATGGAAGAAAAGGTACATGAAACTACACAGCAAACAAATAACGGAAATGCGTTTAAATTTCGGCATAACTTTTTAATAGCGCTTAGCACTTTTATTCTTAAAGCGAACATAGAGAGAGATACCTCTCAAAGATTTTATTCCTGAAGCCTAGCAGTGGAAAAAATAATTAAATTATACATGACGATGACGGTGAATTTAGAAATATGAATATGGAAGGAAGACATATTGAGCAAACTCCAAATTAAATCTGGAACAGGCACATTATTCTTATAATCTTTATTTAAATACGTGGGTATGATATTATATGGTTGAACTGATTATAATGATTCTTTTCGTGATCGAGATTTAAACAAATTCCATTAATTGGATCTGATATATCATAACGAGATACTCCTACCCTCATAGTAGATGGTATGCGACTCTAGAGTCAGATTCTATGTTTTTTTTTTCATTACCTTTACTCTTAATTGCACTTATCATACTCTTTATTGCATCATATAGTTCACAACAGAAAGTCAAATACATAGCAAAGGTGGGCTTATCTCTAAAAGAGATCTCTTCAAGCCAACCTAGGTGGTGTCATAGATTCCAAACTTAGCGGGAAACAGAAAGTTCAATAAAAATTAAACTAAAAATAATTTACTACTAATGTTATACAAAATAGACACAATAAATAATAGTTATCTCTCTACTTTAATGGCTCCCTATTCATCTTCGCTGGAATTTGCATATTCTTGTCTTCTTATTTAAGATTCTCAAAGATTCCAACTCCCCCGTATACTTGCGTTCCCGTTTTAAGATTCTTCCTCTTCCTTCGCGCTCTAGGCGACCTTACATTACTAAGATGCTTGAGCTTGACCATCTTCTCGTTTTAGTCATATATATATTATACACTCGAAGATTAGTAAAAATTGGGCGGAAGCTTATTCTACAGCTGTGCAGCCTTAAAAGAAAAGGAATTATAATAGAAGATGGTATTACTTTTAGGAAGCTCAAGCATCTTAGTAATGTAAGGTCGCCTAGAGCGCGAAGGAAGAGTAAGAATCTTAAGATTCTAGAAACGGGAACGCAGGTATACGGGGGAGTTGAGATCTTTGAGAATTTTGAATAAGAAGACAAGAATATGCAAATCCCAGCGAAGATGAATAGGGAGTCATTAAAGTAGAGAGCGATGAGCTGACATATGATGATACTTCCGCAGACCAAATATAAATCGTATGGCTAAATTTTGAAGTCGTTCCAATTTATTGTGTAGCTCTTGATTTGCATCAGGATAATATATCGGCGTAGTCGAGAATTGGAAGGAGTGATTGCGCTAACATAATTTTGGTTTTGAACAGTAAGAAGTTAAGTAATTGGAGTCGCTTGAGAGAGACGTGTAGTGGATATGCTTACTAACTTCACCAATATGCTGGGACCATGGCATGTTACGTTACAGTCCATAGTCAAACCAAGGCTTTTAACTTTGTCAGTGTATGGTATTGGAATATTGTTGTAGAGGAGTGGAGGAGCAATATTCAATCCAGTCTACTCCTGAGCCGGCTGCTATCCACAATCATAGCCTGACATATGACTTATTGAAAGACCAAACGAAGTTGCCCAGTTTAAAATGGAGAGCAGAGCCTGAAATAACAAGGCAATAGCCATCGCATACTTCACCTGTTGGAAAGTATCAGTAGATCTGAAGATCATCAGCATACAGGTGAAAAGGAGAAGAGATAACAGAAGCGATCTTATTAATAAATTAGGAAAGAGTAAAGGAGAGAGAACTCCACCTTGCGGTACACCTGCTAATACACGAGTCATTATAGAACATTCGTTAAAAACGGTTAAGAAGGTTACTCTGACACCATTCTATAAAGGGAGGAGAAACATTAGAAGACTGAAGGATGCCCAAAAGAAGGTCAAAGTCGACAGTGTTGAAAGCACTGCTAAAGTCAAGTAGCCGTAAGCTTTGTATTATCCATTGCATGTCGAATGTCTTCAGTGACAACAAGCAGTGCTCCAACAGTGCTATGTGACTATGTGAAGGACAGAAGCCAGATTGCTGGGGACATAAGAATAAGATGAGATAAAGGAATAAATCGGACCATATTGAGACAGATAAGTTGGATTTGGAATCTTAAGAATGGGTATGATATCGGTTTTCTTTCCAGATGCGGGAAAAACATTGTGTTGAAGTGAGAAATGATATGTAATTACTAGCGGATCCGACAGACGTTGTCCTGTCTACACGTCTTTGTGAATTTAAACCATTCTCAGATCCCCTTGAACACACACAAAAAATTTCATCAAAATCGGTCCAGTCGTTTAATAGAAGTTCAGTCACATACACACTCACAGAAGAATTATATATATAAAGATAGGCATAATGTCATACAGTCCAGGAAGCAGCATGTCACGGCTAAGGCCTTCACTGCCAATGGCTTTAATGGAGATAGACCGGACATTCTTCCCAATGTCTACCTTAGAATCTATTATTATAGTAATGAAAATATTAGCTTCCCATAGGTAGTACATTTTGGTCACCCATCATAGGAGCAGCCATTGCGAGTTGCTGACTTACACATTCGCAAACCTAACGCGCTAACCGCCGTGCCACCGAGCTCTCTCCAATATAAGCAAAATCGGGTATTAAAGTCTCGTCAGAGTAAATAGCGATCACTATACAAAAGGCTTAAGCTAAAGGACATTATTCTGTAGTGTTGCGATCCTGCAGTAAGTAAGCTTGACAGAGTTACACGGGGAAAGGGAATTGGATTGAGGCTTCCAAATTGAGGGTGGCTGGAGCGAAATTTCCCCTGTCACATCAGCTATTGTCGCAATGGATCTGGATACACATTTAACATTCATGGAGTGCACTAGATTACATAATTTCATATAAGAAAACATCTTAAGCAAATTTGGTGTTGTATTTACAAAATTATCATTCTTTAATCGTGGTAAATAGTAGTTATTTAGTATCAATCTTAGCGGAACCAATAAAAACCCCAATTTCACCAAAAAATTCAAATTATTATCAACCTAGATGGTTTGAGATAAATTTCATAATCAATTACGAAAAAATTAAGATTTAAGACGATCATTAAAACAAAAAGGAAAGATACAAAGACACTCGTGGCTTAAAAGTGAACCGCTTAAATTCACTTTAGTCACAATTAGACATCCAAACACGATGCATGTACACTCAATATAACAACATTGCATATTATATTCTGTGTTATAAAGATAAAACAATGCCTTCCATGCTTTTATAAAGAACACAAATAGTTCAAGATCAAATAACAAATGCCACGGCAACACTTTTCATTCGTAAAATTGTACCTATGTATAAACATTTTATATTAAAAAATCACTGTTTGCCATGAATGTTAGTTACTTACTGATTCGCCATTTGTTATCAAGAAAATGACAACAATACAGCCCAGCCGTCTGTAGAGAGAGAAAACTAAACGCAGTCGGCTGCAAAGCGACGCGGACTCGCCGTTTCGCTCGCCCTGCGTTGAAGCGTACAGTTCTGTCCCGCTCGCTCGATTGAATGTTTATTTATAGAAGTGTGCGTGTGTGAGAGTTGCTTATGTAAATGAGTCGGAGCATATTTTATTTAATGCTAGTATAAGCGTACCGCATCTTCCCTTTTAGTTTTAATCTAAACGATCAGCTGTTGATGTGACGTTGGTTGTAAATAAAACTTACTGGAGTTGTAGAAAAACGGAAACCTCGATGGCCCTAAGTTTATGTGTTTGAAGCGCGATTTGAAACTCCTCGACGAAGAACCTGTGAACAAAATCAAGGAACAATTGTATTTTGTTATATTCAAGGTCCCATTACATAATTTTTGAAGTATCTTTCAAAAAAAAAATGAATTATATACTTTGCACGTCGTAAAATAAGCACCATAAGACAAGTGTTACTGCAATCGGAAACAACTAAAATTCCACAACTACTTGAGTATGTTATTTACGTTATAAAGCGTTCCTATGTTCGTCATAAATTTATAGTTTATTTAAACTTTTGTCTTTACCTGTTTCAGGATAAGATGGGTTCATGCAAGTACTGACTCCGGTAGATTTCTTCTCCATAGTGTTCGTGTGGGTTCCTGAAAGCAATATACTTAACTGTAGTCACAGATAGTGTTACTATAAAGAAAATGGGAAGTAGGTAGCGATATATGGTAAAAAGTAGTGGTTTGTAGTCATATTCACCGCAACACGATAGCGATTAATAGGAATGATGACATTTTTTGGACACGTTTTTTTCTTTTTTCACATAATATAAACATTGCAGAGATATATTGATTTGAAAAGTCGCATGACGTCACGTTTTGCTACAATTTTCACTTAAAAGGGACGTCATGAGCCCTACTCCCAAACTTTGACGCGTTTTATCTGTCATTTCTTTTCGATTTGATTGATTGCCCAAGAAAAAATACGTGTCCATTATTTTTTGATCATCTAACTGACGGACTAAATAGAATTTTGTTTACTTTACCCCGTCAGCATGCCTATTGACACGTGTCTTTCCAAACTAGTACCTTCCAAAAGAAGTAAGTTTTCAATTCGTCGGAATCGTTGTTTTATGTACTACCTATTAAATAAAACTAGTTTTTACGGGTTAATGCACAAAACTTTACTTATTTATTGACGCATTAACCCGTAAAAACTAGTTTTATTTAATGAGTGATGTGCGTGAAAACCTAAGACACAAATATACTACCTATTATCTATTTTTCCGATTTGAATTTATTTCTTCGGGTATTACCATGCTCTTCAGGTCAAGATCTGATGATGGATTCCGAGAGAAATCAAGAGGACTCTTCACAAATTAAAGGCAGGTACTATTAGCAAAATAAACGGACTTGATAAAAATCAGACTGCAAAATTTAATCTTAGTCGGTTTTTCTGGTAAAAGTACGAAATCTCTATATATTGCATTTGTCTTTCCAATGTTTAATTATTGCCAAAGTATTTCATTTGAATTCGTGGTTAGTTAGAATGTTAAGAAATGCGCTGTCTTGTAGCCTCTTATAGATATTCGACATGTCTGTTTAAGTCCCAGTAGCATAATGGTCAGTGCATTCGCCCGGACAGCGAGGGGAAATGGCCGATTTCATTCCAGTCTTGTACCTAGGATGAATTGTATTTTTTCTCGGAAAATTCTCTATACGGCTGTACACACTTTCACCTAATAGATAAAAGTCAATCAAACGACGCGACATTAAACAATCCAACCAATCAGCGCTCATACTCAACGAAAGCAACGACGCAATCAGAACCAAGTTCTGGTCAAGTTTTGAGCGTTTGCTCACATATAACTGTGGCGCGCCTGCCTCGCCAACAAGGCCCTTTTTACATCTTTCTGTGTTCTGTGGTTTGAGCTGTGCATTGATCAGTCAATCATGATGATCATCATCATCATCAGCATATTAATGTCCCCACTGCTGGGGCACAGCCCTTCCCTATGGATGGAATAGGGAGATTGGGCCATGACCCACCACGCGTGCCCAGTACGGATTGGTGGGTGCTAACGACTGCAGATGCAGCCGAAACCAACGGCTTAACGTGCCTTCCGAAGCACGGAGGAGCTAGAGATAGTAATTTTTGGTCACCCATCCAATGACCGACCACTGCGAAAGTTGCTTAACTTCAACGATCGCAGCCGAACGCGCTAACCACTTGCGCCATCGAGCTCCTCATCAGTCAATACCGGTTGCTTTTTATATTTACCGCGTTTGGACTCTATCATCACTTAACATCAAGTGGGGTAGAGTCATTTGCCTATCTTGCTATAAAAAATATATATAATACTGAAGATTATTGCAAAGCAACAACATCAACTTTAATATTTTATTTTTTATTTTATAATTTAATTCAAGTTATATCTGAATACGACCGTTAACTGTCAAAGTTATTATTGACTTAACGGGCACAGAAGAACGGTAATTAAATAACAAAGGATTTGTATTACTAGAATTTACAAGGTCACATGATGCATTACAAGAATACTAATTTTTCTTCTTCGACTTTTAATTTAGATTATCATAAGTTATTGGACACGTATTTATAATTTTTTCACATAATCAAATCAGATTCAGATTTCAGAGATATATCGATTTTAAATATCGCATGACGTGACGTCTTGGTAAAAGTTTTACTTAGAAATGACGTTACGAGTGTGCACTTTAAAACTTCAACGCACTTAATCTTTGTAATTATTTGTTTGATGGAAAAAAAAACATATTATTTTTTTTATAATCAAATTGGCGGACTAATTAGAATTTCATTTACTTTACCCCACCATCATCCCTATTCGATTCGACGCGATTTCAGTGACTCATTTTACGTACGTAACGAGAACTAAAAATCAGTACCCCTAGCACGAACCATTATCGAATTCGAATAGTTTGCAAACCGAAATTTCAATGTCAATCTTGAACAGCAGCGGCACAAAGTACGTAACGAGAACTAAAAATCAGTACACATTTGACAATGAAATTTCGGACTCGCAAACGATACGAACTCGATATTGGTTCATGCTAAAGGTACAGTACACATTTGATAATGACATTTCGGACTCGCAAACGATACGAACTCGATATTGGTTCATGCTAAAGGTACAGTACACATTTGATAATGACATTTCGGACTCGCAAACTATTCGAATTCGATATTGGTTCGTTCTAAGGTTACTGTTCGCAAGTGGAATGCTTTGTCTGCGCTCGTTTTCCCTCTTTCCTACGACCGAGTCTTTCAAAAAAAAGGGTTGGGCACGTGATTCCTCCTTTCTACAGTACTAGGTGTCCTTCAATAGAGACATGAAGCATTTGTACAGGTGGAATTGTTGCAGCGGCTATCTTCGCTTCTGGACTCGAACCACCACTTAACATCGGGTGCAATAAAAATCATTAGGATTTGCATCAAGCATATTAGCGATGTTCGCACGCCTTGCTGCACAAATTTACATAACAACAATTAGAAGGTAAGGTGTAAGCAGGTAGGTATTCTGCAATACATCTTCGAATTGCGTCGATTCTCAATAATTTCTTTGTGGGCACGCGCTTCGACTAATATTTTATACTGGAGCTCCCCTGCGGTTTCACGCGTGTTAGTTTGAGGAAAATGGTTATAGTGAGTCAAACTTAAAATATGAACACCTGTTGCGGACCTTTTTTTATATAAAACTTTTAAAGGGAAACAATTCCTTTATACATCATTTTTGTGCAACTTTAACCGTTTATGCAAGCAATAGCAGCTCTCAAATGGTTTTTTGTGCAAAAGCTAAATTTCTCATTAATGCTCCGCTCCTAGTTAGTTGTAGCGTGATGTTACATGAGTAGTTATAGCCATCCTCCATAAACAAACACAAAATAAAATTTTCAGATCGGACCAGTAGTTCCTGAGATTAGCGCGTTCAATCAAACAAACAAATTTGTTTCTTAGGTTTTCACGCGCATCACTCATTAAATAAAACTAGTTTTAACGGGTTAATGCACGAAACTTTATTTATTTATTGACGTTTCGCAGCCTTTTCAGGCTGCTTCGTCAGAATATTTTTTTATTTGATAATAAAAAAACATTCTGATGAAGCAGCCTGAAAAAGCTGCTTAACGTCATCGTCAGTTATAAATAAAGTTTCGTGCATTAACCCGTTAAAACTAGTTTTATTTAATCAAACAAACAAAATCTTCATTTTTTATAATATTAGTACTTATAGATATACAAATAATACACAATGGAGGCGGTTTACTAGTTAAATACGTAAACGTATGTTCTATATTACAGTAAGATTATAGTTTTTTTTGTGAGTTTTGTATTCTCTTCTCAAGCGGCCGCCCACTAGTACTTTATAAATAGTAAATCCGAGTTTTACGAGGAAATCTTTTCTATTTATACGAACTTTGCGTTATCTTGGAGATCAAAACCATTTATTCCTAGTTATTCTTTGTATCAAATCGGGATAAATTCTGCTGTTGTTGTTGCATAATATGATAACATTAGTGTTTCTTCTTTTATTTTACGTATTCATTCGTTATTACGACTAATGAAAGATAAAGATTCATTATATATTCAGAAAAACAATTTTATTCAGTAAATTTATATGTATGAATATTTGAAGGTCAAAGTAGTATTATTAGTATTTCTAAGTAGTATACTACTATAGACGACCTCCTTGGCCGGTTTCATGGTGTCGCTGACTCCAGAGGTCCCGGGTTCGAATCCCGGTGGGGGCAGATGTTTGTGTGATGAATACGAGCATTTGTACTCCAGTCATGGATGTTTAATATGTATTTCTATATAAATATACTTATATATATGTACAGTATATGTATTCTATCCGTTACCCTAGTATCCCATAACACAAACCTTATTGTGCTTAGCTTGGGGCTAGGCTAATTGGTGTGAGTGTTGGAAATATTATTATTATTATACGTATATTACGTGAAATAAGTATCTTAGAGAGTTGAATATACAAAAAGGTCCTTACCAGCTTCTCGGAAAACAAGCGTATGAGTTTGAACATCAACGTCTTCCCATATGGTGGAACTCTGCAGATACTGGATCATGTGGTCTGAAAGACAACTAACAGTTACTGAGACTTCAAATTGTTATCAAATCTATTATTTTATTAAATTGGTCATTAGATTTGCTTCAAATATGTGAGAAATAGGACGGAGGCATCGAGATACCTTTTTTCGTTTTAAATTACATACCACGTGGTGGTTATGTGGAGCTCTCCTCCCCAGAAGGGGGAGGCCTACCCACTAAAACCCCAGCGATGGCCGCCATCAGGCATTGTACGGGGCCTCAGGATCGAGTATCGCATCTGACGACCCGCAGCCTTTGCTCCCTTGCTTCCACCAGGGGAGCCCTTCTCGGGTGAGTGTTCGCAACCTCCCCCATCCACCCTCCTACGACGACAGCCCCCGGCCATGCGGGGGTGTCGTCCCTCCCAGGTCGCTTCCATGAGCACAAGCTCCGTCGTGCTCACCAGCGACCCGCGGCGGCGCATCAGGCCATTATCTGGCCCGACGCCGCAGGCATCGAGATACCTACTTCAGCACATAATCAGGCGGTTCTAGTTTCTCTTTCAACAACGAGTAATTTACTGAATCAAACTGGATCAATATCTATTTTATAGCTGAAAGCGTTCTTGTTGCCATAAAAATCAGTTACCTTCAATAAACTTAAGACGAATCTTAAATGGCAATTCCAAAATTTAAATTTCTGTGATGTAAGGCTGTTGCAGATCACGTAGTGGTACCACTACGTGAAACATCTTCATTAAGGGCACCATTCAGCGTGTTAATTGTTTGATTAAAGTTGCTACTACCGTTTTCTTTTGGAGAAGAACGCAATAATGAATAATACTTACATTTGTTAAATTTAGGGTGAGATTTTGGTCTGTAACTCCATCTGGCGGCAGTTCTTTTCCAAACATGGTTCCAACGGCGTCGGCAAATACCAATGGTTGATAAGCGCTTGCGTAGACTATGGAACGGGTGTGTCACTAATGGAAAGAACCCAAATGTGAATTTGTGAATTGCATTTTGGTATTCCGGGAAGGGAAGTCTGCTTAAAAAATGATGTAAAATAAATGGCACCTGCAATTTTCCACCATCAGATGACGAGACATAGACAAGATTTATATCCGTATTTTGTGATCGATGAAACTTTCAATTCGCATACTCCTTCATTATACGAATAATTTGAAATTCTCTTCCCGTATAACTTAAGGGAGTTTCAAGACAGGAGTAAATTAGACATTATTTAAGTTTACGTACTCTAGTTTAGACCATGCAACTATGTGCTAAACCTCAGGCGCCAGCGTGGGCCAACTTCAATAAAGAAATTGCAAATAATATCCTGTTTTTTTTTGAAAGCCAGTAGAAAAAATAAAAATCTTTTTGAATACATGTCAGGTCTAAGTTCGTGTTCAGAAACCAAAGTGAAAATTAGCGATCAATTTATCAGGAACTAAATCATTGTTATCGAGGTTTGTAATAAAAACAGTAGGTACCTTACTAGTCAGATTAAAATCACTATGGCAAACTTTCCTGCAATTGTAATGCACAATAGGGTATTTGACAGTATTAAAATAAAGTGCCAATTGTTAACATCTGTGTCGAGATTGAATATGGGCAGGGGTTTTTACTATTTTTACAAAAAAAATATTCATAATTTTACTAAAAACCCTCGAAAAAGATAATAGTTATCTATTGTCACGTGACTCAAAACGCTAGGGTTTGGCGGAGCCTAAAATGACTTCACACGTAAGTAAATTTCCGGTTAAAGCGACATTACATTGTATCGTTTGACGTTTAATAACAGTCGTGTGACATCACACACTAGTAAGACGCCATATTGTCCAGAGAAACGTTTTCGCGGCAACTTGAAAATGGAGTTTTGATTCGGATATTTTTACTGAAATACACAACAGAATGATGAATATCTACTTTTTACGGACTCCATAAACATTAGTCAATAAAGTGAGATTGTTGCCTAAAACTTGTCAAATACCCTTTTATAAATTATTTACTTCAAATAATGAATTATAAACAAAAATGTTCTACTAAACTAGTTCAAACATCTCAAAATATAGTTACATTTGTATTTGTAGCTAGGGAATCGTCTATATCTTGATTGTCTTTTGTAGCGATCTGCAGCATCATCTTGCAAGGACGAGTTGCGTTTTCTTTGACACCAATCGTACTTGTGGTCGTGGAAGTGGTCTGCTAGAAGAGGAAAAACGGGTTCCTGTATTTAAGTAGCTAACGTGCTAATCCCTAAGTCACTGTGGTATAATCCAAAATATGCGTGGTTGACTTATTTAAAAGTTAAAGAAAAGTTTTGATAGAAAAGAAAAATCCACGCGGACCAAGCATTTTTTTTTTCTATCAAAACTTTTCTTTAGATTTAAACATCTAGCAGTTAAATGCTTAAAATAAAAACATAATTATTTAAAAGCTATTTAGTTTTCTATTTGTAACTGAGGCAGTCCTTTTAACGAAAAATATGAACTTTTGTATTTTTCATGAAACTATGGTATAAATCATTCTTGCTCCTGAATTCTTCAACTTCGACTAATGATTTTTAACGCTAAACCATACATTTGTTAATTACTTTACACGGAATTTAGCTTAAGGGTTGGTAAAATATCACATCACGCATGTACACGGGACTCATAGTCTCGCAGATACGACTTGATGGTAATATTGACGTCGATGATGTTCATCCCGAGGATATTGTGAGGGATATGGCTATACATTATTTTAACTTTCATGGTCACTAATATTATAGTAGTTTATGTAATAAGCGGGAATCATCATGGCTGTAACCTTATAGTAGTAGTAGCTTATGATAGCTCAGGTGTCTACCTATTTATCAATTTTTGCTGTCTACACAATGTTACATGACTATATAATAGAAACATAAGCATTTGTCTACAACCACCGAAAAATTAGCCGCTAACGCATTCTGCATTGGAATATAATGAAAATAATTTATTATGAAGTAGAAAATATAAATAAGTTACAGGATTGTATATTGCCCGCCGAATCGATCCTCTTTCCATGACAGACGCAGTAGAGGGAGTCTTCAACAACGGTGGCAGCATCTGACCCATCAGACTTGGTGAAGGTGACGCAGCTTTGAGAAGCGCAACGATGATGATGGCTCCAAATGGAAGGCTGTTCTTCCAAGAGTTGGAATTGGCTGGAGTAGTCGTGACGAACTTCTATGTCCGTTTCAGCGATACTGCTTGTGGTTTTTCGCGAATCGCAGCCTTTGGGAGTTAACGATAAGGATTACATTACCAGAGATGTTTCGAAGTACTAGTGGCTACAACAATTGGAAGGAAATCAACGTCACAGTCAAATTACTGGTATGTTATATAGAAGTAGCCTTACTTCACTCAAGAGTTGGATGCTAATCATACATAGATTTAGGTTGCAACATTTTTAAGGGGGAATTAATAATAGTTTTGATTAGATAATATTTTTTTTACAGATAAGTTTTATACGAGAACTGAAATTGTTAATATATAGATATTATTTCAATTTGTTAAATAATGTTTTTAAATTAAAAAATACTAAAAAAAAAAATCTCTAAAATAAATATAAATTCGAATATTTTCGCGTGTTTTCCTCCACAGCCAAAAATTTGTGTTAAATCGTCAACTTAATTAAATCGTCACTTGTCGTCGGCGTAAATGGACCTCGAGGAAAAAGAGCTTATTAAATACGTTTTGGATAACGTCGTGCACAAAAAAATAAAAACCAGGGTAGTGGCAATTCTGAGCGTCGTCGTCTTGCCAGTGTCGGCGCAACGTTGACGCGACGGCGACGCCTCGGCGACGCGACGCCGGCCCTGCGTAAGCCAGGTGTTCGGCAGTTCGCCGACGCGGGCACGACGACAACTTTCGAGAGATGCTTCATCATCATCATCATCAGCCTATTAATGTCCCCACTGCTGGGGCACAGGCCTTCCCTATGGATGGAATAGGGAGATTGGGCCATGACCCACCACGCGGGCCCAGTGCGGATTGGCGGGTGCTAACGACTGCAGATGCAGCCGGGACCAACGGCTTAACGTGCCTTCCGAAGCACGGAGGAACTCGAGATAGTAAATTTTTGGTCACCCATCCAATGACCGACCACTGCGAAAGTTGCTTAACTTCAACGATCGCAGCCGAACACGCTAACCACTTGCGCCATCGAGCTCCTCAGATTGCTGCGTAAGCCAGGTGTTCGGCAGTTCGCCGACGCGGGCACGACGACAACTTTCGAGAGATGCTTAAAATACATAAAAAGACTTACTGCTTATAATTTTGCCGTCAATTTCAAAATTTGTCGTTTTTTGCAAAATTTCCGATGCACAATCTGTGTATGAAGCTAAATTAGCTTTCTCCTCTTGTTTAGATTCAGGATTAATTGCAGATGAGAGTTGTAAATTTTTACTGCATTCTGAAAATGAGCAATGTTGTAAAAATATAAAACTATACTACCACCTAAATTTACATAGTAATTTTCTCTGAATGGTTAGAATTATTTAACAGTATAATGAACATGTTGTAGATTTCCAGGGTACTCTTTGAAGTAACAGAAAATTTTGGTTAAAAGAAGTTATCGATGAATTTAGCTCAGAGATTTTCAGTTTCCATCTATTTAATCATGGGAATGTTACTATAAATCTTATTTAACGCACAGGAACATCTGCTTAATGTTTGTATTTGAGTTTCATAACAATAGAGTAAATAAATTGAACTTTGTTCATATACTGTTTTTGGGGTTCCGTACCTCAAAAAACAAAAACCAGAAAAAAACGGAACTCTTATAGGATTACTTTGTTGTCCGTCCGTCAAGACCGTTGTTTCAGATCCGCGTGGAGGTATCAAACTGAAATTCATATATACTCAGGTCTACCTCAGGTGTTCCTTCGAGCTGTAAAAAATCAAACTTCCAAGCCAAAGCAATCAAAAGATACAGCCATTGATGCCGCAAATTTTCGAAACTCGCACGGGAATCAAAACCTACAGGGTACTTCCCGTGAACTTAGAATCTTGAATTTTGGTACGCAGTAACGTCTTATAGTACATATAAAGGAAACAATTGCGAAAACCGTAAATTTTTAGTTACATCATATAATAAAAAATATTTTTGAAAATTCAGGTTTGAACGGAACCCTCGGTGCGCGAGTTCGACTCGCACATTTTTTGTACATTACGATTCAAATATACAGAACTAATTGTAATTCAACTGTACTTTTCTTATTTTTCAAGTATACGTTGTCTTGATTTGTAAACAAAACTTGTCTATTGAGAAGTGATAGTGTTTTAGATGGATATAATAAAATAATATCATAAAGAAAAGAAATAATGTACTTTTACCTGATTTAGATATAAGAATGGGTTCCAGAGCTTTGTCACTTTTCGTGCTGTAATCTTCTGACTTTGATGAACCTTTCTCATTTAGATCAGGTAATCTATTAATTACCACTGTCTGTTGTTCTACGAGTACAGGTTCTGTAATATTGAAAGAAATAAATGTAACAAAAATCTTCATGTATATGTAGGTGACGGCTTAGATTTACAAATGGACCCAGAATTTCAAAGGTGTATTGTGCAACAATCAAGATGTATTTGATTGTACACTAATATAAACCTTGTGTTTGTGGGTACCTTTACGATGCTATTAGGAATACTAAATCAAGCCTCTCAGGAGAGCTACACGCATACTCGGACCGGCGCATACACTGTTCGGCAGTGTCGAACAACAATGTCGACCCGAAGCAATTACCACGGTTATATTATCTATACAATATTGTGACTCGGCCCTGTCCTTGAAATAACTACCTACGGCCAAGCGGGGCGTAAACACGCTGTAGGGCTGCCCGCCTACAGTATTTTAATTTCATCTACGTAATTGAGTTTATTTCTAGTTTTGTGATTGTAAATATTTTATTTCCTATGTAAAAAAAGTTGTAAATGAATTAGGAAGTGTTACATAAAATACATGATATTTTAAGTGTAATTTTTAATAAAAAAATATAGATTTGAGACAGAATAATATCTACGCCTCGACTCAGACGTACGAAAAGCTTTATTATTAAATAATATAATAAATACGCGTCCGTATAAATAGTTTAATTAATGAAGAGTTCAAGCAACCAAAACCAGCACAATATCGACTATTGCTCTTTGCCATATTAAATTATGTAGGTATCTACTTAATTCAATCAAATATTCACAATACAAACGTTTAAGCACGGCTAACTGCTTAAAATCAATTCACACCGTTGGGTGGTCGCTGCGGCGCATTCGCGAGTGGATGCCCACCGGGTGCCGCGCGAACTCGAGTGGCGTAGGTATGACACGCTTTCCGACCGTTTGTTTTAAAATAGAATACTGTATCAATAATATTATCGTGCAATTACTGCCCTTGTTCGGCTTCATTCAAGACATCATTCGATTCGGCAGTACTTGTGGAATGAAAAAGCCGACCCACATACGTTCAGCTCCAATCGGTTCGCTTTTCATTCGGTCGTCGTCACTCGGTTTTCAATCTTTATTGTCACGATTTTTTAGGCGACCTCGCACCAAAATCTTTGGAGTTTTCGTAGTAAAGATCCGGCAATAATAACAAAATATGCAGAAACTAAAACCACGTCGTCTTCGCCTCACTTCTTAGCTCAACTAAAATTTAAGCCGAGCGAGTTGTGATTTCAGAACATTCATCTACATATATTTGATTTTACCGCCCGAAAGTGCCGACGATTAATGCCTGCTTATGTGTGTAGCTATCCTTACATAATATCGTGGTGACATTACACAACGGCTAATATCTTAGGTCCGACAAGTGAAGTACGGATGTCATTGCATCTTATAGTTATCATAAACAATAAATTGAGACAGGAAAATTATTACTTTTCAATAATATCATGGTACTGCTTTGAAATATCATACGATTATGCGTGGAGATCTCATGCGGAGGTATTATTATTAGCGGTAGATATTTGCTAACATTTGTATTCTAAATCCATCGTTCTTATTAAATAACATAAAAATAATGGGAGAAATACAATTTACCAAATTTTAATAAGTAAGTCACAGAATAGCACCTTTGCTAAATTCTGGTGTTACTTCGTTTGCAGTTTTCAATTCTGTCTCTTCAAAATTTTCACTTGTTTTGGGCAGTTTTGAGGGATATTCGAACGGAGTGCTCCCAACTTGACTATCTGAATGTTTCGAGTCTATAACGAACGGACACTGATTGCATGGGCTGAGGGAGCTGTATCCTAAATCAACAAATCGTGTTAATTGAAACGTTTCAAAACAAACTTGGTGCAACTCGATTGAGTACTTATTACCACTACACATCTGCTAAAAGCTTGATGTATCAACTCACAGAATTCAAGTAGGTAAATATAAATAATCAACCTTTTTTGTATTCCAAATGCGAGAGCTTAGATTTTCTTAAGGGTTAAAAATAATAACACAGGGAGCAGATCATCAAAAACTTAGATCAAATAGGTAAGTGGTTTTAGTCTCTTAGGGTCGCCGCACACGGGCCACACGCCACAGCCACAAACGCTGCCACGAGAAGCTAGAAGCGGCTACTAAAGTGGCTGAAGCGCGCGACAGCGGCCGATTAAGGTAAGGGAGAGAGGGGTTGGGAAGCGCGCGAGTGACGTGTAGCGGAGTTTTGTATCGGCGCATTAGTGGCCGGTGCGGGCCATAAGAATCGAGCAACGACGATTTGTAGTGTTTGGCGGCCACCGGCGTACCGTGTGCGGCGAGTGTGTGTGCGATGTATGAAACCTACAAGAAATATGCCGGTGGCGGCCTTTTGTGTTTGTGATCGGTGACCCGTGTGCGGCGACATTTAGTATTTACGGTCGCGCATGCTGATAAGCCCAAGATATGCTTTATACTTGAAAAGCAACTAGCCCTATGGCGCAGGTGGTTAGCGCGTTCGGCTGCAATCGTTGAAGTTAAGCAACTTTCGCAGTGGTCGGTCATTGGATGGGTGACCAAAAATCTTCTATCTCGAGTTCCTCCGTGCTTTGGAAGGCACGTTAAGCCGTTGGTCCCGGCTGCATCTGCAGTCGTTAGCACTCGCCCATCAGCACTGGGCTCGCGTGGTGGGTTGTGTCCCAATTTCCCTATTCAATCCATAGAAAAGGCCTGTACCCCAGCAGTGGGGACATTAATAGGCTGATGATGATGATGCTTTATACACGCTATTCAAAAAGTAAAAATCTATATAAACGTTTTTGGTTTTCTTGCCAGTACAACTTTTTACAACTGTTGCAATGAAAATGATACAAGGCTTACCAGACTCATTATCTTTGGTGGGATATTCTATTTCATTTGAAAGCCAAGCGCTAATATTATCATTAGTAGTTTTGTATTTATGTGTTTCGATAAGGCTATTGGGTTTCACAGTTTGATCCAAAACATATTTGTCTTCTGTAAATATAGTAGATTATTATTTATTGCATTGAGACTAACGAGTTCTTGTTCGAAATATATTTTACTAGCTGTAAGGAATATAATATTTTGAAGAATACTAAGGCTAATTAACATAATGCAGCGTACTTCAGCCAAAATTACTTATTTTACGAGTACCAAAACACAGAAGAATATTTTACTAGACAAAATTCCGACTTTTTCAAATATTTTCTTTGGATTTGAACATCTAACAGTTAAATGTTTAGAAAAGATAAAATACACTAAAGATTATTTTACTAGAAAAAATTCCGACTTTTTCAAATATTTTCTTTGGATTTAAACATCTAACAGTTAAATGTTTAGAAAAGATAAATATACACTAAAGAATATTTTACTACACAAAACCCCGACTGGACCGTGTCGATTTTTTTTCAAATATTTTCTTTGGATTTAAACATCTAACAGTTAAATGTTTAGAAAAGATAAATATACAAAAGAACTGCATTTCTTCCCACAATTGCAATTATTAGGACATATTTGCATATATCCTAATAATTGCAATAACTTACCATCATTAACGACGCTTGGACCCGTATCTGCATTATCGTATGATTGGCTGACCATGGCGTTTCCAAGAGGGTCTACGCCTGAATGTCTTGGTACATCAAGCTCCATGTACCAGTCTAGAATGAGTAATTGATAAATCTTCTTAGGGTAGAGATCTTAACTACTGGTTAGGAAAACAGCTTATTAAACTTTAAATCATATTTAAGTATTAAACACCTATTGTACGTATCACAATAGGTTCATAAGTGAGATGATTTTAATAGTAAATAAAGTAATTGTGGCTGATGTGGCAGATAAAACTGCAGCACCAGCTATCTTCGCGTCTAGACTCCACCATCACTTAACATCAGTCGGGCTAGAGTCATTTGTCGGATTTGAAAAATGCCTATTTCATATTTTCGGCTAATACCGAAGAAATATTGATGTCGTTCTATGCTTAAGCTGCTGTAATAAGATGGCAGTAAAAGAATTTGAAATTCTTAATGTATTTTATACCATAGTATAAATCTTCATTTACTGTACTATTCTGCCCATACATTTGACACAGATCGGGTATTGGCCTTGTCGAAGCTAAAGATGTCACTGCAGAGCGTTCATCTTGGTAAAAATCTACAAATAAATAAAATTATATCGTTATGCTTATCACTTATTGTAACGAGAAAGAAAAATAAATATAGAAAATAAAAACAAAGTTGAAGACAAAAGTAAAAAAATGAGTAAAGAATTACTGCAACCTTATAACAGCAGCTACGTTTGTTTTTTTTGTTACCTACCTATACTTGAGGATAAAATTATCGTAATGTAAAATTATAATGGATTTCTATACCTGGATTCAAATTAGGTAAATACACTCTCTGAATACGGGATTCATTTGTGAAGTATTTGTAATTTATTGGAATTTTCTCATCTTCTTTTGAAATATTTGCAGAAATCTTACGACGTGGAATTTGACTTCGTTTTGTTCTTGCTCCTGAAAGGGTACCTCATATTATTACACATATTTCATTTATATTGTTATTATCTTTGATATCGAGAAAAATCTATAACCTTCATTTCTTAACTTTACTGGCAAAAATGTTTGTGCACTGGGTCCTTCCGAGCAATCACCTGAAATGTTTTATTAGTTTATTCAACACTGAAAATATAGTATGTAGCTAAGGTTTTATATTTTTATTATCAATTAAAATATAAACTTACATAAATAGTTTCAAAGAATATAAGTACTTCTAAAAAGTTACTGTTTTTTGAATACACTTCTTTGAAACTGCCGCGTAAAACGCGCACTTTAATAAACGTTTTCGTAACTTTTTATCCCGAAGTTTCGACAGGTTACACCAGTTGTGGTCATGGGATCACTGTGACTGGTGAAAACTGGACGAAACCACGACGGGATAAAAAATGTACGAAATGCATTAATGTTCGCGATTTAACCAGCTAATATTATATTTAATGTTTATTATATTCAAAATGATATTTTTGCAGTAACCATTGCCCCTTTTTTCCACCAAGAAACAAGTCCTAAACTAGTATTAAACAAAACTTGTAGAATAGGTACTTGTTGTGGCTGTTTAAAATATCTTTCGTTTACATTACATAGACAACAAGTATCTGACAAGTATAAGTCAGTTATAATACTTAAAATATTTTGTTTATCTAACAAGTAAGATACAAGGTTTGTTTACTACATGTTTTAAACATGTATACACAATGGTCCAATTAGTGACGTCAACATTTTTTTAAAATTTCTCGCACCTGGGTGTATCCGAAAGTTTTTAATTTTTTTATTCTGCCAGCGAGGTTTCGCTCTTTCGCTGGCAGAAATCATTAGAAATACTCAAAAAAATTGGGGTATTTTCGGATACCCCAGGTGCAAGGAATTTAAAAAAAAGTTTTTTGACGTCACCAATTGGAACACCCTGTATAAGAGTGAATAAAAAATTAAGACATTGTACGAAATTTGTTAAATTCATGTATTATACCTTGGAGTAAGCGCGGGGTTAGGAGACATTACATTTGTTCAGAAAATTCAGACACTATTTTTATATTATAAACCTTCTATGCTTTTTAAATGTATAGAGTACCATAACGATAGTACCTGAGGTATCGGAGCGACTAATTTTACTGAAGGATTGGTCATCACGTTTGCCCGCGTTCGTGATAGTAGATGTTTTGATTATTCTTGGTAATTTACTTGAATTTTTCTTCCTCTCATTGTTAATTGTGTTCATTAATTCCTGTAAACCTGTTAAACAAGTTTTGAGTTTATTTTTTCATAGAAACTACTATGGAGCTTTTTATTTACACAACCTTACCTTTATTAAACTTGTCTTTGGAATTAATACGATGAACTTTAATGCGATGTCCATAAGCAACTACATAATCTATTGGACCGTTACCTCCTGATAGAATTCTATCAGAAGATGGATCCATTTCAACTGAAAAAAATCCATAAAACGATTTAGTTAATACATATTCCGGCTTCTAATACATATAAATGGAAACAGATTATTTTGTTGGTATTGAAGAATTACGATAAGTAATCAGGTTGCTCATATCGATGTCATTGGTTACTAGCTGACCACCAGATGGATAAGCTGAGTGTTTGGGAATATGAATTCCTAAATGACCAATCTGTTGGAAAATATAAATGGTCGGTTTGGAGCACGGGTGTTATTGACTGATGAATGTGCTTTTAATACAAATACCATCGCAATATCTAAGTGTTTTTGGGTTTCCCAATTTTTTTATACAAACCTTGTCCTGAAAATAAGGAAGACATCGAAACAACAATTACCAAATTGGTCGAACAGCAGTGCTATTCTGTAAACTTTTCACGCGCGGATCCGATGTGGATCCGTTGACGATCCGCGCGAATCTATATACGGAAAAACACGCGGATCTAATGCGGCATCCGTACGTACATGAAAATTTTACAGATTACCACTGCTGTTCTCGAATGATACTCGCCGTGTAATACACGTAGGATCATGGTTTTATATAAATATGTAGATGTAATACTTACAAGTGACTAAATATTAGCATTTGTTTATTTTCGAACACTTTCATCTGCTCGCATTAAGTTTTGCTATTCAAATCTACCTTACCAAAAATTCTGTTTAAATAAGAACTTTAAAAATGTTTTTGAACTCTTATTAAATTAAATGTCAAGAAAAATACAAAGAATTTCACATAATGAAAGAAAATTATTTTTTGGCTTATATAATGTTTACCATTTAATTTTCAAAAAACCTAAACACCATGTCATTTTGACATAATAGGTATGTTGTCATTATTAAAGTCAAATGTCACATTGAAATCAGCCAGTATTATTCTTCTTCCATAACTTCAGATCTCACATCAATTTGTACAGGTTTTTCGGACCGGAGTGATGCTCTCCTTTCTGCTTGGATTTCTTCTAATTTCTTTATCAAATCCTCTTGAACGCTGTCTACTATCTCTTTCAAATTTTTTGCTATATTAAAAACAACATTTCGGTTACTTGTTTGATATGAGGTAGAATGATAAAATATATATATACTTCAGTAACAATGAAAAAAAAAACTCAATCTCCGCTCTATAACGACGCCAACAACGATATTAAAATGAGCAATGAGTGACCATTGCCATCAACACTTTTCGAAATTGACTTCTCTTTGCTAAGCTTTTACAATGAGGTAAAATGTTATTAACCTTTTTATTTTTCACTAGCTTTTGCCCGCGACTTCGTCAGCGTTTTCGTCGTTTTTCGTAAAAAAGTAGCATAAATATGTCCTTCCTCAGGGTTCCGTGGTTTTGATATGATAGACAGATTAACTTTCGTATTTTAGTAGGGAAATATAATATGTCAATCGACAATACTGTTAAAAATATCGCAATAAGGAACCGCAGAATATTATTATTATCACTGTGCCCCGAGACCATCAGCGTGTAACTCCTTGTATGTTATTATGTTAATGTATTAGTAATATTGTTTAGATCACTTTCACATGAGGCTTAAGTACATATAGAATGAAAATACTTCAGCGCAAAGCTTCCGGGTAAACTACGTTGAAAGTTGACCCGTCCGGCACGTGAACATAAAGATTTCTAAAACTGCTAACCCGGGAAAGAGCGACATATAACTGACCATGTGAAAGACAACTGACACCGCGATCTACTCCAGCAGCACGAATAGTCTGCCCTTGAGCCTTATTTATTGTCATTGCATAACACACCGATACTGGGAATTGCGTTCTTTTAAATTGGAATGGAAAATTATTTGGTATCATGGGAATTCTGGCAATAAAGATGGTTTCTCCTGCACCGCAGCCTGTTAAAATTTGAGCCTCGATTACATTTTGTTGCAACTGGGTTACTTTAAGCCGAGTTCCATTGCAAAGTTGTGGTGGTCTTAAATTTCGGAGCAGAATAATCGGAATGCCAATTTTTAAACAAATTTCATGAGAAGGAAGTCCGGGCATATTTAAAGAATTTAAAAAATCTATCGGGTAATTAGTGGCTTCTTGTTCATCTTGCTATTCTATTTATTGAACTATAAACTTTGCTTTCCCCCTGGATATTCGACAGTATTTTATTATTAATCTCAGATGCCTGGTCATTGCGAGGAGTTAAAATGGACCTTTCGCATAGCCAAGAATTGTCCTTTTTTAATATATTTGTTACGTCACCGTAAACTGACGATATAAGATGTTGTTGGGATTGCACTATATAACATAACTCAGGCGTCAGAATAAGTTTTCCTTGGTGTAGCAGTGGATAGGTATCTTTGGTGAAGGTATTTTCTTTATATATCAGAAAATTCAGGATCATCCGGGTTATCTACAGTTCTCACTCGAATGTTTATAGTCAAATGCACCGATTGTATATCACGCCACAAATAAGAGCTTTTCAGGCAAGCCCTAATCTCATCAGCTCGGGTTCCCCGTGGTATTACCGGTGGGGTTTGTCGGAAATCACCACAAAATTAAACTGTGATACCGCCCATTGGTCGATCATTTTGTCTTATATCCCTTAAAGTTCTGTCTACCGCTTCTACTCCTTTTCGATGGGCCATCGTACATTCATTCCATATGATTAAATTACACTTTGAACGAATATTTAAACACTACCAAAACAACTAATACGTGATCCTAACTTTAGCTACCTCACACTTAAAAACTAAGTGACTATTTAAACTAAAATATTCTTATAGAATTATAATCAGAAATATATGACAACTCACAACAAAAAAGAAATGAAAATAAAGCTGAAACGCCTGTGCAATACTATCTACCTATACCTACTTCACTTAAAAATAAATACTTATAACTACTTTAATTAATAAAAGTACCTACGCTTAATAATTTTTAATTTGAACGAATATTTAAACACTGCCAAAACAACTAATACCTATTTTACAAAATAACAACAAAAGAAATTAAAAAAAACTATTTTAAGACTAAAAGTCGCGCTGATAAGCACGGTTTCTCAATATCAATTATTGTCTGTCAATAAGGTCGAACGCTCTGAACGCATCAACAGCCAAATATTGAAGCTCGCTCGCTCTCTTTTTTTACGACGCAGAAAACAGATTTAGACAGCTCGCTCTCGGACCTCCCGCCTTTTGATACCCTACCACCGCCGCGACCCGTGTGGAGCGCGGCAACCGTTACACAAAAATAATCCTTATAGCATGATTCAGTATTCACGTGCGACGGCGCGATGGCTTATTTCATGTATAAGTTTGGTGTTTCTATACCGATTTCTATGTTCTTTTTTTTATTGAATAGGTAATAATGTTAACTTTTTTAAATTAGGGATGAGTCAGAGTATTATAAACGTAAGAATAAACAAATATGATCAGAATGCTCCGAACTGCTAAGCTATCGAGAGTTTCACGTGTTATTGTGAGTCAACCATAAAAGATAGACATATGCTGTTGCGGGATATTTTTTAGACAATTTTATGTAGAATATTTCCGTCATACATGATTTCTATGTAACTTTAACCATTAAGGCTGCACACGCGACGGAAGCTTAAAAAATGGAGTAACTTCTCCCGTTTTCCCAACATTTCCCTTCACTACTCTGCTCCTATTGATTGTAGCTTGATGAAAAGTATACTATAACCTGCCCAGGAGTATGAAGAATTATTGTACCAAGTTTCGTTAAAATCCGTCGAGTACTTTTTGTTTCTATAAGGAACAAACACACAGACAGACAGACAGACAGACAAAAATTTTACTGATTGCATTTTTGGCATCAGTATCGATCACTAATCACCCCCTGATAGTTATTTTAAAAATATATTTCATGTACAGAATTGACATCTCTACAGATTTATTATAAGTATAGATAGATTATAGCTCTATTGAAATAACTGATATTATTAGTGATTTAAGGATACTTACCAGTTTTCTGATTAAATTCTTCTGCTATTAGTGATATCTTTTTCAGCGTCCCCACGTACTTAGCAATTTCAGTAGCCACATCTTGGTCAGACCCTGTATTGACTGCTACATTTTCAGTTGGAATCCTTCGCCTTTTTTCGACAGTTTGCTTGAATATATCACTGCTAGCTAAAGGCATTTTAGGAATCTTGAATGCCGTTTTATCAATTTCTGTTTCCAGAAACGAGGGTTCATCTTCAACTGTGTCTATTTGGGGCGGAGGAATGTCTAAAGTATCATTAGGTATAAGTTCGGGAGCAAATGTTTGCAACGTTTCTATTCTTACGGGGGACTCTTTCTTTTGTGGTGATCTTCTAGAAAATTTTATTGGTAAAGCATTGCTGATACTGTCTATGATGGTTTCTGTAAGAAATAATGGCTAAATAGGTTATGAGCAGTGGTTAAATATTCCATAAAGATAAGTTCAACACTCACGAACTATATTTTTGGTTTCGACTTCTTGTCTCTTCTTAGAAGCGAGCTTCCTAGTAAGCTCTGCCAGAAACATTGAGCACGTTGGTCCTGTAATAATTTATTTTTTTTGACTGATAAATAATTGTACATTTAAAGTAAGTAAACTTTCTTTCATTGCTATAGTCACCTTTCTACTAGTTAGTGAATTGTTTGCATTTCAACCTATAGGCCAATAAAAAACGCAATGTTCAGGCAACAGACGTTTTTCAACCGTATTCTGTTACCAATGTTATGGTGCAAATACACTTGGTCGCTATCCCGAATACGAGTGCCAATGGAATAAATACTAAGTGTAAATGAACGGATTCGAGTAAGCCCGTATTCAGGTAGATTTCCCTTTGTTTACCCTCACGGAGCACCCCCACTAGAGTCCTCATACAAGGGCAAGCGCTTACGCCAAGCTTAAGTAGTATTTTACCTATGCGTGAGGCACGCCTACAGACGTCGCGATACATCGTTTCATTCGGTGACCGAGCGTTGGTCAAACTGCTTCTCTCGTTTTCGTGTTAAAAAACTGTAAAAAATGCCGTACTGTGCAATTAAATTGTGTGGAAAGTCGAGTACAACTTCCAGTCTTCAAAAAAATGGTATTACTTTTCACTGGTTAGTTTAAATGCATTACAAAAAGACAAAAATACTGTTATATTAAATTGCTGTTAATTGTATTTATTTTTTGGTGAACGCGTTGATGTCTTTTTACACTATCCCTTTCTCGCATGGGCTACATCATATATGCTATCTCGCTCTCACACCGGCACGTGTATTGCTAGTGAATCAGACGCAGCTCATGTCTCAACGCGTAAGTTTATCGATAAGTTTGTCAGCTATGGAAATGGAAAAAATAAATAAAAACTATTTATTTCATCGTATACAATAATAGATGTCATAAGTATACCACCAACAGTTTTTATTTGACTTCAAACATATCCTAATAAAATTGAAAAACGCGAAATTTTGTATGCATATTTGTTACTCTTTCACGCTAAAACGGTTAAACGGATTTGTATGAAATTAAGTGCGCATAGTTTATGACCTAGATAAAGACATAGAATTAACGATATTAAATACCCTAGATACACCACGAGCGCTCAAAATGTGTCCCAATCAAGAAGTGCTTGAACTCCACTCAAGCACTTCTTAGTACACAGTCACACGCGGACCGTTGAAAAGTCAAGATGCGTCAAAGAGTTCCGTGAAAAAATGCAGAAAAATACTAATAGTACGTAAAGTGTCGTTTTTTCGACGGGTATCTAATTAATGTTTTTTAATTAACGCCTTTAAAGCAAATTTTATTGTTGTAATACTTACTATAAACTGATTTAATTTAAAATATTTGTGATATTTAAATGCATGGTCGGTTATACGTCGCCCTTAGCCATCTCTTTTCTTCGCGGTCTGTTCCTGCTATATTGCTAACAGCGCATTCAGAATTGCGCGTGAAAAGTCAAAAAAAATAAAGTCTATATTCTTTCACATATAACAATACATCGTAAAATTTTACGAACTTGACGCATGCATTTTAATTAACACCTTATGCCGTATGCATTAAAGGTGACTTTCAATGTTTAAATAAGGCATTATATTGTTTTTGACCACGCGATCATCTTACGGACCTCCGTGGATCGTCCAATGTATCTTTTGGACACGTTTCGGCCACGATTTTGTTCGTGTTGTTGTATCTAGGGCAGTTAATATCGTTGCATTAATACTTCTTGTCCTGGACGTGTTTTTTTTTTGTGTTGCTTATATATAATTTAGTATGTAGTTACTAGTCGCGTCATGTAATTAGAACGCTGGAAGAAAGTGGAGAGGGTATGATTACGCATTTGTGCACCAAAGTACTAGGCCTCTATTCTAAATTGTTTATCGATAGAAAACATCGATATTTTCTAAAATCGATCTTACCCTCATCACTTCGCTGCACTGAGTATATGATCTGACCTTGACGCGTCCAATCACAGCGGGGCTGACCTCCCTGCACCCCACCGACTTTGGCGATTTTGATTTCAAACAAAATTTGTGTGATGCGGACTCTAGTGGGGGTGCTCCATGTTTACCCTACACCATCTTCCAGCACGTATTCAAGTATAGATAATTATAATAATATTGCTTCAGTTGACCCAATTCGAGTAATGTCTTGCGTGCACCCGAGTACGGGCTAACGATCAAATGTATTTAAATGTATTTTTTTGACAACAACTCGAGGTCAAAAGTGCTCCGTGCTATCTTAGGCTGGCCTTACACAGTCTGAATCAGAATCTGGATTCATAATAGGAATTCATATTATTTAACGTGATTATAATAAGTCGAGCCAGAGAATTTTTGTTTGACCACGTGATTGAACTTCTCTATTTATAACAAAGCTAAGGGAAAATGAGTAGTGAGAGAAAATGGATGAGCTTCTTATAAACCTTTTTGTTACAACGCCAACTATATATTTAATAGGAAGCGTGTAAATAGCGAAAATTACTTTTACTTGTCCTTCTGATTTATACATTGCCACGTAATTTACTAACTCAGCCACGGATTTTACAACTCATCATCATTTTAAGTTTTATAGCTTCAACACGAGCTTCTCGGAAATATATCATTCAAACTCCAATAGACAACATCCAAAATTATAACTTAGCATAATTATTAATAAATTACCTATATATTGTTTTGTCGTGAAAATAGGCACTGCACGATTTGACGCGAGTTGGCAGCGACCGCCCATTTGCACCAATCAGAGAGCACCATTCGATTTATTTACCGCTGAGTTACCATTATCGACCGCCTTATTTATCGTTCGTGCGTTTGTATTGTCGTGCCATGGCAGCGGCGGGCAAAGTGCCAGAAAAAAGGTCCTTTTTCATTTATCTACTCCCTCTTATTACCATAGAGTCCATACTAACTTCATATTAAATTCTTAAATATAAAAATCGCTTGGTTACGTTAGACATGGAAAAAATCTTTGGTGTAGTGAGGGTTGTTTATCTTTGAAAATATGTGTTTGCTTTGGTAAGAAAGAGGAGTTGGGGGAGATTCCTCCCCTTTCCCCTGCCTCCCAATCTCTAAAACTTGTGGGCCGAAAAGTAACTTAATACAGTCCTAATCACAAAATTTAACCATAAATACATTGGAAACTATTCATTTCGGGGGAGAAGTAGCATTCATACCGTCGCCTCCCTCCGTCCTCCCCCGCTATCGGCCCTTAAATCGACGGGCAATATTCTATATTTTTACCATTTAGTGGCTTTAATACACTATTTATTGATAAATTATATAGATAAATTTGACGATCAATTAAAGTAAGGTTAGTTATATTTAAAGTTATAAAATTAGAAGCTAATAGAATTTATAGTTTGGTGCCATATTATAGAAGTTTACTGCTTGAATACATATTACAAATTTAGATGCTTATAAAATAACCACCATGCTGAGTTATAATTAGAATGGCTTATTTAGAAGATAACTAGCGGCTAAGATAATATTATTCAGAAGCGCGTCGATTGTGATTGGTTAAGCAATTTAGAAGGCAATTTAGATTTTTAGAGGCGATCTACTTTATGGTATTTTACGACACTAGTGTGGAACCGGCATGTTAGTTAATATAATCTTAAGAAATGTTTACTAGAAAAAAAATTTAATACTTGAAAATGTATTCATTTGACATTGTGGGTTGCCTACAATGCGAAGAGATGGCGCTGCCTTGCAGCTTAAGGCTAGGAAAATTTCGACGCGGCTAATAGGGCCGTGGTAGCATAATGGTCAGTGCATTCGCCCGGATAGCGAAGGATGCGGGTTCGAGTCCCGTCCGCTGCCTGGTCCGCGTGGATTTTTTTCTAGTAAACTTTTCTTTAGATTTAAACATCTAGCAATTAAATGCTTAAAAAAAAAATCATAAAATCATAATATAATCTTTCTAATGTGTGACTGCCACTCTACACTATATTTTCTCTAAGATACGTATTTTAGAAATTTTCAAACGGACTATAAAAGACTTGTGTCAGCCAAGCACCGGAATTCAGATCATAATTACATAAAATGGATTCAGATTCTGATTTAGACTGTATAAGGCCAGCCTTAGTATTAAATAAGTTCGATAAGTCAATTAAGTAATTATACTTAATTGACTTATCGAACTATTGATGCTGAACAAATATCTCGTGTGTTGATGTTACTTCATATGCTGTTAATCCTTTAGTGTCGCCGCACACGGGCCACCGACCACAACCACAAAACGCCGCCACCGGCATATTTCTTGTAATTTTCATACATTTTATATGGACTCGCCACACACGTACGCCGGTGGCCGCTACACGCTACAAATCGTCGTTACTCGCTTCTTGTGGCCCGCACCGGCCACTTAATGCGCTGATACAAAACGCCGCCACACGTCACTCGTGCGATTTCCCATCCCTCTCTCGCTTACCTTAGTCGGCCGCTGTCGCGCGCTTCAGCCACTTTAGTAGCCGCTTCTAGCTTCTCGTGGCGGCGTTTGTAGCTGTGGTGTGTGGCCCGTGTGCGGCGACATTTAATTGTTGTGTTATAAATCAAAATCTTTTACCATCACTTTTCCGTTTCTTAGTAGTTTTGGGTTTTGCTGCGGGTTTTTTATTTTTGGCTTTATAACGGACTGACTTTTCCATACCTATAAAAATAAAATTCCGTAAACATTTCTATCAAAATTCATCATACGTTTTTATTTAGGCTAATAATTGTCTGAATCTTGAGTGTATTTCAGTCACTTGCCTTATCAAAACTCAATTATGTTAACATTTTTGTTTTGCACACGGGGTGTGCCTTCCCCGTTACCAGCAAAATCAAATACCTATCACAATTGTTTTGAATTTTATCGGCTAGTTCTAGGTAAAAGGCGTCCCAAATATTTGTATTAAATAAAGGCCAAAAAAACTTCTAATTTAGTAAACAATTACAATAAAGACAAATTGACATAAGTGAAGTCAAAAATGAAATTGTCACCAAGCTAGTTGCTTTGGTTGCTTTATGATAAGCTCGACTTAGATGTATTCAAATTTTACGTCTATGGATGTATTATTGGACGCTAATGGACAAATGGACGAACCGTGGGCGTAAAGAAAATACCGTCGCCTGAAGAAAATAGGAAAAGGTTTTAAATCAATTAATGCTCTATAATCAGCCAATTAAACTACTATCTCGAGCTCCTACGTGCTTCGGAAGGCACGTTAAGCCGTTGGTCCCGGCTGCATCTGCAGTCGTTAGCACCCACCAATCCGCACTGGGCCCGCGTGGTGGGTCATGGCCCAATCTCCCTATTCCATCCACCGGGAAGGCCGGTGCCCCAGCAGTGGGGACATTAATACGCTGATGATGATGATGAATCAGCCAATTTGATTCTTGATCCTGGCCCACCATATATAGGACGATTAATCCATGAAGTTATAGAACAAACTTACTTTTCACAGCGGAATCTATGTGGAGGGATTACTGACCAGTAGTAAATAGAAGACAAAAAATATTACCTTGAATGACGTCATGAACGAATAATATTAATGTGATGAAAGTTGACATCACCACATGTTTTCAATTTTTGATGTCATCTTTTATTCGCCGACTCTGTATGAAACAAAACAGGGAGAAGAAACTAGCCCTTGCTGAGTGTCTTGCCGGTTCTTCTCAGTACAAGGGTGGTTTTCCAATTACAGAGCAAAATGCGATTCAGTGGCGCACAATGCCGAATTATGCTGATACTTAATTGGAACGTGAATTAGTTTTCAAATGCACCAGCAGAGTGCGCAAAGTTCAGTGTTGAAAAAAAAGTCAATGTTTGTACCTTCATCCATACTTATATTTATTTTTTTAACACAGTTTGAATTAACTTTGAATATTAAAAAAATACTATAATGAAACGAAAGCTTTAATAATTTTTCAACAATAAATAATATAACTAACGATAACATATAAATAAAACATTTCGATGAATGCCAACTAAAGAAAAAACACTTGTTAATTTTCTCTCACTGAGTTGGTACGATTGCACGCATCACACGAAAGCATTACTTTTGAGAGTGCTCGATTGTGCGAAGCGTTGCTGTAGTTGAAACATTCAACGTTAAGCATTATGCCGCATAATGCACTGTAGTGCTGTAATTGGAAAACTATCAAGGTCTCCCGCCGTAGATTTACGAACCGATGGCGTAGCGTTTGACTTTCACAAGAGCGATTATATATTTCTTTAGACTGAATAAATGAGTTTGAGTCTGAGATCACAAAAAGTAACGCAGTTACCTCGTTATTAGAAGGTAGTGCACTTAGGAAAGTGCAATAGGCATTTTCTACAAAAGAAAACTTCTGTTTTTAAGTGAATTATAAGTGGGTTAGGAATCAATTGAATCAAATTATTATCAAATGACTATCACACTAATATTATAAAGGCGAAAGTTTGTGTGTGAGTGTGTATGTTTGTTACTTCTTCACGTCTTAACGGCTGGAGCGATTTTAATAAAATTTGGTATAGCTGACACCTTAGATTAACATATGGGCTACGTTTTACTGAGGGAAAATATGCTTAATAAGCCGCGGGTAACACCGCGGGGCACAGCTAGTAGAGTATATAGCGAAGATGACGGATTGAAAATGACTAAAAATCACAAATACTAAAGTACTGGGATTCAATCTAATATACTCAAGAATTTGTTTGCATATTTTTATTTCGGTTGATTATAAATAAATTATACAGTTTTACTATTTAATCTGTGTGGTTCAAATCAGCAGCGTTGGTAACCTGAAAGAGAAAAGTTATTAAAGTTATTATTATAAAGTTATTTTTTACTGTACAAAAAATTCGACTCAGCGTATGTGCAAGGCCGGATTATAACGATTTATTTATAATAAAAGTAAAAGTTTTTTTTATGGGATTAAAATAATAATTATATTTTGCGGTATTCTCCCTAGGTATGAGTGTTTTTTTTAAAATTGCTGATAATACTTTGTTTCTCGTTTTTGTATAAACGTATTCGTATGACTCTGCTGACGATGTGTCATAGGGATTCACCTCTAAAAGAAATAAATAACCAGTTGATTTTTTTATAACCGCATTCTGTAAAATAATCAAGTGACAACAAATAATAAAAATATATTAAATTTGAGTAATTACTGGTCTCTCTCCATCCATACATGAAATTCCCGTTCGACTTTCTGGTATCTCTATTGTGAATGAAAATCTCATTAGTAATCTACTGGTGAAAGTAATCTACAAGGAATAGCCTTTTGAATATCTAATATACACATATAAAATTCTCGTGTCACGGTGTGCGTAATTGAACTGCTCCGAAACGGCTCGACCGATATTCGTGAAATTTTATATGCATATTCAGTAGGTCATAGAATAGAACAACATCTATTTTATGATTTTATTTTATTTATTTTTTAAGCATTTAACTGCTAGATGTTTAAATCTAAAGAAAAGTTTACTAGAAAAAACAACATCTATTTTTCATCCCCCTAAATGTTAAGAGTAAAATTAACCCATAATTTTTTTTTTGGACAATTTTTATTGTTTTTTTTATGATAGGTACATCATACAAAAATACATACAACCCTATATTTTCACCCTTCTACCACCAACCTCTATTTTTTTAATGGCGCATGGCGGTACGAAGTTTGCTGGGGCAGCTAGTTTCACTATAATACGGAAAACTTCGTTTGCGAGACCAAATACTAATAAGTCGATTTCTGAAGCCTTCAAACTTACCAATAATGGAGCTACTATATCACTGTGGATCCGACGTAGGTTTCTAAAAAATAAAACGGTCACATTAATATTAAAAGATTTTAATGTGATTATAGGTATTAGTTATGTTTTTATTTTTCTAAGCATTTAACTGTTAGATGTTTAAATCTAAAGAAAAGTTTTACTAGAGAAAAATCCACGCGGACCAGGCAGCTTCGCATTGTGGGTTACCTACAATGCGAAGAGATGGCGCTACCTTGCAGCTTAAGGCAAGGAAAATTTCGACGCGGCCATCAGGGCCGTGGTAGCATAATTGGTCAGTGCATTCGTCCGGATTGCGAAGGGTGCTGGTTCGAGTCGCGTCCGCTGCCTGGTCCGCGTGGATTTTTTTTCTAGTGATTATATTATTATTTGGAGAGTTGTGATGATAACACTAGATTAATAGTATGTAGATCTATTAATTAACATTAACATCTCCCATTCAGGCGATGTGTAGTCGATGCATGAAAATTCATCATCATCAAGCTATTAATGTCCCCACAGCTGGGGTCTCCCCTGATAAGCCTGGATGGAATAGGGAGATTGTGCCGTGGCACACGACGCGGGCACAGTACGGGTTGTTAAGTGCTAACGACTGCAGATGCAGCCGGGACCAACGGCTTAACTTGCCTTCCGAAGCACGAACGAGCTCGAGATAATAAGGTTTTGATCATCCATCCGATGGAAAACCATTGCGAAAGTTGCTTAACTTCCACAATCGCAGACCGAACGCGCTCACCACCTGCACCACCGAGCTTCTATGTGAATCTCCTCAGTTTAAAATTTAAACGTTTATGATCTAGGCAACAGCGCTTTGTTCAGAGTAGTACAATTGACATTACGGCAGATTTATATTTACAGTTAACTTTACTGTTGACGACCTCCTTGGTCAAGTGGTTTGTACGCCGGGTTTCATGGTGTCGCCGACTCGAGAGGTCCCGGGTTCGAATCCCGGTGGGGGCAGATGTTTGTGTGATGAATACGAGCATTTGTACACCAGTCATGGATATATAATATGTATTTCTATATAAATATACTTATATATGTACAGTATATATTCTATCCGTTACCCTAGTATCCCATAACACAAGCCTTATAGTACTTAGCTTGGGGCTAGGCTAATTGGTGTGAGTGTTGGAAATATTTATTTATTGGCGGCGGATCGTGTATAGTCTCACGCCAAAATCACACACTCCTAACTGTTTTGCAAACAAACCACTGGTAATGTATGAACCTGTTTTATATTCTAGGCCCATTTTATGCCTAGAATAAAACAAAGTACCCCATGCCTAGGGATGCCTAACCCACAAATTATACCCACACATCTTACCGTTACGGCAGAAGTGGTTTCTGTCTTGGAAGCTGTTTCTTGCTGAGTTGGATTAGCACGCTGATCTTCTATTGCCTTCAACACAATTCCATTCTTAGGTACTGCTTGCATAATAGCTGCAGATGCTGCTTGCAAATAAGAAGAGTAGTTCGTACAAATAGTTCAGATATTTCGTAAAAAAAGTATAATGTTTTTAAACTACTCCTATATCGCAATATCTGTATGTTACTCCTTTGCCCTGATTTAAGTTGTTCTGCCTACGATTTCCTAGTTCTAAGTTTGCAAGTGATATCAGTGCCTGTAAAAAATGTTCTAATAAAGTAGACCCATTTTTACAGTGTTGTCTTTTCACTTTTTCATTTTTTTGCAGATTACGTAATTTAAATAATACATAATCTATTTAAGAGTTAAGGTTAAAGTTAAGCAACTTTCGCAGTGGTCGGTCATTGGATGGGTGACCAAAAATCTTCTATCTCGAGTTCCTCCGTGCTTCGGAAGGCACGTTAAGTTGTACGGTCCCGGCTGCATCTGCAGTCGTAAGCACCCGCCAATCCGCACTGGGCCCGCGTGGTGGCCCAATCTCCCTATTCCGTTCATAGAGAAGGCCTGTGCCCCAGCGGTATGGACTTCAATAGGCTGATGATGATGGTGATAATAATCTACTTAATACGTGGACGTTAAAATAATTCTTAACATCGCGTCGAGTTCTCTTGTAATTTCGTTTTGATAAATATTGATTGGTATACTGTGGACTCAAATCATACCCATTATGCGCAATTATTACTCATAAAAGAGAAAAAAACTACAAAAACGAACAATATTAGACTTTCAACAACTTGTCTCATTAACAGTTCAAAGGACTCCGAAATTCAATAATTAGA